CAGCTTTCGGCCGCCGGCTGCGCTGCTGTTGTGTAATTCTATCGCGCAAGATCTCAACACGGTGACTTCCAGTTCAAAGAGGACAATCCGAGCAACCGCCGCTCGTGTTCTCTTTTTCAACTTTTCAACCGTGTACGAATCAAAGACATTGCCCGATACGAGGTGTTTGACGTGTTGTGTGTTCCCAGAACTGCTGCCCAGTTGGTTGTCGAAGTCGCTGTGGGAATGAAAAGGCGGTCGGCGAACAGTACTTTGTAAGCAGTGGCAAGGTCTTGGTTGTTGCGGAGTTTAACAGTGAAACATGTCAAACCCTTCCTTGCCGTCTTCTTTGATTCTCTGATTCTTTTCCTTGTCTTCTTTATGTCTTCTTTCTTGCTTTCTTGCTTTTCTGTCGCGCCTTCTTTGTCGTTAGTGTCTGCTCCCCACCTCGCTCGTCTTTCATCTGGCATTGGTCTTGCTGCTCTGAAGGGCCAGACACGTTCATCGGCGATTCGATGTGTAGCCAGGACCCATTTTGCATGGGAACTCGGGACCCATGTCAGTGATCTTCAGTGGTATCTGTCCGAGCGCCCCGATGTATTCCCAGGTCGCAGCGCCTAATTCGTCGTGAAAATGAGAGAAACCCATACATTATCTATCCCAACCCCTCGACATTCGCTTTTGCGCCGCAAAATGCTGATTTTGTCGATAACAGGCTGCCGTGACGTCTGATGCCCGACATATGCATAAGAAGTCCCACCTGCAGCAACGTGGCGCAAGACGAACAAAGAGGGTCATTGGCGGTGTGGGCGTGTCTCAGTTGGTGAAAGCACATCCCGTGGGGTATCTGTCCGTTTCACTAGGAGGCAACGCCAGACCGCCTAGAATATGTCAGGGTTTGCCACGAATCAAGCACGGTTTCTCCGGCACGGGACTTGGCAGCTGTTGATGATTAAGTGTTATGAGGCCAGCGACGTCCTTTCGTTCCGAATCGTTCTCGCAATAAATCGTACTGGAATAGGCATTCTCCTGCTTGTGACAAATCGGTCGGCAAGACTTTCCGAGGCAATAGCAATACAACCCTTGCTACAATAGGCTGGGAGGCTGAACAGCAGGTGAGCACATATTTGCATGCCTCGTCATATCCTGGCCCTTGTTTTTCGCCGCCCGCGTTGCGGTTCCGGGCTTTGTTGCTGTTTCAACACCGTGACCAATACTCCGTATGCGACATACGTTTGTGAACAGAGCCAGTCTCTTTGCAGTCTGTGGTCTTCTCCACAAGCTGGGTGCAAGAACCAAGGCAGCGGCTCGTCGTTCAACCTTGCATACGGCCCCTGTCCGTAGTATATCTTCGCCAGAATAAAAGCACAGGCGAATATGCTGTATAGCGATCCATCTATGCGCGCGGGTCTCGCAGATTGGAAAGGCGAAAGAAAGCCGGATACGGACAGCTGTCGTTTGTCCCAAAGCAAGCGAATACCGGCGCCCATGTGTAGTACGGAGTCGCGTCGCACTGTTAAGAGAGACATTCTGATGGGATGCTGTGCGACCGCCACCGTGCATGCCGTCTTGCTTTTTACGGCGTATTAATCAACAAAACAGCGCCTCGGCGACGCGATGCGGACAGCCAAAATGCTCCTGGTTTTCGTATTCATCTGGATGAGAACGCGTCAGCGTCGCACAAGGAAAACAAAACAAGGAGGCGATAAAGCGTGCCGCGTCCTAAGACAGGGACTACTCTGCGTGACTATTCTCCATTGCATCACGGAGTCCGCTCATGTGATGTCGGGACAGACTTTGGCGAGCTGCTGTACAGGTCAGTCTTTGGTGTTTCCATGGTCTGGTCGGTCGAGCATGTTTGCTTCTGTTGACGTGGGTTTGGATTTTTGAGATGACCATTGTCCACGATGCACGGCATGGCATCATTCCCGCCGGAACGGAAGGAGCTGGTTCGCAGCTTCCTTGATCATGAGAAGCTTTAGAAGCTTCCTAATTAGGAGGTACACCGTCCACACCAAATGACAGCCGCGCCTGCCCAAGTCCCACACTAATGCACCAAACCCTTGGCCGTTGGCTACTCAGGGGATTCTGCCGCCACCCACCGCCATTGTTTTTCAACCAGCTTCATGACCAGGAGAAGCTCCACTGACCACTGAACTCGATGGTCGTGCCAAACCATCGCGGGCAAGCCACGCATCGCAGCTCATCCTGCAGCACGGCAGCCAGCGCGAACATCGGCCTGTCTCTTTTCGTCGCAGATTGCAGAAACGCCATGGCGTCCGCCTTTACGCCCTACACATACATACAGTGTCCCTGCTCGGACTCTGCACATCTACCGAGCGCGGCCCGCGAATCCTCGAGTCGCCCCTCGTCGTCCGACCGAGAGGCGGGCGGCGCCGGCAGCGGTGGAGCAGCCGCAGACCAGGATGGCGAGACCAACGAGGACGATCACACGTTCGACCCGCGCTCGCCGCGGGCCAACTACAGCCTCTACCCGCTCGAATATCTGCTGTACTGCGAAGACTGCCACCAGATCCGGTGTCCGCGATGCGTGGCCGAGGAGATTGTCACCTACTACTGCCCGAACTGCTTGTTTGAGGTGCCCACAAGCAACCTAAAGAGCGAGGGCAACCGGTATGTTGCTGGTCCCCTTCTTTCTGTTCTTGCAGCTCGTTTCGGAGCGCAGACATCATGCATTCCTGTGTGCGCACGCCTACGTATACGTATGCGTGTGCATGGCTGTCGACGCGTAACGTGTTGTACCTTGTTGGGCATGTTTGTGCATGCGGCCCGCCGTCGTACCGTGGCACATGGGTATTTTGTCTTGGAGTGTTTTGTTGTGCCGAATCGCTGTTGCTGACCAACTGCTGTACGCTCCCAAGATGCACGCGAAGCTGTTTCCAATGCCCTATCTGTATTGCCCCCCTGACCGTCACCAACCTCGAAACCCCCTCGTCCAGCGCGAACCTCGCCGTCCCCGAAGGCGCTGCCACATCGTCACACGCCGGGAGCTTCTTGTTGAGCTGCAGCTTCTGCCAGTGGAGCTCGACCGAAGTCGGCATCAAGTTTGACAAGGCGAATGGCCTCTACGGACAGCTGGCCAAGGTGCGCAATGGCGGGAAGCCACGTCTGATACCCACGGAGCAAAAGTCCAAGCGGCGCGATCTGACGTCGCCGTTGTCCTCGGCACCCAACCTGTTGTCAGGAACGGGCGACAACCCAGACGGCCTAAACCCCTCGCCGGAGCCTACTAGATTTGGGCACGGCGACGGAGAGGGCGAAGAGGGCCTCGATCTAGAAACACAGTATGCCCACCTGAAGCAATTCTACCAGCGGCAGCTGTCTGAGGCCAATGGCGGTGGTGTCGGCGGACTGTCGTCGCTTGGTGATCTCAGCTTTGGCTCGCCTGCGTCGCTGTCCCGCATCATGAACATGTACACCTCCGGTATGGCCGGGAGTGGTTCGCGCTTTGACAAGAAGTCACAGTCGCGGATCCGCAGCATGCGCGAGGCCCGTGAAAACGCAGAGGGATTCCAGCCGGCCGTCTTGGACGAATCGGCTGCCATTGCCCGTTTGCACGGCCAGGGACCAGACAACCAGGGCAGGAGTGGCGGCGGCCGAGGCGGTGTTTCTGGCGAGAGCGGTGCAGACGGCTGGGACGTGACGGCATCGTCTGAACAGCGGGCCGCCCAGACCAAGTTTATTGGCGACGAGCACCTCCACGGCCGTGCACGGTTTCTGGATGAGCTGCGGCCGATCCCGTTTCTCCTGCGCACAAAGCGGTCTAAACGCTGCCCGATATGTCGGCACATCATCAGCAAGCCCGAGGCGAAGTCGACTAACAACCGCTTCCGCATTCGGCTTGTCGCCGGCAGCTACATTCCCAGCATCTCGATCCGGCCGCTTCAGGGCGGCGCGCCTGTGCCAGTACCCACGTCAAGGTCTACGCCGGCGGCGGCGGCGGCGGCGGCAGCAGCAGTGCCAACCAACATCCTGGAACCGCTCAAGCCCGTGCAGTACATTTTGACATTCAAGAACCCCATCTTTGAGAGCGTCAAGGTCACGTTGGCCACGCCGTCCACGACCCCAGGCCGGTTTGCCAGCAAAGTGACTGTGCTGTGTCCACAGTTTGAGATTGACTCCAACACAGACGTGTGGGACGATGCCCTGCGCGACAGCGTTGCCGGCGGCGGTGGAAGCAGTGGTGGCAGCGGCAGTCGCAGTCGGCGGGCGGAAGACGGTGGCGGCCAACAGCAGGCCATCGCGGGCAAGATCTGGGAGCGCGGGCGCAACTGGGTCAGCATCGTGGTGGAGGTGGTGCCGCCGTCGCTCGACCTGGACCTGCTGGCCATGACGAGCAAGCCGATTGGCAAGGTCGACGAGGGCGCGTCCAAGAGGATCGACCTGAGTCCGCTGCGCGAGGACGAAGACATTGTGGAGATCCCCATGTTTGTGCGCGTGGAGTGGGAGACGGACGCGGGACAAGACGGCGTGGGTGTTTCGTCGGCCAAGGACAAGGATGTCAAAGAGAAGCGGGAGCTGGCCTACTGGTGTGTCCTGGGCATCGGCCGCGTTCGTCACGATTAGGCCGGACTCGGTATCATTACGGTTGCTGCAAAGTGACGATGCTTTTTTAAAACAGCACCTGTGGATAAGCGCACTTGCCATTTACTACTGATACAATATACCCACGTTTCTATTTGACAGCACATGTGTTATGAGGTGAGGTTGACAAAAAGACACGGGCATTTATGTTTTGTTTGTAGACCGTGGAGATTGCACTTTTAAGATTTTTTTTAGATTATTCCATCTTTGCAAAAAGTGAAGCACAGTTTTGACTCCAGCCGGTTCCCTTTTTGGCCATGTAAAAAAGAGAACGAAACAAAAAAAAAAGACTTTCCCGGTTCTCTCTTTTGCTTTTCAAGTGTGGGTGAAAAAAGATCGGTTGAAAATTCTGTCACACCATTTTTTTTTTAAAAAAAAAGTCATCTACCACGTTCCTTTCCTTGCGAGTTCCGCATTTAGAACTCGGCGCTGTTCTGGGGGAACTCAAAGACGACGGCGCGGCCAGTGAGTCTCCGGTAGACCTCGGAGTACGAGTCCAGGCGGTAGTCGACGCCACCACGCTCCTTCTCGTCGAGGATGACCTTGAGGGTCTTGGAGCCGTCCTCCTTGGTGCGGAGACGCTTGCCGACGATCTCGACGGGGTAGACGAGGTCCGTCAGGATGGCGTCGTGGACCGCAGTCAGCGTGCGGGAACGGGGGCGCTTCTGCTTCTGGGTGTTGCGGGAGCGGCTGGAGCGCTTGGGGCGGGGGAGAATGCGGCGCGAGGCCAGGATCAGGACGTGACGGTCGGGGAACTTCTTCTCCAGCTCACGGGTCAGGCTGTTTGTGGGGGATTAGTGCGTGTTCGTCAATAGATGAGGATCGAGTAGAAAAAAAAAAAAAAAACATACCGCTGCTGCACCCGGTGGAAGCCCTGCAGGGATGGGACGGGGACAAAAATGACAATAGCCTTCTTGCCGTGGCCAACCTCGATCTACAGATCCAAAGTCAGCATGCGAGCTCCTGGAGTATGATTACATTGTCTGCAACAACATCCATGGACCGCTTCCCGTCCAGTATCCAAATATGTATGTTTGTCGGTACGAGGGAGCGTATCGAGAGAAATGGTCATCGGGTATCGGAAGGAGAGAGAAAGGACCGCTTCTGTTGACGTCCGTCGACCGATGTTGCGAGGGTGTCGAGTCGATGTGTCGTATTTCAGACATGAGGCTGGAGACGAGAGCACCAGTCGGTCGGTGACGCTGCGAGCTTGCCTGGTCTTTCGACAACAGGGCTTCGCTTCGCTTGAATGCCCGCTCCATCGGTCGCACGGCTCGAATTCGTCGTCACTGATCGACTCGTCTCGACACATGGTCGTCAGAAACGTCGCAATGGTCGAATCCTTCTCAAATCGTTTCGTCCGCCCCTTTCGTCGATTTTCATCGCCAAACAGTCGGTTGGTTTCCGTCGGTCACAGACCATGGATGTTATGCAGCACACGTATGCAGGAAAGGGCTCATCTCACCTCGCGAGCAGACACGAACTGCAGAGGGCGCAGGGCAGCCTTGAGGTCGGCGGTGTTGGACTCCAGGTCGAACAGAGCACCGGCGATGCTGGTCTCCAGCTCAGAGGGCTTGGCGCGGGACGGGCTGTTGGCCGCGATCTTGTTCAGCTGAGGGGCGCTCATTTTGACGGTTGTGATGGGCTGTCGATTGGAGAAGTCGATGTCGTCGTGGGTGTCGAGAGGAGAAGGGAAAAGAACAAGAAAAATCGAGACGAGATGCGGTGGGACTCGTTTTCGAGGGAAAGCGGCACACTGAGAATGGCAGGCGGGAAAAAATTGGCCTGGCTAGCGCCATTTGCTGGACTTTTTTGCTAGCCCATAATTTTGGAGTGAGGGTTCGCAAGCCCTTGATCCTTGGACCAATAGGAATCGTGCGTGGGTGACCAGCGAATATTTAGCGGTGGCCAGCGGCAGAAAATCGACGGGCGATTTGTTGTATTATGTAACATTTTGTGGGCACTTGACTGCGGGTGCCGGGTCACTCTCAAAAGTACGAAGTATCACCCAACTCAAAAGCTACGAAGATGGCATATGCTGCACACGACGTCGACGAAATTGGGGCTCCGACAACGTTTCCAAAAGTTGTCGTGTGGTAGAGCGTGAGATCCTGGGTTTCTCGCGCCTTCCTCGGCTATCGCCTGCCATAGGATTGCCAATGCACTTCTTTCATACAAAGGCTGGCCTAAGAGGTTCTCAGCGCTGTGTACATATAGATCAGCCGTACCCTCTCACACTCTGTAATACAAGCACCGTAAACGAGTTCACGTCACGCTCTCGTACAATGAATGGTAATTTATTTTGTTTCGAATTTTTTAACTTTTTTTTCCGTCTATCATGATGGCACCAGCGGCTTCCCATCCACGTCCGCATCCCTCCTCAGCTTTCCCTACTGGCCAAAGACGTCCTCGTAGTTGGTCAGGCAGAAGCGGTAGTGCACGTCGTTCTTGTGCAGGCGCTGCAGGGTCTTGGACAGGTTGTCGGCGCCAATGGGCACCTGCTCGATCCAGGGGTGGATGCCCTTGTCGGCGGCCAGCTTCAGCATGGCCAGGACCTCTTTGCGGGAGCCCAGGTGGCTGCTGCCAATGAAGCAGCCGTTGCTCAAGAAGTCCTGGTTGCGGATGGCGGAGCCCGCGCCCTCGGGCAGGCCGACGCTGACCCAGCGGCCGTGGACGTCGAGCAGGGACAGGTAGGTCTTGAGGTCAAAGTCCTCGGTGGAGTTGGCCGTGTTGAGGATGAGGTCAAAGGTCATGACGTGGTCCTCGGCCCAGTTCGCGTCGGCGGTGGCCAGGAAGCCGTCGGCGCCCAGCTTCTTGGCGTCGGCCTCCTTGGCGTGGGAGCGCGAGATGGCCCAGACCTCGGCGCCCAGGGCCTTGGCGAACAGCACGCCAAAGTGGCCGATGCCGCCAATGCCGACGACACCGACTTTCTTGCCGGGGCCGCAGCCGTTGCGCACGAGTGGGCTGAAGGCGGTCAGGCCGGCGCACAGCATGGGGCCGGCCTCGTGGGTGGGGATGGCGTCGGGGATGGGGAAGACCCAGTGCTCGTGTGTGCGGACGTGCGACGAGTAGCCGCCTTGGGAGATGATGCCGGTGTCGGGCCACTGGGCGCCGTAGGTGTCGAGCTGCTTGCGGCAGTAGGTCTCGTTGTCGTTCTTGCACTGGCGGCAGTCGAGGCACGAGTAGGACTGGGCACCGACACCGACGCGCTGGCCCTCCTTGATGAGGGTGACCTTGGGGCCGACGCGGATGGCCTTGCCGACAATCTCGTGGCCGACAGCCAGGGGGAAGTGCTGGTCGCCCCAACCGCCACTGATGGTGTGGACGTCGCTGCCGCAGACACCGCAGGCCTGGATTTTGATGTCGACGTCGTAGTCGTCAAATGGCTTGGGCTCGAACTCGTTCTTGTGGAATTCGGTCCAGGTATCAGGGCTGTGGACCTGGAAGCCGGTGAACTTCTCGGGGTACGGCATGGTGGCGGTGGTTTGTGTGAGAGGGATGGATGATGCTGCGAAGAAATTGAATTTGGGTTTGGGTATCAAGGAACAAGCAAATACGGGAAGCAGAGAGATTGGGGAGACGAGACGAGAGGAAGCATGAAGAAAAAAAGCAAAAGATTGAAATAGCAACAGCGGCAGCTTCGGCCGACCATCACCTTATATTAGCAAGACATCGTGTTCGATGGCACCCCCGAAGTGCTCATAGTGCAGCTCTAGCTTTTCCTTTGTTCCACGTCCTCGTCCGTCGGTTCTTTGCTCCATTCCTGTGTGTGGTATCAGGCACCGCGTCGCTCGGTTTTCCGCCTCCGCTACCGCTTCCGCTAATCGAAACAGAGGGGCGAGTGGGATGGGGAAGAGCGCCAGAGAGCGCACGTCGTCATCGGGGAGAAGCAAAGCGGGCAGCCTCGAAAGAGCAGTACCGCCGCCAGCTAGACCGACGAGCAGCCAAGTTTGATCCAACTAACTATTTTCCTCTGTCTGGTTTCTTTTCTCGCCTTCGATTTTCTTGACGTCGGTTGATTTTACCGGAGATGGTTTTCTCCATAATTCTCCATAATTCTCTATGCCTCGTAACTATAGTGTTTCTATGCTTTGTCTGTCTTCATCGTGACGTTGCCCTGCAATCATATGAGTCTGTGAGCTCGTGGACTGCTCCTGACAAAATATAAATGATACCAAACGAAAATAAATAAAGAGAACATGCCATCATCTGATCGCCGGGTTCTCTTCTGGGTACTCAATGCCCCTCGTTACTCATCACCAATGTTTGGCAGCAGGATGCATCCGCTATGGGCTAAGCCTTCTAGCCTCCGCACTAAGATGCTCTTTACCATCCTCTGCCGGGAGCTGATTAGCCCGAAGTACCTGAAGGACGGGGTGTCTCCAACCTATGGTTCTATTATTCCACCAACTGCATGCGACGGTTTGGGGTGATCATGGTGGGGTCCTCCAGTGGACTAGGAGGCATCCTCGAGTTTAAGGGACTGGAGGCATCTGCGGAGCGGCCTCCTGTGGTATTCGGTGCACAAGGCCGAGCCAGCGAGCTGCAACAATGGGATAAGAAGCCCGAGATTCCCATAAAGGCAATGCATCCCACGAGGAGAGCAAACCGAGGGCAACCCATGAGAGCGAGACGCGGTCTCAAGAACCGAAAATGCCAATAGCAGCTGAAGCAGGCAAAAGATCAAGCAGTTTGGTGCTGCCCTGTCCTGCCATCAGTTGCCCCCCACTGTCGTTTACGCTAGAGCCGCTGTAAGGCCTACGATTGGTGAAGAGCTAGCGCATGTCAAAGGGACATACAACAGGCAAAGTCAGGATGGACGGCAAAAAGGCAAATCGGCTCCGAGGTGGGCGGTGTCCTACAAACCGGACACGACAAACTGGGCAAATCTCGGCGAGTTTGCAATTCCTGGCGACTCTGTGCGCGATAGTTCGGGATTTCCTTTGGTATTTTTCTTGACAAAAACCGGAGGAAAACTGGAAACGAACTGGAGCCTCCAGACGAATAAACACAAGTGAGAGGACAACGACGATAAACATGGCAGTTCGATTGGCAGAAAGGTGACGACTCCATCTCCTAGTATGTTGCAAGGTAGTTCCGGATTGGAAATGTGATTGTGTCAGGAAGAGCTGCCGTTAGACCGGCGTCAATACAGTGGCTGAGTGGGTGCATCAGGAGTAAACATCACCGACGAGATTGGATGTCGATGATCACTGGAGACTTGTTTTGAAGCCCTTGCTCGTCTCGTGATGTTCCATCTTGGGGAAATGTATCAGAATTCAGGCCTCGGATGGGTGTGACGAAACTTGCCTGATACATCCGCCCATCACTATAACATTTTATCGTCGATGAAGACGCTGGTATCGCTTTAGGAGTTGTCATATCCCGGGAGCGTGATAACGTCTTCTCCGTTGCCTTGTTTATTATCGCAAGCTAAGTAAGATATAAATTGTTTGTATGAATTAGTTAGCATGTAAAAAGAGAGTAGATGCCAAAGTAAAATTTAAGGTTTTATAATTATTCAAAATAAAAAGGACGTATCAATAAAGTCGAAATAAAATGAATAATAAAATGACTAAATTGAATATAGTTTTACACTCTCTGCATATAAATAAAATACTAGCAAATACGTGAATTATGGAATGTAGAATAGACACGTCTGATACATGACCTCATGGGCCGAAATTCGAACAAGTCAATTCAACGACACGCTCCTCATGTACACCGTATCGTACAAAAGAAACGATACCACTGTATCTACCAACGCATCGGATCCGCGTCTCGTAGTCCTGGTCCGCAGCAGGGGTAGTCGTCTTGTTGGTGTCGACGTTGGCGCGCAGAGATGGGCCGAGATGACGAATGGGCCAAACACGACGCCGTCTCTCGACCCGACCCGACGTACTGGGACAGGAACTCGTGTTTTAGTCATATGTCGCGCTGACGCCTACTACGAGAACAAGCCAATGGTGTATACAGCATATTCTGATACGGACAACCATAGTCGTTGATGGAACACTACTACCGCGCAAGCTAAGGAAGGCGATGCCAGGAACAGCCGTGTGGTCACTCATAGGGCCATCGGCAGCCCACAGAATTCGTCATATTCTCCGTATATATGACAGTACGTATTGTGCAGACAGCAAGTGACTGGGAGTGGTAGCGAGGGCAGTCATGCATTTCATAAGCTGTTGTTTTTCACCGTTTTTCACCCCGCAATCTCAGCATCCATTCACAATGCCGACCTATCAGAAGAGTCAGGGGCGACAAACATAAGTATACGAGTTTCCTTTCACCGCCGCGGTTTTCTGCCTTACGAGAGGACTGCTTCAATCCATCCAGCCTGTCTCCCGACTACGGAGTATGCCACTACCTTTGACTTTATATTGACGAGCCGCTATCTCGCTCAATCGAGTCACAATTAGTCTCTGGACTGTGCGTCCGTAGTTGTTCCAACGATAGCCAGACGCCCACTCTCCTTTTGTTGGCAACCCACACCTACGCCGCGACCATTCATTGGCAAGCATGGACACGCAGGCTCGCCAAGAGGCTCTTCCCCTGTGGGTTCACCCCGCGTACTCGAAGCACATTGTACGGGGCAACTTCATGGCCCTGAGCACGAGGCCCAAGACGGTCGAGATGGGCGACTGGATTGCTCACCAAGGTCCATGCAACTGTGCGAAGCAACGTTGGTTTTAACGCGTCCTTGCCCAGTCATGGAACACCATCGGCTTCTGTGGAACTTTGTGCGTGTGGTGCACGAGAAAGAGGCCGATGGAGACAGCATCTGCAACGCAGCCTCTTGCCCAACCATGTCGGCAGGACGGTGAGATGTTTTCCCTTTGCCATGCGCACCCACAAATTACACAATCCTCCATATAACGTGCTGATACGGCGTGTACACATAGGAATCACTCCTACACGTGGCTCAACAGCCGCCTCAAGCCGACCGAGATTCCGGCGCACGAGTACATGTCTCATGCAGCGATGGGTCGCCAGCAAGACCAACGACCCGCACCTGTTTCCGACCGACCCCGAGGGTGTGAGCTACGCGCCAAACCCTGCTGCTCCGACGACCCTGGCGGCCGACCCGGACGACTGGGTGGGCAAGCGAAGTGCGTTTCCCAGAGAGTTCAGCGGCACCTGCAAGGCCATCTTTTTGCAAATGTTCCGCGTCTACGCCCACTTGTTCAGCCGCCATTTCGTGGACCCGTTCTACCACCTCAACCTGGAGAAGCAGCTCAACAGCTGCTTCAGCCATTTCCTGTTGACTGCAACGTCGTTGGACATGCTCCACGCCGACGACCTCGAGCCGGTGCAGCTGCTGATTGATCTCTGGGCGGCGGACGGGACGTTTCCGCCCGGATCCAAAGCGTATGGTTTGGCGAACCTTGCGTCTGGCGAACGAATTATGGCGGCCGCTTGAGATTGAATCTGCATCTGTATTTCTAGCCGTCCTCCATACACCCGAATAAAGGCGACGTTTTCCGTAGACTATCATGAGGGGAACACAGTGCAGGCGGGCTTCTTTCAGACGTCGAACAAGACATTGCACAGCCACAGTCTGGCCAAGTGCTACAACAGTATCAGTCGGGCGTCATTCTTCGCTATGCGTTATGCTGTCGTTGCATCTCGTTCTTCGGCAGTTGTTTTGGTGAGAAATTGGTGAGAATGTGCAGAACACATTCGGCAGCGGAGCAATAAGATGGAATCCGGTGCAACTGAAAGGTGCAAGTGGGTGACTGCAGCACGCCCGGCCCGGGAGCGGTGCCGCTAATTGCTCCGTGGATGCGCTAGACTTTTCTGGATAAGCCCTGCAACACGCTGAAAGGGCCCCCAATTCCATCGCAGCCCCCACTAAAAATATCAGCTGTTTCCCGGAAGCTCGCAGACCCGGAGCATGTGCCACTGCTTTTGCCCCTGGCAGTCTTGGCCACTTCCTCTTTCAGCCTTGGAGATTGGACCTCGACGAAAACGGGGCGCATCTCGAGATTTTCGCCATTTGCCCGATAAATAGGTGTTCTCTGCCCCTTTGTTCTCGCCAATTGGACACCTCTCGCCACGCCAACATCGAAACACACTACACCATCCCCCAATGGTTGCGAACACGAAATCTACGACGGGCGTCGCGCCCAGAGTCGCGCGGCACGGCTACGAGTTTGGCGGGCCGTATGTTTGGCCCCTTTTCGCGACCCTCGTGATCCCTTTTCCATGCAAAAAAGACACACAGCTGCTAACAACCCCAGACTCGGCGCGTTTGCCATCAGCTTCCTCCTGCCCGTCCTCCTCTACCTCTTCACGTTTGCCTGCAACGACGTCTCGGGCTGTCCCGCGCCCTCTCTGCTGAGCCCCTCGACCCTCGACCTCGAGACCCTCAAGCGCGAGGTCGGATGGCCGGCCGACGGCGTCTGGGGCCTTGCCAGCTGGCGTGTCACCGGCTGGACGCTCGCCTACTACTTGCTGAGCGCCGTGCTCTACCGCGTGCTGCCGGGCACGCACACCGAGGGCGTCGTCCTCGACAACGGCGGCCGCCTCCCCTACAAGTTCAACACTGTCTACTCGACCTTGTTTACCGTCAGCCTCGTCGTGGCCGGCACGATTGCGCAGGGCGCCGAGTTCCCGCTCTGGACGTTCATGACCGACAACTACCTGCAGCTGCTGACGGCCAACATCCTCATCGCCGTGGCCCTCGCCACGTTTGTCTACCTGCGCAGCTTCAGCGTGCCCAAGCCCGCCGACCGCCGGCCGGGCGACCTGCGCGAGCTGGCCGCGGGCGGCCAGTCAGGCAACGTCATGTACGACTGGTTCATCGGCCGCGAGCTGAACCCGCGCATCACGCTGCCGCTGCTGGGCGAGTTCGACATCAAGGCGTTTATGGAGCTGCGCCCCGGCATGCTGGGCTGGATGCTCTTCAACTTTGCCCACGTCGCCAAGCAGTACCGCACCTTTGGCGTGGTCACCGACAGCATCCTGTTCATCTCGATTGTGCAGTCCATCTACATTATCGACAGCCAGATCATGGAGCCCGCCATTCTGACCACCATTGACATCACCACCGACGGCTTTGGCATGATGCTGTCCTTTGGCGACCTGGTGTGGGTGCCCTTCTTGTACTCGACCCAGACGCGCTACCTGGCCAACTACCCGCTCTCGCTGGGCTGGCTCGGCGTCGTCAGCATGGGCGCCGTGCTGCTCACTGGCTTCTCCATCTTCCGCCTCGCCAACAGCCAAAAGAACACCTTCCGCACCAACCCGGACGACCCGCGCGTCGCCCACCTCAAGTACATTGCCACCAAGTCGGGCTCGCGCCTGATTGTCTCCGGCTGGTGGGGCCTGGCCCGCCACATCAACTACTTTGGCGACTGGATCCAGTCCTGGCCGTACAGCTTGCCGACCGGCCTGGCCGGCTATGCCGTCCTGGCGGCCGACTCGGCGGGCGGTCTGGCCGCGGCCGCGGCGGCTGCTGCGGGCAATACCGAGGTGTTTGTCCGCTCCGACGGCCAGCTCGTTGTTCCCGGTGCTGCCCGTGGGTTCGGCATGGTCTTCACCTACTTTTACATTGTCTACTTTGCCGTCCTGCTCGTCCACCGCGACCTGCGCGACGGCGAGAAGTGTGCGCGCAAATACGGCGACGACTGGAACAAGTACAAGAAGATTGTCCGCTGGCACATTGTGCCCGGCCTCTACTAGGCGACCAGACGCCCGCTCAAACTTGAGTGACGCGTTGCCGATACTCTTTTGTCATTCACCCGCATCTTCTTCCCAGGGCCATGAAGTCGGCGTTACGGGAATTGTTGGATATGTGTAGGTTATGTATGCCGCCCCCCCTCGACCTAGGGCCTGGTTGTACGGCGACACAGGACGAAGGGGACAGACGGCATTTTTTTTGTTGGAGTCATATATTGGACAGCTTTCTTGGGCTTGTTTTACGGAGCACCACTTCGCATTTACCCCAGGGCCATGGATGTTCGGCGTAACGGGGTTACTGCGTGCAAAGCATTTGACGGCAAACACAAAAAGGAAAGAAAAAGGAAAGAAAAAGGACCGTCCGTGTCCTTGGATGACCATTCCCAGGGCCACCAGACGTTCGGCGTACGGGATTGCATCGCATACTGCATTTGCATTTTCTTGCATTTCACACCACCCATTTTACCTTCGTCTCACTCCCAGGGCCACTTGATGTCCGGCGTACGGGACCGTTTTTTTACCCACCACTGGTGTTTTTATATCTGTTTTTTAATCTCCCAGGGCCACCCGAGGTACGGCGTACGGGATGGATTTAGCGAGGACCAAGACTCTCGCCGGAGGTGTACATAGACGATCAGAAAGAGAAGACACGAAAAGCTTCCCAGGGCCAACCGATGTTCGGCGTACGGGATAAAGCTATAATTACCCCACAACAAAAGAATGGGACAAAAGAATGACTGTTCTCTTACAAAGCCGGTCCACTCCACCGCATCATCGTGTAGTACGAAAGGTACGAACGTAGGACCGGTTACAAAATTGTTTATTAACCTGGGCTTTGGTAACTCCTCGGATCGGCACATGGCCTGGGAATAGGGTCTTGTTGACTTTGTTATGTGCAACGTATTACTGCACTACACTCGGCGGGGTCCCTTTGTGTCTGCAAGCACTCGATGTCTCTCGTAGATAGACCGAGTTTCGTTGGCGGCGGCCTCGATTTCCTATCTGGAACAGAACGAAAGGGCCACACAAGCTTGGTGTCGAGAGGGGCCCGGAGTCTCGTCGCGGGTTCCGGGCTGTCGATGCCCGAATTACCGGGGCTCGTCTAGTGGCAACGCAAATGTCTGCTCCTTTTGGGGCCTGTGGACCGGACGATCACCGCCCCGCGTCGGGGCAGCTAACCGTTCTCTCTCTCTTTCTCTCACTTCTTCCCTTCGCTTATCCCCTCATTTTCCTCTACAAAGTACATTTTCTTTATTTCCCGCCTACTCCGTCCTTCCATTCTGCGGATTCTCGGATGTATGGTCAAGGGGACAAGGGTCGGCCGAGGCCGTCACCAGTCGAAAGTTAATCATTCAACAAAAAAGTAGCCACCAGTATGTACCGCTAGCGGGTAAACGTGCAACGACATGTTGTACAACAAAAACATGAAAGCGGTAATTGCCGGACGGTGTCATGGTGTGTTGCATCTGGTGAGGAGAACAACTGCACGAAAGCTGGGGTAAGCTGGCTTTCGACGGAGAAGCAGCGCAAGCGACGGGGAAACGGTGCCGTGAGGGGGAAGCTAATAAAGAAGCTCCACGAGTAGGGCCGAGACGACAAGAAAACAAACACACAAAATGCCACAACGGACAAGACGAGGTAAAAACGGCCAAAAGAGAGAAAGAGAGAGGATAAAAGAGGCAGCTTTTGAGGTAGCATTTCTGGGCAGTCAACGCTAGGTGAGCGACCCTTGGGTCTGATTGAACAGGCTCCAGGTTCCTTGGTTCTCGATGCGACCAGGATGTGAAAATGACCATGACGGGTGAGATGGACGGCAAGGACACGCTTCGTAGGACTGTGAGGTCAAGAGAGTGTGGTAGTAAACTCCCACGTGAGGCAAAAGGCTGGATACGGAAGGTCGACCATGTAAATGGCAGACACAATGAGAGACTAGAAAATACATGGCGTACACGTGAGACTGCCACCAACTGCAGCCAGTGTTACACTGTGCTCGAGGTTAATTTGGATCGACAACCTCTTTCGTCACGTTTCGAAACAACGAGAAAGTATCCCCTTCGGTGCAAACAAGCCCCCAAAAAGTGCCGCGTCGGCGTTCCCTGGTTCAAGTTGCTTTTTGTCCACAGTGGACATACGTCGTACTTTTGCAGCGGTGGCGAACTGTGTGACTCTGTAAATGTAAATAATCCATCGCCTCTTAGGACTACGCACCCTGCACTCCATGATCCATAAACTTGTCGGCCGCGATGCTGCCATTGCTGCCATTGACGCCAGCATCGATTTCATAACCGAACTGCACGAATCGGTCATGACACCTCTATTTTGCGTGTAAATATGTAAGCATGGTACCAAACATCGAACGACAACCTTTTTACGCCGCATATGCAATGACTTCGCGCCTCGTAAAGATTCTTGTACCGTCAGAGCATAATGCGGAGAACCAATACGCACAATTCCCCACAGGATCTCCCCATGTTTCTCCTCTTGTCCTCGCGATCGGCCCGTTTCCTGCCATGACGTTCTATGGTGCCCCTCTTATGGCTCTCTTCTGTTTTTTCATTGTTCTCGTCTCTTTGCATGTTGCTTCGCCAAGCAGCCAATGCCGTTGCCCGAGCCACAAAGGACCTTTTTGAGCCTACCACCAACTGCTCTCACCATACATTGCCTCCCCTGCAATGGCAGCATTGCATGCTCCCCCGCGCATGGTGCCTCGGGTGAGTCGGTTGCTGATCTTGGCGCGGTTCGTGCATGCGACAATGTACTTCTCATTTGTTGGTGAGATGTGTGTGTATGTATGTATGTACGGGAGTATGTGTGTACAACATGCGTCCGAAGATGTAACAGCAACGTCGTGGCATCCGATACACCGCGAAATGGGCTGACTCGATACCTTGGATCCGATGCTGCGCGACCCCAAATCAAGGACGAAATACTGCAGCTGGATGCTGGATGATGGGTGAAGGAGAACACAAAGGAAAGCACCCGTTTGTCACCACTTTGTATTTTGTCGGCTTGGCACACGTTCCTCACTCTCTTTATCCCTGTATGTCCACTGCCCATCCCCACAAAATGCCCAAGATTCCACGCGGCGATCTGCACTTTTCTTGTGGCAGCAACCAAGTTGCAAAGTAGCTAGCAGGGCCGGCTGGGTAGGATGAGGTCAACAGAAACCCCCGGAGCAAGGCCAAACTGGTCGTCGAAAGGCAAAAACGGACAAAAAGGGTCTCAAATGACTGTATCTCACATCGTAAACAGAAAATCATGGCCTGGCAGGCGCCATTTGTTGATTCGGCGTTGCACCAGTAGCATGAGACGAAAGCGGAACCTTACTTTGGGGACCTGATCGACATATTTTGTCCGTCTGCGACTGCTCAGCGTGCCTGCGTGCTCAGCGCCCACGCGCTCCTTGTGATTTCCATATAAGTTGCCCATTCGGTCCTCGTAAGACGCATTCCTTGCCGTCGATTTGCGTCGTGTTTGCCTGTTTGCCCATTTTCCTCGCGCGTTTCGTAAAGTGCTTTGGGATCTCTCGCTCTGTCCTTGAACGCGGACCACGAGAAGAGCAAATTGAGGACGACAAAACTCTCTTCGAACGATCTCGCTCACGAGATTTCCATTTTCTTTGAAGCAGAACCGTGCATCTGCTGCGACTCTGAGATACCAGACAGACCACACCTCGACCCGACCGTTTGACGCTTGTTCGTCTCTGTTCGCCTCTGTCCGAGTCGCGACGCGCCGGCTGACATCGTTGTCCCAAACACGGCCTCACCCATCGACGTGCCCCGGCCAACGGACTGTCGTCGACCATGAAGGCGTTTGCCATTTTTGCGGCGGGCTGCGCATCCGTCGCTCCTGCCGTTTACGCAGGAGCAACTCCCAAGGCAAGTGCGACGGAATTACCAGGCGGCCACCTGACGTCGACGTGAAAAACGCATCCAGCTTAGACAACATGGAAAGAGCGTGCTCTGTTTACATTCGCTCCTTCCTTTTTGTTGAAACGTTTTGGCACACCCGCTCCTTCCCTTCTTGAACCTCTCTGGGCCTCGCGAGTCCTGGCTCTTCCCTTTGATATTTTGACCGCCCCCGCCTGCATCCAAAATGTTCCTCTTCATTTTTGCCCTTTTATTTTCTATATGACTCTTTCTTCAGGACATCAACATATTTTACGCCAACACCTTACACGCATCACAACATCTCTATCATCCCCTTGCCGTCTTTGGTCTTTGGTGTATACCATTCTACTCTCTTGCTTTTGGCATATCGCAATCGTTTTCCCCCTCTTTCATATGTCCATTTGCCGCAGATTTGACCTCTTCTGGAAATGATTGAGCCCATTTGGCTCTTGGCCACTACGGCCGTCTTTGCTGGCCTTGCGAATGCTGACCCTACGCAGTTCGAGCCTCGCGGCTTCAACGCAGAGTCCCCTCTTTGGCAGCGCGGCGCGGATGCCCCGCAAGCCAAGTCGCCGCCCTTCTATCCGGCGCCGTGGATGAACCCCAATGCAGACGGCTGGGAGAGTGCCTACATCCAGGCCAAGCAGTTTGTCTCGCAACTGACCCTTCTGGAGAAGGTCAACCTGACCACCGGTGTTGGGTAGGTTCCATTTCGCACCTTCTCACTGTTCTTCTTTTCTTTCATGCCTTGCCGACTTCCTGCTGACACAACCAGCTGGCAGGGCGAACAGTGTGTCGGCCAGATCGGCTCTGTGCCGCGTCTCGGTCTGACGAGCATGTGCATGCAGGATTCGCCTGTCGGAGTCCGCGACACAGACTTCAACTCCGTCTTCACGTCCGGCCAGACCGCCGCCGCCACCTTTGACCGTGCTCTCCTATATGCACGCGGTCTTGCCATGGGCCAAGAGCACAAGGGCAAGGGCGTGACTGTCCAGCTGGGCCCGGTCGCTGGTCCTCTGGGCCGGGCCCCCGAGGGCGGCCGCAACTGGGAGGGCTTTGCTCCCGACCCCGTCCTCACGGGCGTCAGCATTGCTGAGACGATCCGCGGTATCCAGGATGCTGGCGTCATTGCTTGCGCCAAGCATTTTATCGGCAACGAGCAGGGTATGTCTCTTGGAAGTGTTTATTTGATGCATGTTTTCTTTTTGATATTATTGGCTGCTAACGAATTTACAGAGCATTTCCGTCAGGCGGGCGAAGCTCAGGGTTACGGCTACAACATTACCGAGAGTCTGTCCAGCAACATTGACGACAAGACCATGCACGAGATCTACCTGTGGCCGTTTGCGGACGCTGTGCGCGCTGGCGTTGGCTCTGTCATGTGCTCGTACAACCAAATCAACAACTCGTACGGCTGCCAGAACTCCAAGATGCTCAACAACCTTCTCAAGGGCGAGCTCGGCTTCCAGGGCTTCGTCATGACCGATTGGCAGGCACAGCATTCCGGCGTCTCCAGTGCCCTGGCGGGCCTCGACATGACCATGCCCGGTGACACCGTCTTCAACTCGGCCGTCAGTTACTGGGGCACCAACCTGACCCTGGCTGTCATCAACGGAACGATTCCCGAGTGGCGCATCGACGACATGGCCATGCGCATCATGGCCGCCTTCTTCAAGGTCGGCAACACCATCGGCTCCCAGGTCCCGATCAACTTCGACTCGTGGACCCTCGACACCTACGGCCCTGTGCACTGGGCGGCTGGTGTTGGTCAGCAGCAGATCAACCACCATGTCGACGTCCGTGCCGACCACGCCACCCTCATCCGTGAGATTGCCGCCAAGGGCACCGTCTTGCTCAAGAACACAAACAACGCCCTGCCCCTCAACAAGCCCAAATTCCTCGTCGTTGTCGGCGACGATGCCGGCCCCAACCCCGACGGCCCCAACGGCTGTTCAGACCGCGGCTGCGACAACGGCACACTCGCCATGGCCTGGGGTTCGGGCAGCGCGAACTTCCCGTACCTCGTTACGCCCGATGCCGCTCTGCAGGCCAAGGCCATCAGCGACGGCACGGTCTACCAGAGCATCCTGGCCAACAACCGCCCCGACACCACGAATGCTCTTGTCTCGCAGGACGGCGTCACGGCTCTTGTTTTTGTCAATGCCGACTCTGGCGAGGGCTACATCAACGTGGCTGGCAACGAAGGCGACCGCCTGAACCTGACCCTCTGGCACGACGGCGACGCGCTCATCAAGAACGTCAGCAGCCTCTGCAACAACACCATTGTTGTTATTCACTCGACTGGCCCCGTCCTTGTCGAGGAGTGGTACGATAGCCCCAACGTCACGGCCATTGTCTGGGCGGGCGTCCCGGGCCAGGAGTCGGGCAACTCACTCGTCGATGTTCTGTACGGTGCCGTCAACCCGGCTGGCCGCACGCCCTTCACCTGGGGTACCACCCGCGAGAGCTACGGCGTTGATGTCACGTACGAGCCCAGCGGTGAAGTTCCGCAGGTCGACTTTACCGAGGGTATCTTTATCGACTACCGCAGCTTCGACAAATACAACAAGACACCCCGGTACGAGTTTGGCTACGGTTTGAGCTACACCACGTTCTCGTATGCCAACCTGTATGTCCAGAAGGTGCCTGCTGCGCCGTACAAACCGACGACAGGCTACACGAAGCCGGCCCCGACCATCGGCAGCGGTAAAACGTCGACCAACCTTGCCGACTACTTGTTCCCCAACGCGACTCTATCCCACGTCTGGCAGTACATCTACCCGTACCTGAACACGTCGTCGTCTGGCAAGGCGGCTTCGGGTGATGCAAACTACGGCCAGCCCAGCGACACCTACCTCCCGCCCGGTGCGACCGACAAGTCGCCGCAGCCCTACCTGGCGGCCGGAGACAAGATTGCGTCTGGTGGCAACGCAGGGCTCTATGACGTCTTGTACACGGTTACGGCTCAGGTAACCAACACCGGCTCGGTGACGGGCGACGAGGTGCCCCAGCTGTACGTGTCTCTCGGAGGACCCGACGACCCGCCTGTTGTCCTGCGCGGCTTCGACCGGCTGCACGCCCTGGCACCCGGCCAGACGGGTATTTTCAACGCGGCCCTGACCCGCCGTGACCTGAGCAACTGGGACACGACGAAGCAGGACTGGGTCATTAGCAACTACACCAAGACGGTGTACGTGGGCTCGAGCAGCCGCAAGCTGCCCCTGTCGGCAACACTGGACTAGGATGCTGTGCCGTGCCGAGTGGACCATGCTGCTGCTTAATGGGAGGATGAGTAAAGAAGGGACCAGCAATACATTGATATACACAGCAGACCTTGGAAGGAATCGCCTTGGTTGAGAAGGAATACGGCCCACGTTGGATGGACAAAGTGTATCTTCAGTTGGGTCCTGGAGTAAATGGAAAAGAAGGATATCTGCCAAATGAATTTATGAATTTAATGCATTCGATTTACATTTTACAACACGTACTCTGTTCATATGATCAACCACACGACCTCACGGTCCAGCACAATTTCGATTTTGGTTCTTTCTCGTTCCTGGTGAGTAGAAACAGCTCGGGTGCAGTCCAAGAGTAAATGAACATCATCCGTCTTGGTATGTGGTTTGGCTGCATTTGTTGCTTTTGTTATATCCACCTGTTGGAGTCCGTTCATCCGCGCCTTGATATACTTCTTTGGCCACTCGCCACCGTGTTTCTTTCGTTCCTTTTTCGTCTTTTCTTTCAGTCATTCCAGCAGTGAGTGCGGCTCGGCGCTTCTATGGGACAATATTGGACGGTCGTAGAGGGGGGCCCTGTCTCAGTCGACCTCCCCTTGCAGTGTCTTTTCGCCCGCCGCCTCATTTTCAAAGCCCGTCACGCCTGTGAGTATTTTTTGGCCGCACGTTTAAACGCATCCGCCGTCAGTGGCTGGACCTGCTGGCGGCAGCCCGATCCAACAAGATTCTGCCTTTTCTGCCTTTCTGCCTGTTTTGCTTTTCCTTTGCGGTCGTACGGAAGACATGTTGTGCGTGTTTCGCCGTCGTGAGGGTTCAAAATGGGGGCATCGTCCCGAAACATTGTTTCAGTCTGTTCTGCTGCCTTGGTGGCAAGACATTCCGTAGAAGAGTCAAATCCCGAGGATGGGGGGAAGAGACAAGGGCAACAGCGCTTTGGGAACATACTGGCAATGCGAGGTTTATGGGTATGCACTTGTACCCCCACAGGCCGTGTCTGTGAGGCACATCGGTGGCATGTATCGAATGTACGGAGTACAGTTAGCAAAGGCTAACGTGAAGACGTTGAACAGTTCTTTTCTGTACCTGTTCATCACATTCAGCAAGTAGGCAAGCAGGCAGGGCCGAGAAGGGCAGGGAAGAGCAAGACGTGATGCTCCATTTGCACTTTGAACCGAATAAACGTTACCTTTGCATCAAAGCATGGTGACCATGGCAGAGTTGCTTTCTTTTTTTCTCTTATGGTTTGTTTTGTCTGCAAAAGCAATCACCGATGCCTTGCCGATGGGTGACCATCGCAGCTGAACCCCTCCCCTGCCGCCGCGTATCGGAATATCGGGATGATTGTCTGTTGGTTCACATCCGACGGTGCCAAGGTCGCACTGAGATCTTGAGGCCACCTTCCGGTCGTGACACACTCAACAATGCCATTAAGGTGATGAACAGTTTGTTGCAAGTTGGGGGGTCAATGATGTGCTAATACAGTGAGGTAGATGGGATTGCTTTCTTTTTTCATTTCTACTTCATTTCCACTTTCAACTTTCTTTTCGTACGCAGTTCTCGTTTACCAATCTTTTGAGGAAGGAGAAAACGGGAAAAGCCCGTGCATGAAAGACTTGGACATGCCGCAGGGGACTTGTTTAAACTGGTATACTTGCTGGTGGTGGCTTGGCCGGAAGTAGACGGTGGTGTGTATCGTCTGATTTCTCCTCATGCGGTTTTATTCTGTGCTCTGTGTTCTTTGTTCGTTTTCGTTTGTTTTTTTCGTCTTTCTTACAACACCCCTTGCTTCTGTCTTCTTATCTTCAACGGCTTTCATTCCGCGGCGCGCCGCTCCTCTTTCACGGGAGAACCGCGAACCAGAGTACTAGACCATTGCGAGGGAGTGAGGTAGAAAGGCAGATCGAACGGGCCAAGAAGTGGAAGAACTGCGCGTCAAAGAAGACGGCTGCATTGGATGGCGGCCGTTGAAAGCTACTCGGAGCCGAGAATTTGGTCTTTTTTATTTATTTTACGTTATTTTGTTTTTATTTTATTTTTTATCTTTTTATAATAATTCTACAACACGTTTCTATCGGGTAGGCCCCATTTCGTTCTCATCAACCGCGGCTGTTCTCACCCTCTTCTCGTTTTGCGCTTCTTGGTTATCATTTCTATTCCGGGCTGCCGTCCCGGCCGAGAGGACGAGGCAAGCCGAACGGATTCCGTCGCTCACTTGCCCTTTTCATCACAATCTCGCGCGAAAGTACACTGGGTCGGGTCGGACATAGCGATGCGTCCGACGTGCATCTGCAGAGTGCACGCGTCTGCGCGCATTCGTAAGGTCGTACAAGCGTGTAGATACAACGTGCAGGGCGGCCAGAACCTGGGACCGGAGAACGGCATGGGCAGTTGGAAAAGGGAAAGACGGGACGACGTGCTCCGTATTCCGTGCTCTGCAGATGACCAACCACACTGTACGAATTACAGGAAAATGACGCGGCGATGGGTTATGGCGAGAGTTGTCTGGAGCCTCCTGAAGTTACAAAGATACAAAAATACGACGTACGAATACAATGAGAATGGACTGGCACGGCGTACTGCGTCAGAGTACATCATTACCAATCTCCAATCTGTGGAGACGGACAGAGACGGGTGAGACGGACGAGACGGACGTGGCGGGATGCATTCCAGCTGCAAAGTGCATGCATGTGTGCATTTGCGTCCAGACAACAGTGGGGGGATGCAGGAGGGTGTGCAACCAGGTGCAAGCCTGGTGCAAACCAGGTGGACAGCAGGGAATTTTAAAGTATGAACCAACAGACAGTGGGAGGAAAGCAAACGCATGTGCAGCGGCCGATCACAGCGGACGATCCGGAGATCACTGTGGGATGTGGCTAGCCGTCGTGCCGTTGTGATCGAGAAGTTTGTGGTGGAGGTTCGTGGACGCGGACGGTCACTTTCTGCGTCACTTTTTTCTTTCGTTTCTTTTCTTTTTGCTTCGTTATCCCGTCCTGTGCCCAGACGTGATGCGAGCTCCACCCAAAGGTCGAAGCAGCTCTGATTGTGCATGACGCTAGCAAACCGAGAGCCCGAAAGGGAATTCTGTTCAAGCACGGTGAAGAAGCAAATTACAAAGTACGCCATATGTGCAGAGCGGCTGTATTTTCCATGTCTCATGTCTCGGCCTTTTCAGATTGTGTTCGTTTATTTTCGTTTATCGTGTATTCTCGTTTATCAGGTTGTATGTTCTGAGGTCCCTTCTTCCTCTTTTTCTTCATTCTTCCTTCTTGTTCGTCTTTTTTTTCTTTTCTTTTTCTTCTTTTTCTTCTTTTTCTTCTTTTTCTTTTTTAATTATGCCCCCCCCGATCAATCAAATCCCTCCCGCCCCCGGTCTTTTTGTAACAGAGTGACCAACGTCGCCAACGTGGCCTCCCACCGAGGTCCAAGAAATCCTCCTCCCCAATCGGGAATACGGGATCGGCGGCGAATTGCCCGAAACTGCAATAGCCCCGTTTCTTTCTTTCTTTTCTTTCGTTTGTCCGTTCACCCCTTCTCACAAGGCATACACATAACTTGTGCAATTTGTGCACCCCGAGACCCCTCCCCTCTTTCATATTGCACAAGCCTTCCGTCCTTGGAATAAATGCATTTACAATGTACATCGTACGTCGAACCCGGATCCGGAATCTTTTCCTTTGTCGCATGCAAGTCTTTGCCGTGTGCCGACGCCTCCCTCCATCACCGGCGTCTGTAAGTCCCGGCAGCCTGGATGGCCCATGTCCTGCGGTGCGTGATTTGCGTGATGTGCAATGTGTGATGGGTGATGCGTCGGATTTACGGCGTTTTGTTTCCTCTTGTCGAACGGCGCACATGTTTCGGGTTTGTTGGGTTCTTTTTTTTTTTTTTTTTTTTTTACTTTCCATTGTAGGGGTTGGCTCTTCGGTCCCAACAGTGACCCAGACCAAACGTGCGACGTACCACTGTAGCCCCCAACATCACACATTGTCCGTAAACAGCAATTTTCCTCTTACACAGAGTGAACTGCGGTGAAGTCCATGAGATTTGTGACGGAATTCGGGATTCGTGACGGAACGGACACAACACCGCGGTGAAAGTGAACGCCGAGGTCAAGGACATTCTATCACTGCTGTGTACGAAGTACAGTACACGACTGTGGACACAACTGTGTCTGCGACAGAAACAGACCAGGGGGAGGCTTGCCTGAGTTGTCCGCTTGGCCCAACCTGGCATGGTCGCTGTTTTCTTCCTTTCCTTTTTCCATTTCTCGTGCTGGCCCGCCTTTGGGTGTGGACCGCCCCCGAGTCTGAGACGACGAGTCGACGCGCTACGGGAGGATTTGAGAAGTAGGCTGCAACAGAGACTGCAAGGAGGCTGGGCATTTGCTTGTGTGCGTGCTTGTGCATGCTTACGAACTGCCTGTGCGTTTTGTTCTGTCCCCTTTGGTGTCTTTGTCCGTCCTCTGTTCCCCTACGTCGTATTTCTCACCATGTCCACTCACCATGTCCATTCTCACCATGGGCATTGCTCATTTCACGCATGTAACGGCGTATGGAACAATCAATGCGGGCGAATTGGGTTGTTCTGTCATTCATGCTTTGATAGGTTTCTTTCTTTCTTTTTGTTCAGTCCTTTTCTTTTTCTTTTCTTATTTTTTGTTTATTTTTATCATCTCGGACCCTGACAACATGACATCGTATTTCGGATAAAGGGCTGCGTATCTCACAGCGTACATTACGAATATACTCCTTGAAATACTGTCCGAAAAGACTGGTCAGCAAGTCGGGTCAGTGCACTCGAGAACCCGGAATCGACCATAGACCACAGACCACCACACAATAGAACAATATGTTGTATGTACTCTTACGCAGTCCAGCTTCCGTCGGCACAAACTACATGTATCTTACATCCGCCCGTTGTCTATGTCCGTTATTAGCCGCTGTTGAATCTGTGCGGCGCAGATGGTCATGTTCCGTTGGACCGCCTTTTCTCGCCTCACACCAAGCACAATGCGTCTACATGGCCAGGCTCGTGCTTCCCTTCCTCGACGCATTCCTCTGTTTTCGTGACCTCATAGATCTAGATTCCATCCCTTGGCCAACAGAAATCTTCTCACATCGGGCCATCTCGAACATCTCAGTCATGTCTTGGCGGTTCTTCGGAGCCTCGAGATCAGGATCATGGTGTATCTCTGATCCGCAGCAGGTGTCGACGTAATGCATCTGGCAGTTCGCAGCTCTTGCATGATGAGTTAAAACTTAAAATACAAAATACATAAACACAAAGCACAAGGGGGTTGGACCCTGCGTGCACTTCCGACGATACGGAATGTAACTGCAAGCCGCGGCCATGTCCTTGCATCTATCAGCGTGCGTACATGAACAGCATACAGTGTACACGATGCCCTCGGAACGGCCGTGATAAAGTCCTCGCGTTGGTTGTAAACTGTAAACTGTAGACTGAGACTGTCTTGTGAGCCATTGGTGCATCGTGCGGCCAAAGGCCGTCGTCCAGAGAAAAGGGAAAAGATCGTCACCAGCTCCACCGCACGGCGCACAGCCACTGGCACCACTGGCACCACAGGCACCCGCACTGACCGTCTGGCCGTCTGCTGCACCCAGTCGACTGGTCGCTGGAGGCAGCCTCCGCTGTTTGCCGGATCGCAGCACAGTATGCCCAGTGACTGCCTGTCCTGCCGTCGCCATCACCATTACCATCACCATCACCGTCATGCATCGACGCCTATGCACGTGCAAGTACACAGCACGCCAGCACGTCGTATTGTGCTTCTTCTCGTCAGGGTCTGTGCATGCTCGCATGGTTCGTCCCTCGTGGTTCCCAGTTTCCCGGTTGTGGTCCTCGTTCCAATGTACGAAATAAGATGTGTCGTATTGTATTTCAATGGTCAGCCGTGCTCACCTGTCATATTCTCTCATTTACAGCGCACGGCGCACGGCGTACGGCGTCGGAACATGCTGTACATCCGTCTTCGATTCAGCTGCGAGCGTTTCTGCTTCTGCTTATGCAGCCTATTTCCAGGTGTTTCGTAAAAGTCTCGTCCACTTTCTTACTCTCATTCTTTATTATGTCTCTATGTACAACATATTTCGTTCTTTTTTATTCCCAGCACCTCCACTTCTCCACCCCCCTGTCCCTCGCCCTACTCAGTAGTCTCAACTTTCCGTGCTCGGATCTAACTCTGCTCGCGTTCTTACGTCCTTTTGTCCTTTTACCTTTTACCCTTTTAGTACGCCGTACGCCGTAGTGCGAATGAGTTTGTTTCGCTCCGTTCTCCTTTCCGTTCGCCATTCTCCTTTTCTGCCAACCACATCCCTGCCCAGAGTTTCCCTTTTGTGTCCCTTTTCCTTTTCCCACCCTTTTCGTCCCATTTTTCCTGCCCTCCTCGCCGCCCTTTATCTCCGCAAGACTCGACCAGAGTCGACCACAGCTGCGAACAGCCATGGGAGATCCTCCTTTCCATTCTTGGGAGGATCCTCACTGAGACGGTCTGGGCCACACGCCCATGTTTTTGTAGCATGTCTGTGTTTGCGTGCATCTGCGTCTGCGGGTTTGTAATTTGTACTCCGTAGTTGTAATTTGTGGTGCTCTTCTACCCACACACCTGGTCTCTGACGACATCTTCGTCTTTGCTCTTCTCATCTCCGTCCCAGACGGTTTCGTTTCTGTTCTGTTTTTGCCTCTGTTTTGCCCATTCCATTTCTTTGCTTGTCGGTTGTCATTGACTTTCGCCTCCGTCTGCTGAGTCGCCTCCCTCTGACCTCTCACTCTCATCTCGCCTGCTCTCCCATCCGCCGAACTAGAAAATACCCTCCCTCTACCTATCTCCGGAAGGCACAACAGCGAGGCCCAGACGCTACTGCAGCCCGGAAGCCTCGCCGGACCCTCCCACCTGCCCCGAGCGCTCTTTCGTCGTCCTGCGCGCCCCTTACCTCTTGCACAAGTTCTCTTCCTCCTCGCCCACGTCCTTCCTCCTCGCCCACGTCCTTCACTCTTACACCCCTCCAGCTCGCCCACATGTACACCCACATGGACGCACACCGTGGTCGAGACCGAGACCAAGACACGACGTTCTAGACACGACATCGATACGACGTCCTCGAACGACGTCTTCAAACGACCCAGGCGACACGCGGGCGATAGCATCACTTCAGCGCTCATCTGCAACTCATCTGCAACGCATCCGCAGACATATATCTCCGGGCCACCCTTGTCCATCCTTGCTCCTTGCTCCTTGCCATTTTGACGGACACGACGGATCGTACCCATCTTTACCCAAGTGCTTGCCCTTACCTTTCCTGGCGTCCTCCATTGTCCGGCTTTGTCTGGTGCCTCTCTTCTGGTAGTAGTCCAAAGCGCTCCCGCTGCAGCTGCCACTCTGCCGCTCTCTCTCTGCGAGACCCTGTTCACATCGATCGCCAAGGTGATCCTTTGTCTGTTGACGACTGTTGACGTCTGTTCGACTGTTGACGTCTGTTGACGTCTGTTGACGACGTCTGTTTTACTTTCTTCTCACCTTTCTGCTGTCATTTCCTTCACTCTCACTTGACTTGTCTCCTCACTCTCCTCTCAGTTGACTTTCCTGTCTCTCACCACACTTCACTCACCTCTCACTCCTCACTCACCTCTCACTCCTCACACATCACTCCCACATCACCTCCACGCAACATGGCCAGTCCGGCCGACCCCGTGCCGCCGGTGGCCATCATCGGTCTTGGCGGCCGGTTCCCGGGCGAGGCCACCGATCCGCTGAAGCTGTACGACATGTGTGCCGCGGGCGCCGACGCATGGACGGAGGTGCCGGCGTCCCGGTTCAACCACGCGGCCTTTTACCACCCAGACCAGGCCCGCAACGGCGCCACCAACGTCACGGGCGGCTTCTATCTGCGCGACGACGTGGCCTTTTTTGACGCGCCGTTTTTCGGCATCACACAGACCGAGGCGGCGTCGCTCGACCCACAACAGCGGCTGCTGCTCGAGTGCAGCTACGAGGCGCTGGAAAACGCGGGCCTGGCGCTGGCGGACGTGGCCGGGTCCGACATGGGCGTGTTTGTGGGGTCCTTTTGCTTCGACTGGGCCAAGATGACGCTGCGCGACCCGGACGCCATCCCGCTGTACCACGCGACGGGCACGGGGCAGGCGATGCTGGCGAACCGGCTGTCGTACTTTTTCAACCTGCACGGGCCGTCGGTGACGCTGGACACGGCCTGCTCGTCGAGTCTGGTGGCCCTGCACCAGGCCTGCCAGGCGCTGCGCGCCGGCGAGTGCAGCACGGCGCTCGTGGCCGGCGTCAACTGCTCGCTGTGCCACGACTCGCTGGCGTCCATGAGCAGCATGGGCTTCCTGTCGGCGGCCGGCCGCAGCTTCACGTACGACAGCCGCGCCGCGGGCTACGGCCGCGGCGAGGGCGTAGCGGCGCTGGTGCTGCGGCGCGTCGAGGCGGCGGTGGCGGCCGGCAACAGCGTGCGCGCCGTCGTGCGCAACACGGGCGTCAACCAGGACGGGCGCACGCCGGGCATCACGTTCCCGAGCGGCGCGGCGCAGGCGGCCCTGATCCGGCGCGTGTACGCGCAGGCGGGGCTGGACCTGGCCGACACGTCGTACGTCGAGGCGCACGGCACGGGCACGCAGGCCGGCGACCCCATTGAGGCGCGCGCGCTCGCCGAGACGTTTGGCGCGGTGCGCAAAGAAGCAGACGGGCCCCTCGTCGTCGGCTGCATCAAGACCAACATTGGCCACCTCGAGGGCGCGAGCGGCGCCGCCGGCCTCATCAAGACGGTGCTGATGCTCGAGCGCGAGACGCTGCTGCCCAACTGCGACTTTCGCGAGGCCAACGACAAGATCCCGCTGGCCGACTGGCACTTGACGGTGCCGACGCGCGTGCAGCCGTGGCGCGACGCGCTGGGGACGACGACGAAGACGCCAGCGGTCCTCCGCGCCTCCATCAACGGCTTCGGCTACGGCGGCACCAACGCGCACGTCATTGTCGAGAGCGCGGCCGACTTTTTGCGCGCACGCGGCATCGACGGCGGACGGTACGCCTTTTCCCACGGCCGGCCGGCCACACGACACCTCCCGGACCCGATTGTCCACGAACATGACCGCCACAGCACATTGGATGTGCCGTCCGTCGCGCCGTCCGACGCGCCCGACGCGCCCGACGCGCCCTCGCGGTCACCCTCGCCATCGCCGACGCCGTCCTCGCCCGACTCCGACGGCACGCCCCCGACGACCAACGGCGCCGTGTCGCCCACGTCCGAGACGCACAAGCCCGACGACGCCGCGCTGCCCGTGCCCCAGCTGTTTGTGCTGTCGGCCCACGACGCGACCGCCGGCAAGGCGCAGGCGGCGCAGCTTTCCGACTACCTCGCGTCGGCGGCCGACCCCCGCCTGCTGTCCGATCTCGCCTACACCCTGAGCACGCGCCGTTCGGCGCTGCCGTGGAAGGCGGCCGTGGCGGCGGCGTCGGCGTCGCAGCTGGCAGCAGCGCTGCGCGACAGCAGTCTGCGCTTCCACCACACACCAGCACAGGCCCCGCCGCGGGTGGGGTTTGTGTTTACGGGCCAGGGGGCGCAGTGGTTCGCCATGGGCCGCGAGCTGGCGGCGACGAGCGCGGTGTTCCGGGCGTCGCTGGATCGCAGCGCGGCGATCCTGGCGTCGTCGACGATGCAGGCGGACTGGTCGCTGCACGACGAGCTGCTGCGGCGCGACGCGGCGACGACGCGCGTCAACGAGCCGGCCGTGAGCCAGCCGCTGTGCACGGTGCTGCAGGTGGCGCTGGTCGACCTGCTGCGGTCGTGGGGGGTCGCGCCGGCGGCCGTGGTCGGCCACTCGAGCGGCGAGATTGGCGCCGCCTACGCGGCCGGCCTGCTGAGCCAGGAGGCGGCCGTGGCCGCCGCGTACTTTCGCGTGCCGCTCGACTCGGCCGCCGCCGACGCGTGCCGCGGCGGCATGGTGGCGCTGGCGTGCGACGAGGCGACGACGCGCGGGCTGCTCGCGGGCCTGCGCCGCGGCACGGCCGTCATTGCCTGCTACAACAGCCCGCAGAGCTTCACGGTGTCGGGCGACGACGCCGCCATCGAGGAGCTCGCGGCCGCCTGCACGGCCGCCGGCGTGCGCCACCGCACGCTCGTCGTCGGCTTCGCCTACCACTCGCACCGCATGGCCGCCGCCGCCGAGGCGTACCGCGCGCTGCTGCAGGCCAACGAGACGGTCGTCGGCGCGTTTGCCGACCCGGTGACGACGACGGACAGCGAGCGGGCCGTCGAAATGTACTCGTCCGTGACCGGCCGCAAGCTGCAGCCCGGCGCGCTGACGCTCGACTATTGGGTCGAGAACCTCGTGAGCCCCGTGCGCTTCACCGAGGCGCTGACGGCGCTGTGCTACGAGGCGCAGACGGAGATGGCGGCGGACACGGCTGCCGCGCCGCCCAAAGCCCGCGTCGACGTGCTCGTCGAGGTCGGCCCACACGCGGCGCTCGCCGGCCCCATCCGCCAGATCCTGCAGACGGAGGCGCCCCTCAGCAAGATTGGCGTGCTGTCGATGCTCCGCCGCGGCCAGGACGCCACCGCGACCGCGCAGCAGCTGGCCTGCGCGCTCGTCGAGCGCGGCGTCGCGGTCGACGTCGCGGCCGCCAACGCCGATGCGCGGCTGGAAGGGTCGGCCTCGTCGACGGCGTCACCACCGTCAACGGCCCTTCCCCTCGTCGACCTGCCGCCCTACCCCTGGAACCACAGCACCGCCTACTGGGCCGAGCCCCGCGACAGCATCCGCTACCGCCAGCGCGCGCACGGCCGCCACGACCTGCTGGGCGCGCCCGTGCGCTTCGGCAGCCCGCTCGAGCCGCGCTGGCGCCAGTGGATCCGCACGGCCGAGACGCCCTGGGTGCGCGACCACCGCGTGCAGGGGCTCGTCGTGTACCCGGCGGCTGGCTACATTTCCATGGCCATTGAGGCGGTGCGGCAGGTGGCCACGGCGCAGGGGGCCACGGCGGCCATTGCCTCGTACGAGCTGCGGGACGTGTCGCTGGGCCAGGCGCTCATTGTGCCCGAGGGCCGCGACGAGGTCGAGGCGCTCGTCAGCCTGCGGCCGCAGACGGAGAGCGCCATGGACAACTCGACAGTGTGGCACGAGTTTTTCGTGTACTCGTGCGCGAGCAGCGCCACGACGGCGACGCCCATGGGCGCGCCGCTGACGGAGACGTGGGCGGAGCACTGCCGCGGCCGCATTGCGGTGCGCTGGGCCGAGGAGGGAGAGAAGGACAAGGACAAGGACAACAACGTGACGGACCACGCGGCGCTCGCGGCCGCGCGCGCCCGCCATGACGCCGCACAGCGCCAGCGCACGCGCGACGCGTGCACGCGCGACGTCGACCTGGCCGCGCTCTACGACCACTGCACGGCCATCGGCCTCGAGTACGGCCCCACCTTTGCCAACCTGACGGCGGCGCGGGCCGGCGCGGCCACACCCGCGGACCCCACGCACTACATTGCCGGCACCGTGGTGCTGCCCGACGTGGCCGCCGTCATGCCGGCGCACCACCACAGCCCGCTGGTCGTGCACCCGGGCACGCTGGACGCGTGCCTGCACGGCATCATGGCGTTCCGCGACCTGCTGCAGGCGGCCATCATGCCCGTCTTCTTTGCGCACATCTCCATCGACGCCGCCCTCGAGCGCGTGGCCGCCGGCGACGCCCTCGACGTGTATCTGGGCGTCCAGCAGAGCGGCTTCCGCAACCTCGACATCCACCTCACGGCGTACGGCGGGACGGACGCCGACGCGCCGCTGATTCGCATGGACGGCCTGCGCATGACGTCGCTGGCCGGATCGATGCCGGCGGGCGGGGGCGGTGGAAGTAGTGGAAACAGCAGCGGCAACCCCCCCAAGACGTACTTCCAGGCCGAGTGGCGGCCCGACCCGGCGTTTCTGTCGTCGGCCCAGTTCGACGACCTCTGCGCCCACCTGATGCCGGCCGAGGCCGAGAGCGCCGCGCTGCGCCGCCTCGACCAGGGCGCGTTCTACATGGCCGACGCGGCCGTGGCGCAGGTGCCGCCTGACGCCGTGCCCGCGCTGTCGACCAAGGGCCGCAAGCTGTACGCGTCGCTGCGGCGGCAGCGCGACGCCGTGCTTGCGCTGCACGACGCGCAGCCCAGCGCCACGGCCAAGGCCGCGCCCGTGCACGCCGACGACATTGCGTCGTGGCCCAACGCGTCGCCCGCCGAGCGCGCGGCGCTGCTCGAGACGCTGGCGGCGACGGGCGCCGAGGGCCGGCTGCTGGCGGCGGTGGCGGCGCGCATGCACGAGATTGTGCTGGGCACGGCGGACCCGCTGGAGGTGACGATGCAGGGCGACGTGCTGGGGCAGTACTACGCGCACAACCCGCGCATGGCGCGGCAGTACCAGCAAGCGGCCGTGTACGTGGACCTGCTGGCGCACAAGAACCCGCACATGCGCATCCTCGAGATTGGCGCGGGCACCGGCGGCGCCACGCTGCCGCTGCTGCACGCGCTCGGCGGCGGCGCGGACGGCCGGAATACCCTCCCGCGCTTCGCATCCTACGACGTCACCGACATCAGCTCGGGCTTCTTCGAGGCCGTCCAGGCCAAAACGCAGCCGTGGGCGTCGCTGCTGCGCTTCCGCCGCCTCGACATTGAGCGCGACCCCGTCGCGCAGGGCGTCGCCGCCGGCGCGTACGACCTCGTCGTCGCCGCCAACGTGCTGCACGCGACGCGCAACATGGCCCGCACCGTGCGCCACGCGCGGCGGCTGCTGCGGCCCGGCGGCACGCTGCTGCTGATTGAGCTGGTGCGCGTGCCCCAGCAGCGCGTGTCCACGGCCGCCGTCGGCAACATCTTTGGCATCTTTGACGGCTGGTGGGTCGCCGAGGAGCCGCACCGCCAGGACTCGCCGCTGCTGGCCGAGACGCAGTGGGACGCCGTGCTCAAGGAGCAGGGCTTCTCGGGGCTCGACGCGGCCGTGTGGGAGACGCCGGACGTGGCCACGCACCAGGGGACGACGATGATTAGCACGGCGGTATATCAGGGGGGCGGCGATGCCGATGGCGCCGAAGGCGTCAGCGACGTCGAGACGACGACAATAGAGAACACCGAGACGGAGACGACGGAGGCGCCTGAGACAACCAAGACGACGGAGGCGCCTGAGACAACCAAAACTACGACGGAGTCGACCAACACCGTCACCGAGACAGAGCCCAACGCCGACACCCCCTTTCCCGACGACACCCCCCTCCTCGTCACCGACGACGCCGCCAACAAGCCGTGGCTCGCGTCCTTGGCCAAGGCCCTCGCCGTCGCCCTCCCCCTTTCCCCCGGCACCGACCTCCCCGTGTACACCCTCGACGACCTGCCCACCATCACCGACCGCCACGTCTGCGTCGTCTACCAGACCGACCCGCAGACGCTGGGCCCGCAGACGCCCGCCAGCATGGACAAGATGCGCGCACTCTTCCTGCGGCCCGCCGGCACGAGCGGCGGCCGCGTGCTGTGGCTGACGCGCGGCGCGTCCGACGGCGCGAGCGCGCCCGACTTTGCGCTCATACAGGGCCTGCTGCGCACTCTGCGCGTCGAGCTGGGCGGCCGCCTGGTGCACCTGGACCTGGATGTGGACACGGGGAGCCCAGCGGCCGACCAAGACCCCTCCATCCAGACCGTGGCCCGCGTGTATGCCAAGTCGTTTGGCCGCGCGACTGACATTGCTACCGACGGGCGCCCCGCGGACGTCGAGCTGGAGCTGGCCGTCCGCGGCCGCCACGCGACGGTGCACATCCCGCGCTACGACGAGGCCCGCGCGCCCTCGGACTACGTGGCCGCGCGCACGGGCCGGCGCATCGCCGTGCCCGCGTCCCCGGTGCAGCCCGGCCGCCACCTGCAGCTCATGGTGGGCCAGCCCGGCCTGTTGGACAGCCTCTACTTTGACGACGACGCTGACGCCGACGCCGACCTGCCCGACGACCACGTCGAGATTGCCGTGCGCGCCGCCGGCCTCAACTTCCACGACGTCATGGTGGCCATGGGCCAGATCGAGACGCGCGCGCTCGGCCGCGAGTGCGCCGGTGTCGTGCGCCGCGTCGGCCGCGCCGTCACGGCGGTGCGCGTCGGCGACCGCGTGGCCGCGCCGGCCGACGGCACCTTTGCCACGACAGTGCGCTGCGCGGCGTGGCGCGCGCAGGTGCTGCCGGACAGCCTGTCGTTTGCGGCGGCGGCGGCGCTGCCGATTGTGCTGTGCACGGCGCTGCACGCGGTGCGCATCACGCAGCTGGCGGCGGGCGAGACGGTGCTGATCCACGCGGCGTCGGGCGGACTGGGCCAGGCGCTCGTGCAGCTGTGCCAGCAGCGCGGCGCCGTCGTCTACGCGACGGTCGGCACGCCGGCCAAGAAGCAGCTGCTGGTCGACCAGTACGGCCTGGACCCGGCGCACATCTTCAGCAGCCGCGACGACGGCTTTGCCGACGCCGTGCGCCAGGCCACCGGCGGCGCCGGCGTCGACGTCGTCTTCAACGTGCTGGCCGGCGAGCTGCTGCGCGCGTCCTGGCGCTGCGTCGCCGCGTTTGGCCGCTTCGTCGAGCTCGGCAAGCGTGACCTCGGCCGCAACGGCCGCCTCGACATGGCCCCCTTTGCCCGCAACGTCACCTTTGTCGCCGTCGACCTCGTCGCCCTGCTCGCCGAGCGCCCGCGCTACGGCGCCGCCCTCTGGGCCGACAGCATGGACCTCGTGCGCCAGGGCGTCGCCCGCGCGCCCGCCCCACTCACCACCTACGCCTACGCCGACGCCGTCGCCGCCCTGCGCACGATGCAGGCCGGCCGCCACGTGGGTAAGTTGGTGCTGGTGCCACAGACCTCCACCTCGCAAACGGCGTGCCGACGCCCCCGTCATGTCGCCGCGCGTCCCCCCCCGTGCGGCTGCGCGCCGACGCCAGCTACCTCCTCGTCGGCGGCCTCGGCGGCATTGGCCGCGCCCTCGCCGCCCGCATGGTCCACGCGCTCGGCGCGCGCCACCTCATCCTCCTGTCGCGCGGCGACGTCGTCACCGACGTGGCCGCCGCCGCCGTCGCCGACCTGCGCGGCCGCGGCGGCGCCCGCGTGCACGTGGCGTCCAACTGCGACGTGGGCCGCGACGACCAGCTCGCGGCCGCGCTGGCCGCGGCGCAGGCGGCCGGCTTCCCGCCCGTGCGCGGCGTCGTGCACCTCGGCCTCGTCATGGAGAGCGCCCTCTTCCAGGACATGTCCAGCGCCGCCTGGAACCACTCGCTGTGGCCCAAGGTCGCCGGCACCTGGAACCTGCACCGCCAGCTGCCCCAGGCGCCCGGCGCGCTCGACTTTTTCGTGCTGCTGTCGTCCATGGTCGGCACCATTGGCAACCCCAGCCAGGCCGCCTACGGCGCCGCCTCCACCTTCCAGGACGCCTTTGCGCGCTACCGCCGCCGCCGCGGGCTGCCGGCCACCACGCTCGACCTCGGCATGGTCACGGGCATCGGCTACGTGGCCGAGCACGGCCAGGTGCAGCAGACGCTGCGCTCCCAGGGCTTTGAGGAAATCAGCGGCGACGAGTGCCTCGCGCTCGTCGAGTCGGCCATGCTGCAGGGTGACGAGGACCCGGACCACGACCACGGCCACGCCTGGTCCGCCAACTACGTCACCGGCCTCGGCCTCGGCCGCTACGCCGGCGGCGACCCCGCGCGCGCCATCTACCAGGACCCGCGCTTCGCCATGGCGCGCCGCATGGCCCTGCACGCCGCGGATGCCCATGCCGATGCGGATAACGTCCCGGGTGCAGGTGCGGGCGACACGCCCACGCGCTCCCTCCGCGAGGCCGTGCGCCAGGCCGCCTCCCTCGCCGACGTCGTCGCCCTCCTCGCCGCCGCCCTCCGCGCCAAAATCACCGCCCTCCTCATGCTCGCCGCCGAGGACGACCTCGACCCCCACAAGCCCCTCAGCCAGTACGGCCTCGACTCCCTCATCGCCGTCGAGCTGCGCAACTGGGTCAGCAGCGAGATGGAGGCCACCGTGCCCGTCCTCGAGTTCCTCGGCAGCCGCACCACCCAGTCGCTGAGCGACTTTATTGCCCGCCAGTCGCGGCTGGTCAAGAAAGAGTTGCTGGAGTGAGGGTGTGTGGGGGGTTGTTGTGTGGGCTTTGATTATTGTGCTTTCTGACTGTTCTTACTGTTCGTACTATTCGTACTATTCGTACTATTCGTACTGTTCTTACTCTTGTTACTCTTCTTCTCTTGTTCTGTCCACGCATTGCATCGTTGGGTTCTACAGCATGGTTCATTAGATTTGTTTTGCGTTTCGTCTTGCGTTTCAAAGGTTCAATGTCTTTCCTGTCTGCTTTTCTACTGTGGTTGCGATGATTTACGTTCTTTGCATTTGCTATTTCCTTAATTTTAATACTTCTTTACAATACCATATTCGGAACAGTAACTCTTACAAAGTAAATGCCGTGAAAGGTAGAAACGTCATGCAAAGCAGAGCGAATAGAATAAACGAACAGGCTGTCTTTGCAGTCTTTCGTCTGACAGTATGTTCAATTCAACTCACCTGACAAGTATCCTCCACCTGTCTTTTTTTACAGCAAGTATCAGCAGTCTGAACACTATTTATAACCAGTATTTATTCATCGAATATGTCGACAAAAAAAAGGCAGACCCTAGAACAAGCCAACTGTGTCACTTCCTTGCCTTTCACTTACATTTATCATGACCTGCATCTACTCTCGATGCCGATATATGGTCGACAACAGTTATGCCCAACCGGTATCGCCGGCCATTTGACCGGACGGCTTGATCACAGTGACGACTGGACGGCTCTTTGGCTGTTGACGGCAGTGGGAGCGCATGGCACATGCGACGCACTCTTTGAGCGAAGCTGGCGACAGATGACCCAATACAGGTCAGTTGTGTGAATACGAGCCGGTCGCTCGGTGTGAATGATATGATTATTCGTACAGTATTTACATTATTTACATTAGTTACATCATTGACACTATTTAAAATCCGCCTAGAGAAGAACCTATAGGTTAAATGGAGACGCAAGAAAGTGGTCAAGTATGCCAAGTGTCGTCTCATCAGCTTCGTCTGTGGCTGTGCCATTCAACGCCCCGGCCGCAGCATGCATAGTCCCCTCCGCCAACCAGATTCGGCCACCAGCCAAATTGCGACGTTGGCAGCCTTGTGTCGGTCGACAGACATGCCTTTTTCAGCCGCAACATACCAGAGACGCCAACGGACTCGACCTTCTCGACCTTCTCGACCTTCTCGACCTTCTCGACACCCGCACCGACGCGCAAACAACAAAACAACAATGGCGACCCAGGCGCATCTGAGCGAACCCGAACCCGACGACGAAGAGCGCGAGCTGGCGCGGCAGATTCTGGTGCTGGAGCGCAAAGCCAAGCTGCGCCAGCGGCTCCGGCAGCTGCAGGAGGCCGATGCGGCCGAGGAAGCCAAGGAGGACCGCGACAGCCTTGTTGCGCGTGCGCGTGCGAGCACGAGCAACGGAGTCGAGCCCGAGGACCATCACGTCATAGGCAGCCGGCCTCTGCAACAACAGCGACAGCACCAACTATTGAAGGAGGAGGAGGAAGAAAAAGATCCGAACGCGCCAGATGCATTGCAGACGGAAACGGCCCTGCCGCTTCGGCCGGCGCCCCCCACCGACGCCCCGCCGACCCAACAGGGCCGCCCAGACTTCTGGTCCTTGTCCGTGTTTGGCTTGCTGGCCTGCGTCGACACGGCCATGGGCTCCTCCCACGCGGGGCAGCCGCCGCCCACACATGCCGTCGGCGTGGCCATTGATGCGCAGTTTGACCCGACCTTGTACGCCGTGCGCGCAGCTGGCGGCGGCGGCGACACCGAGTGGACGCTGCCGGTCGGCGATATGCTGGGCGTGACGTGCTCGTACAGCCTGACGGCGGTGCGGCGCGACGCTGGGCCGCTGCTGTTCCAGCCAGCGGGCGGCCAGGGTGCCGTCCGCGTGCTGGAACTGGTGGTCAGCATCGAGGCCGTGTTTGCGGGCCACGCGTCGCGGACGCTGGCCCTGCGCCGGGCGCCGCCGGCGCCCCAGCTGGACAGCGCCGGCAGAGCGACACAGACAGCCAGCAACACAGCCAGCAGCAGCAACGACCTGGCGCGGCGTGTCGTCCTGGCGCCCAAGCCACACGCGACGTCGCAGAGCCAGAAGAGCCTGTGGTGGACCAGCGTGCACGACGAGGACAGCGACGGCCGGATCCGGGGCAACCGGAGCCGCAGCGGGCGTCTGCCGTCGTGGACAAAGTCGTCGCCGCGCGAACACCGCTTCGAGCTAGAGCTGGTCATGAGGGATGCGCCGCCCAACCCAACAAAGACAAAGGCAAAAACAAAGACAAAGACGGAAACAAAGACAAAGACGGAAACAAAGATGGCGTCCGCACCACCACCCACCGACGCTCGTGCCGACGCCAACCCCGTCGAGCGCAGCCACATTCACGTGCGCATCGAGCTGCTGGCCAACGTGGGCAACGGCGAGTGGCTCAAGGTGGCACACCGCAAGTCGGAACGGCTGACGATCCGCAGCGGCGGGTCCCCGAATCCGGACACATGGACGCCGACGCCGGAGGGGAGGGCATAGCGGCCACGAGAAGACGGATGTGGATGATGGGTGTGATGGATGATGTACGTATTCCGACTATTAGCTACCCACATGACGACGTACAATTACAAGAATAACAGAATTGAAAAGCATTCCTCTGTCGTGTGGTATTTGCTAACTGCTGTACGCTCTCTACACCTCCCTCTACACCTCCCTCCCTCCCCCTACACCTCCTCTACACACCCTCCAGCGGCGTCACCTTGACGGGCAGCTCGACGGGGTTGCAGTTGAACCGCTCGTGGTGGCGCAGGACGTAGTCCGGGTCCGGCAGCCGCCAGTCAAAGGCGAGCACCAGGGCGGCCACGCAGAGGCTGAGCTCCATGTAGGCCAGGTTGCGCCCGATGCAGGCGCGCGGGCCCATGCTGAAGGGCGCCACGTAGTCCTGGAGGTGCTGGCGCTCCTGGTCGCTGTACTCTGGGTGGCCCGGCAGCCACCGCTCGGGACAAAACGCCGTGGCGTCGCGGAAGAGGGCCGCGTTGCGGTGCAGGCTCCACGTCTGCGCGGACACGGTGACGCCGGCGGGGACGGGCTGGCCGTCGATGGTGCCGTCAATGGTCGTGGGCGCCGTCGTCCGGCGCGGCGCACCCGTCCCCAGCGGCGGGTGCAGGCGGAGCGCCTCGTCGAGGACGGCGCGCAGGTAGGGCACGCGCTGCAGTGTCGCGTAGTCGACCACCACGCCGCCGCCGGTGGTGTGCGCCGCGCGGAGGGCGGCGCGCAGCGTCGCCTGCTTGTCGCGATGGCGCGCCAGGCAGTAGACGGTGTTGGTCAGCGCCGACTGCGTGGTGTCGTTGCCCGCGTTCAGCATGACTGTGCTCTCGGCGACAATCTCGTCGAGGGGCATCGGCGCGGGCCGCGCCGCGGTGGCCGTGACCGGCAGGTGCGCGAAGAGGTCCGCCGCTTCCGACGCATCGGCTGTGCGCGCCAGCCGCTGGACGGCCAGGTGGCGCGCCATGCCGGAAAAGTCGTCGCCGCACCGGCGGCCGGCCGTCCACGACAGAAGCACGCCCTTGACCAGCGCGTACCAGCGGGGGGCCAGGTGGCCCAGGCACACGCTCCAGGCGGCGCCCGTGTGGAACGTGTGCATGGCCTGCACCGTGTGCACGGTGCCGTCGGCGTCCTGCGCGCTGCAGTCGTCGTCGCCGCGGTCGAGGAAGCCGTAGGTCTGCGACCAGACGACGCTGGTGATGGCGTCGTACGCAAACATGTTGAGCCACGGCCGCACGTCAAACACGCCGTCGGCGCCGACCGCAAACCGGTCCCTGGGCGACACCTGCCCCCCCGCCGCCTTGATGCGGAGCGCCGCCACCAGCTTGGCCACCGTCGCCGCCACCCGCGGCTCCATGGCCACAATCTGCTTCGCCGCAAAGACAAACGACAGGTTCTTGCGCTTGCCCCGGTGCACCGCGCGGTCCGTCACGTCCGCCATGTTGGGGTTGCCGGCGGCCTGGTTGTCGTAGAACGCGTCTTTGACAATGGACGTGCCGTGCCCGTAAATGGCGCGATACGCGCGCGGGCTCGAAAACGAAAGGTGCGTGGGGCCGAGGCGCACCACCGGGCCCAGCTGCCGGTGCGCGCGGTCGACGGCCAGGTACTTGCGGCCGACGTAGTTGTGGTACATTTGCCACAACGGTGTGTAGGCGGCGATGCTGGGGGCGGGGTACTTGCGGAGGCCATGGCGGTCGACAAAGAACACCACGAGGGGATAAACAAGGGCGACGACGACAAGGGCCGCAATGGCATAAGGGATGTCTGTGTTGTCAGTGGGCTGTGGTGGTGACGGAACGGGGACTGAGCGGGGAGGCTGTGGTTGGCAACATACGTGATACAATCATTGAGTGAATCATTGTGAGTGAATCATTGTGAGTTGTGATCAGGACGGTGACGTTGATAGCAAGTCGATCTGGAAGGTATGCGGCTGCAAAGAGTGGCCTGCCTTTTTTATCTCTTCCAGGGGAGACGCAAAGAGAGACTCGACAGACAATCCCGCCGGCAGACACGGCGGATCCTCAGCATCGACATCGTCGAGTCCGATGACAAACAGATGGCCGACATACTCGGCGGGGACGGTCTGGAACGTCTCCGACATGCGAGGGCTGTGCTACACTGTGATGGAAATGCAGGATGATCCTCGACCTCGACGGCAATTTCCTAATGTAGAAGGCCGCGGCGATGTTGACACGAGAAGTAGGGTGACATACAAGACTACGAGGAAGACTACGAGGAAGACTACGGACAGACCAGCGCTAAAAGAAACCACAACCGAAGAGAGACATGCTTCCCCGGATTTGCTTGTGCGGGGAATGTGGAGAAGGCGAGGAGAGATGCAATCAAATATCAAAGGCAGTGGTAACGTGGAGGTATGCTGGTCACAGTATCGACAAGCGACGGCCAAGGTGCGTAGATGGCCTCATGACCTACTGACTCAATAAAGTGGACGCTTCTCCGCAGATTCTCCACGGACCACAGGCTTTTGTCATTGTATGTCGGCGAGAATTGCCTTTATGTATTCATTACTTTACGAGATGGACATTACCTAGTATTCTGCCCGTACACGCCCACCCTACTGCACCTACTGCACCCATGACTGGGCCTCGCCGCTCCAGATGCGCTGCAGCTTGTCGCAGCACGTCGCATTGGGCCACTTTGTGCGCTGCATAAAGTCCTGCAAAAAGGTGAGCAGGCGCGTCTGGTCGTCCCGGTGGGAAAACACTTGGCCGAGCCACGCGATGATGGCGGTGCCGTTGATGGTGGCCCCGAACGCCGGTGACGCCATGGTGATGCCGCACAGCACGCGCGTCGGCTCCAGGACCTCGGCCTCCATGTAGCGGCCCAGGGCGAGCATGTTGGCTGGGGTGGTGGTGTCGGTGTTGGTAGTGTTGGTGTCCTGCGGGCGTCGATGCAAGGCCACCAGGACCTTGGCGCCATAGTAGTACTGCCAGCCGACGACGTGCCAGGTGCTCACGTAGCGCAGCGTCGGGAACGGGTCGTCGGGCGCCTGGTAGCGGGCCCACGGCTGGTACGTCGCGGGCACGCGCTCGTGCCACTGGGCCAGCAGGCGGTGCAGCTCGAGCAGCCGCGCCGCGCGGGCGGCGTCGGCCAGCGTTGCGTCCCAGCAGACGGAGCACGCGCGCGCAAACAAGTACGTGGCGCGGTTGGCCCAGGCCTCGTCGGACACGGGGGCCAGCCACTGCCTGTCCACATCCACGTCGACGTCGACGTCCACATCCATCTCCTCCATCTCGCAGGGCTCCTCGTTCAAGACCGCCATGCGGATGCTCTGCCGCTTGTACACCCAAAACGCCACGGCATCGTCAAAGTCCAACGCGTGGTCTGGGTTGCGCGCAAACAGCGACGACGCCCCCATGAGGTGGCATTGCATGTCCTCCTGCATCTCCGAAAACTGCTCGGCCATGCGCAGGATGACGACGGCCGCGCACAGCACGTCGTTGTCGTTGTCGCCGTTGTCGCTGCGGCTACGTGACGACAGCGTCGAGAGCAGCGCCTCAATCGCCCGGCTACCGTACAGCTCGCCCTGCGCCGGGTCGAGGGCGCCCGTCAGCGCGCGGATGCGCGCCGCGTACGACAGACACGCCGAAAAGAGGACCGGGTCGTGCAGCGCCAGCCGTGGCACCGTCTCGCTGAAAAAGCACGTCGGCGACACAATGTCGAGCCAGACGCCCGTCTCGCGAATGTAAAACTCAAACAGCTCGGCGTCGCCCGGGTTGGCGACCACATGGCGCGGCAGAGAGACAATGGGCGACCAGCGCGAGAGGCGGGGGACAAGGGATGTCTGTTGCTGCGCACGGCTTGTGCTGACGGCATCGGTGGCACGATCCCTGTCGACGCGTGGACTCGATATCGACGAGACGGCGATTGTTGTCGTGGACCGTGCATCGGCCTCGTCGGCCTCGTCGGCCTCATCGGCCGCTTCAGCACGCACGGCGGTATCGTCGCTGGCCTGGCTGTTGCTTGCACGTCCCCGAACTCGAACCCGCTCTGTATAGACACTCGGCCGCACCCGCAGCGCCGCTCCCGCATATTCACATCGCCGCGGTTGTCGGGACCTGCGGCAGGCCGAGCAGCTTGGCACGTCGCGGTCACACCGCAGATGCCGGTCTCGACACGGGAGGCTGCAGATGGGGGCCGATTTCGTTAGCAAGCGGAGGCCTGTTGGGTGGACCACATTCGTACTCACCACCCTGGCTTTCTCATTTTCGTCAGTGCGGCGCCCTGGTGTGCCATAGCATGGGCTGTCTGGCGTGTGGTCGATGGCGTGTGGTCGGATACGTGTCTGGCCGGAACGGACGCCGCATGTGTGCCTCGGCGAATATACATGCAACCAGAAGTTGTCGGCGAGGTGTGCGGAGCGTGGGGACTTGTACATGAAATATACGATGTATGGAAAGAGGGGAACACGGACGATGAGTTAGGGTAGATCAGTCTTCTCGACCCACGGGGCCAAGGTCGGCCAAAGGCTTCGAAAGGCTAAACGGCACAAAATTGACGAGTGTCGGCTGTTTGTAGTGGCTGGAGCTAACGCTTTTATGCTGTTACTAGTTGACTTTTTTGTTGACTTTCCTGTTGGATTGTTGTTCGCGTCAACGCTCCACAATATAACGCCGCAGTTGTTCAAGGCCGGGCACGCTTCATCCCTGTGCAGGTCCTGTACAAGTTGGCGAAACACAATAATGGAAAAAAAGGGAAAAAATGACTGCACGACACGGCCAAAGCCAACAACTCGCCTGTCCGGGGTCAAAGACCCGGAATCTGTGGACAAATGCCGGCGTGCGGGGCCGCAGTCTGAACTAAACCGCACACGGCAATAGTCGGCGAGTTGTGCCATGCGACATCCAAACGTCCGCCAACGTCCCCAACTTTGACAACCGCCGGCGGATCTTAGCGGTTCTTAGCGTACAGCCCGTCATGTCTCACCGTCCGCCACGACGTGGACGAGACAAATTTGCGGTATTCCAACCTTGTTTTTCAACTTTGTTTCTCTCGTCATGCCGTCCGGCTCTGTCTCTGCTTTTTCGGTGAACGTAGCCACGCCATACTATGCGGAATCCAATACACATGTTTCCCACGGGCGTGTCCCTTTGTAGAAACAATAAGACGAAATACATAATTCGATAAATTAGGATGCACAGGGGCCCATCTTGTCCACTTTAGCTAGACTCTCCTCATCTACCCCGGCATCTCAGACGTGCATCTCCTCCAAACGAGAATATAACAGCCTCGCATGTCCTCCTCTCCAGACTTCCCCAGATTCTCTTTCCAAATCTGTCACCCTCTCCACATCCTTAATTTGCTCTCCTTCCATATCCACCCCATTGTCCGGCTTCTCCTCCTCCACCATGCAGGAAAAGGTGTCCAGTGAGGCCATTGAGCGCGCAACGTCGAGCTCCGGCTCGGGCGACGTAGCGCCTTCTGCTGCCACAGCCACTGCCATTGCCACTACTTCGTCGCTCGTCCACATCGACGTCCATGCCCCGCGCAAGAGCTACTTCTTTGGCGCCCGGGGCAAGAGTCTCATGCGCGCCATCTCCTCGGCTGGCACCGTGGGCTTTCTCCTCTTTGGCTACGACCAGGGCGTCCTCGGTGGCATCAACACCTCCGAGGACTTCCTCCGCCAGTTTAACCATCCCTCTGACACGCTCCTCGGCACCATCAACGCCATTTACGAGTGCGTCCAAGACCATGCTGCCTAAATCAATCTTTGCTTGTTATCAACTTTTTTATGCATGTTTTGCTGACGCAGCCTGCCCTGCTCCTGTGCCACAGAATCGGCTGCTTCGCTGGCGCCATCTGCGTCTTCATCGTGGGCGAACGGCTCGGTCGCCGCAAGTGTCTGTATGTCGGCGCCGTCCTCATGGCCATTGGCGCCGTCCTGCAAGCCTCGTCGTTTGGCGTCGCCCAGATCATTGTGGGCCGCGTTGTCTGCGGCTGGGGCAACGGCTTCAACACGGCCACCACGCCGCTCTGGGTCAGCGAGCTGAGCCCGGCCAAGTCGCGGGGCCGTCTGGTGGCCGCCGAGGGCACCCTGATTGCCTTTGGCATTGTCATTGCCTCCTACTTCAACATCGGCATGTACTACGCTAGCGGGCCCGTCGTGTGGCGCGCGCCCATTGCCGCCCAGCTGCTGTTTATCGTCGTCCAGGTCGCGCTGACCGCCGTCCTCCCCGAGTCGCCGCGCTGGCTCACAAAGCACGGCCGGCACCAGGAGGCCGTAGACATTCTCGCTCAGCTGCACAGCCGCGACGCCGCCCTCGACGACCCTGCCGTCCTCCAGACAAAAGCGGCCATTGACGCGGCCCTGGCCTTGGAGCAGGCCGGCGGGCCCTGGCGGCTGTCCGAAGCCTTCCAAAGCGGGCCCCTCAAGATCCGCCGCCGCTACATGCTTGCTTTTGGACTCCAAGCGGCGCAACAGCTGAGCGGTGTGAACATCTTAATTTATTATTTTCCGCACATTCTAACGACCAATCTCGGCATGGCCACAGAGACGGCCCTGCAGCTGGCCGCCGGGCTGTCGGTGTCCTACTTTGTCTTTTCCCTCGTCCCGCTGTTCTGGCTCGACCGCATGAGCCGCCGCAAGCCGCTGGTGGGCGGTGCCTTTGTGTGTGCCCTCTGCTTCCTCATGGCCGCCATACTCCAGTCGACCCCCACCGACGGCCGCGTCAAGGCATCGCTGGCCTTCTTTTTTCTCTATTTGGCCGTCTTTGGCATGGGCTGGCTCGCCATCCCCTGGTTGTACCCGGCCGAAATTATGCCCCTGCGGCACCGCACACACTCGGCCGCCATTGCCACCGCCGCCGACTGGATCTTCAACTACATGATTGTCCAGATCACGCCCATTATGATCTCCAACATCTCCTGGCGCTCCTACATCATCTTCTTCGTCATCAACCTCGCCATTGCCGTCGCCGTCTTTCTTTTTTACCCAGAAACCTCGGGCCGGTCGCTTGAGGAAATGGATTCTCTCTTCTTGGGCGACGGAGACCACGTCTTCGTTGTCAACGCCAAAGGCCAGCTGCGTGCCGCCTTTCGTAGTCAGTACGCCAGGGACGAGGAGGCGTAAGCACTTTCAGCACGTGTGGTGGACGCCACGGAAATTTGTATTCAGAATATAGTTTATGTAGTGGCAGTGTCGTAAAACAAGTTGTCTTCGCTTCTGTGTTCACCATTTATGCCTCTCGGGTGTCGGACCGTGAAAACGGCCCTTGCCGGGCCGACGCGGGTAGAGTGGGTCCAACAAATATATTTGATTGGCCAGTGTACACTAGCGTGCTCCTGTCAGTGTCCCTTAATGCTTCCGATTACGAGAGGGAAGGAGCGCTGCCAGCACCGTATAGCATGTATCTGTGTCATATCGATAAAAGATGGGCCGACGTTCAAAACTACAAAGACGACGGTGAGAGAGTAACATATCCACATGGCCCGGTCCGTGGATAACCCAAGTTGGGTTCGTGCTTCCGACGCTGTATAGGAAGCAAGATAGCAACCATCGGCGGTTACAATGTACGGAACGAACGAATATATGACGTGGTCGTCCTTGTAAGTCCCGAATATTGCTATTTTCTAGAAAGGCTGACTTCGGTGTTCCATTGTTCCTGGTTTTCTGTTCTTGGTTCTATTCAGAATGATACCGCTCAATCTCTTAATAGTTTGTCTTCGTCGTACAGTCGCCACCTAATAGTATCTCTATCTACTACAGCGCACGAGCATACGCATATGCTTAGACGACCGGCGGCGGTTTGTCAGTCCATACTTATGATTCTTCTCTGACAAGACCGTTTTCCCGTGTTTCATGGTCCGAATAGGACTCCCAGCCCCCCAGCCCCCACACCGTCTACTCCGCCTTGACGCTGGCCTCGACGTCGCTCGAGCACAGACCAAACGATGCGCCGGCTGCCGAGATGGTCGACCGTGCTCCCTCCGCGGCCGCCTCATCGTACTGCGTCTGGTTCCAATACAGCTGCGTCACGTTTGTGTAGCCTTTGACCGGCACCCACTGGAAGCCCTGGATGTGGACGGGCGTCGACGATGGTACGACCGCCGACGAGGACGACGGCAAGTTGTACCACATGACAAACCCGTACGCCGCATAAAAGCCCCACGTCGTCTCCCCGGTGCCCAGCGACGCGTTACCGCCGTCGACAAACCCAACAGGGGCAAACGCACCCGCCGTCACGTTGATGTACAGGTTCTGGTCGAGCGACGTGTAGTCGTGGAAGCCGTTCTTGCGTGCCGGCTGGATGGGGTCCAGTGGCGCGCCCGAGTGGCTGGTCACCGACACTGTTTTGTGTGTGAGAAGGAGCGGACATCGGAACATACAACGAGCGAAGCGAGAATGTAAAAGGAACCTACAGTACAGGGGGAACGAGTCCTTGGCGGCGAACGAGTCAAGGCTCGTGGATGTGGTGCCGTCGCCCGTCGTGTTGCGGTAGATGAAGCCTTGTCCCAAGTCAGTTGTGGTCCAAGAGTATGTCTGAACAGTGTTCGCATGTCATCGTTTCATTTCTTTCCGGACATACCGTCGGCATAGATGTTGTCGGTGCAGACCAGAACCGAACTAATGGCCGTGGATCCGGCACCGCGAGCAAGGCCGGCGAACGACAGCAGCGCCGCTGCCGCAACAATCGAGGTTCCCTGTGACAGCATTTTGAACGTCTTGGATGGTGAAAGAAATGTATTGCTAAGATGCGGAAATGTGGGATGAGGATGGCCCGGATATTTAAAGACAATATCAGCTGCCCGGGTAAAGGAAGAGCCAAACAAAACCCATCGAGCCACACGGTCGAGAAAAGCGACATGCGGAAACAATTTATATTTCCCGCTCTAAACGAGCCGGCGCCCGTCTCTCGAGTGTCAAACAGAATCGTCCCGTGTGTCCAGGTGATGGGTTTCTGATTCATCATTTGGTCATGCCTTATAATTCGTCCCTTGTCGTCATCTGCATGCTGTCCTTTGGCCATGGAACGGCTCGTCTCCTCGGGCATTCGCTGCATCAGCCCCCTTTTCTGTCCACTTCCCTCTCGTTTGCGATGTGCGCTGTGTTTCCCGGACCCCGGTTCGCGCTGACCCAACGATCAAGCGGCACAGTCGTCGTCATCTATTTTTTGTACATCTGCAACCACGGCAGGCGCTTGGCACGCTATGGATCATCCCCTCCTTATAGGATGAAGTTGACCTGTGCTAGCTGTGCCTCACCATGCTCTGTACATGTATGTGTGGCATGTACGGAATACAAGGAGAACAGTCAAGGCAACGTGGGCGGGTGAAGGAAGAGTTGGGTTGAAACAAAGGTACCCAGAAAACGAACCAAATCGGTCAGCCAAACACCTCCAACGCCGAGGTCGACAAATCAGATGTCGACATGAACGAAACCAAAACATGCACGTTTTAGGGGATCGACAGAATTACGGATGGGCGCAGGCACAGGAGGCGGCACAACAAATAACGAGAAATGCGAACCCAGGACTTTGAACCCAGAACCTGGAACCAAAGAACCAAAAATCCCAGAACCGCAGAACCGCAGAAATCCGGCCAAAATCACACAAAGCGCAAGGTGGCCGAGGGATGCCATACTAAACCGTCCGCTCGTCCGATGATGCCGGACGAAAAAAAAAAGAAAGAAAAAATAACACAAAGGCCAGAAAACAATAATTTTGGTCCGTGGTCATTTGTTTGCAAGGTCAGACCTCATCCTTGGAGGCACCCAATTGTGGCTGCGCTGTGGAGCAACGTCTCCGCGAGCCCAGTTGGGCGACTTTGCCCCGCTAGCGAGCTCTGCCGTTGCTTGCCGGAACGCCGGCATGGGGGCCAAAATAGGAGGTTTTGGAACATGTCGAGTCACCTAAACAGCACTGTGTACATCTAAACTCTACGAAATAATGAAATGCAGGATACCTCATATATTAAGGTTTCGTCACGCCGCCCTTAATAAAAGCATCAATTGGAGGAAGATCGGCAGCAGCTAGAATCACCATTAACCAGGTCGACATTAACACAAAGCGATGTTCCAGACTCGAGGATCATCGGCCTGGCGGGTGGAATACTTTTGCATGTCTCTTGACAAGGTGCACGCATCCCTGCACACATCATGCGTGGGCAACTAAAGACGGCATGCTCTCTTGGCGGCAGCGCTTCATCCTGTCTCGTTTTTCGTTCCGCCTTCTTCGCCAATAGAAAGGCCTCGACGGCGGGATGACGCGGATGTCGTCGACATGCGGTGACGACACATTTTCTGCCTCTGGGTCTGTGCTTCTCCACTGGTCTGAGCATCTACGCTGATCACAGTTTGTGTTGGACCACGCAATCCCTCCTGACCTTTGGTAACCCATTTGTCATAAGCATACTCATGTTAGAAATCAAACTGATCATACAACGTACCAATAATGTAAGCCGCAACTGCATGTTTCACTAGTCTGCCGCCTCTGGATCCAGTGGGCCTTTCCACGTTGCGATTTTGGATGGATTGGAGCGGATGTGGATCGAATGAGGAAAACCGCGGAGAAAGGGTGGAATGCCGTGCCGTATGAAATTATTGAAGAGGTAAAGATTTCTTTGTGACTTTTCTGATATAAGAATAGTGTTGTTCTTCTAATTGAAAAAGTAAATCAATTGTGTTGTTTTTTTAGTTGATTTTTTTTAAAAAAAAAATAAGAAAAAGAAAACGAACGCAAAAAAACATCTTCAACACATTCGAACAAGGCCCTGTGAGTCGCACGTGCAGATTTACGGTACAGAAACAGATCAAAACGAGATCAACGGCCAAGTTAACAGAAATTAACGGCAAGAAAACATATAAGCGAATGGATGAATAAATGGAAGGCAAAGGTTTGCCGTAGTAAAGCCGGCGAGTATGTTATGCGCCGATTGATCGCTGGAAATGGTCGTTGCAGCGAGAACGACATACTCAAACCTCGAGCTGCTTAGCCTCTGAATCGAGCCAGCGAGCTACCCATTGGCTCCGCAGCATCAAAGATGTAGAAAATTCAGCAAATCAAGTCTGCGTCTTCCCGTGTCTGGCTCACTGGCTAAGAACTGGCTAGATATTGTACTACTGATCGTGAATCCCATGTACAGACTGGACATTTTGTGCGCTGACTTATGTATGCAGTTTTTACGATTTGCGCTTCTACAGCCCTCATTCAGCTTGAACAGGTCGTTCCTGCCAAGAATATCGTTGCGTTACTTAAGGAGAGAACGATGACCCGCACTGTACTGTCATTACTCAAGCCCGATGTTTCTTTAATTTTCAATGAAAGCATGTCATTTCTCCTTCCTCAGAACCGTCTCTTCTTACGCGGGGCAGGAACGGTCTTCACAATGAGATGCCAAAAAGGGGAAACTGCCAGGCTTAGCCAGGTCCACGGCCACACGCGCCTTCCCTAGCGTCTCCGGCGGGGCGGAGCGAGTCCACATTGGCGCCAGCCCCGCCAAAAATGTTTGTTCACCTTTGTGGTGCAGCCACGACGATGTTTCGATGCTGTTTTCGTCGTTTGGGTTTGGGTCTGGGTCTGTTGGTCTCGTTTTTGTCGCCTTCTTGACAACTCTCGTGTTTCAGCCGTGTTGCGACATATCGAGGTAGAGGCTGCACGTTTCCTTCTCGACCGTCAAGTCAAAACCAAAAGGACCTCCTCGCGAATATTGAGTGCCTACCACTTGCCTCAGGCTGTGCGTGCTCTGACCGTGCACTGCTCAAAATGGGAGCGCCTATCTTGCTTCTTGTCAGCTCGTCAACGGCCTTGTCGTTTAGAAGGCCACATACCGACATTTATGTATGCGTGTGGGGGTGGCGTCGGGCCTCGACACAAATGACGGCTTCAAGTACGAGAAAACAGTCGCCTAGTTCTCTCAATTGGCGCCTATTTTACAGACACGTCCCATTTCAGACCGTTCCTGGATCATCCTGCAATCATCCTTCACACCTTCACACCTTTCTTGCCAAATGTAAGAGGGAAGGGGGTCATGTTTATGTAGGCGACTCGGTCTGGCAAATCGGTGGCCATGATGGGCCGTGGCCCACTGCACATTCCGAAACCACTAAACAGTTTTGGACTGTTCCTCGATAGCCGCCTTGGGGCCGCTGGAGGCCTGACGGTGCAAATGGGGGTGAGGCTGAAAAGTGAGCTGCATTGATTGGCGAGATGCTGCGCCTTTCCTCAAGAAGCACACAGATTTGGACTAGCGCCGTCACGTGTGGTTTATTTTGGGTCGCTCCTTTGTCGCGCCTGACTGAAGAAGAAGCCCAAACTAGTCCAAAGGACGCCTAGCGTGACCAATAGTGGGCTCTTCCGTCCCCCAGACTGCACTTGCACTGTTTTGCACCGCCATCAACACTGCAATAGAGGCCAGCGGCTAAAAAAGGCGACGAAAGGCTGAGGATAGCATTTTGTACAAAAGAAAGGGTTCTGGGCGTAAGGCAGAACGCATGATTCGCCTCTAGTTTCTTCATTATACCATTTTCAAACCAATTCACCTTGTTTCTGTTGACGATCGTTGAGATTCTTGTCTGGTTCCTCCATTTCCGTCGCCACTCGTACCTTCCCTGGCCGTTTCTCGCGTTGTTTACGGTGAAGCTGTCGCACCTGCCTGTTCACTGGCTTTTGTAGTGGTCGCTCTTTCCCCTCTTTCTCACGACCGCAGCCACATTGCTGTTTGCTGAGCTGTGTCGCTCTTTCCCTTGCTCTCACACTGCGCCTTCCGTTTCTCTTTGCCTTCTCGATCGTTTGCGTTTGCCCCTTTTTCTTCGTCCTCGATCTTAGCTTGCCCCGTCTTGGCCTCCGCTGCCACTTCATCGCGATTCCATCATCGCCTCAGGCGTTTGTGTCTCCCTCGAACCGCCCCATCCCTTACCGAGCTTGACTTAGACTCAGAGCACCTGTGGCAATTCCAAAGTTCAACCGCACCGCCCACAGACATTACTCGTGCGTGCCGAGCTCGACCAAGTCCACTCTTCTGCCAAGAGATCCTATGGACAACGCTTCGAACAATGTCATGAACACCAATCCTCCCTATTTCGGGCACGATGAGACGGAACCGCCGTCCACTCTGGGGCCGTTATTCATTCCAGGGTCGTATCCCACCACCGCTATGAGCATGGCGGCCGGCGGAAACGGAATCCCAGAGCATCGCCTTGCTTCGGGCATGGACTTGCGTCCCGGCAGTAGCACCAGCTATCATCGACCGACATCCCAGGGCAACACATCGTTCCTGGGCTTGAGCAGGCCGGCTACGCCTTCATTGCAGCCGCTCGCCATACCCGGTGGAGGCCATCTGCTTCCACAGCAAGGCATTCAACACGGCCCGCAGCCTAGTGGCTATTTGGGTGGCATGCCGCCGTCTCACGACTTTGCCTTTGCCGGAATGCAAGAAAGTCAAAGTCCCCTCTACAGCCAGACCGACAGCTATGTCTCGACGCCGACCAGCGCCCGGCACTTAGTCTCCGCGCCGCCACATACGGTCTTGTCTTTTGACGGCCGGACCTTCCCTGTCAATAATGGCTCGTTCAGCGCCGGTGGGTACTACGGAATGCCCGGCAGCAATCCGTTTGGCAACTTCAGGAACAGTGGCGTTGCCGTCGGCCCGCTCTTCGACCCGTCCACCGGCGAGACAAGCCACAACCCAATCCAGGCCTATCCATCCCCTGCCTCTGCCACTCTCATGTCCCAAAACCTCTCTCAGGCATCCCACACCTCACATCTCTCTTCTCACTCGGCACCTGCCTCAGCCACTGTCGCCTACCACCCCCAATCCTTCCCGTCCACCTACGCGAGGCCTCACCACATGGCAGGCACCTCACCGGCAGGGATGTACCTGCCTAACGGCCTGCAGCCGTCTCTCCACCCCACATCACCGTCGCCTTTTCCCCCAACACAAGACAACGGAGAGGTGCTGTATGGGGTCGGCGTACAAAACATGCCCTCTGCCGTGGCTACGCCACTCGCGTCTCCGATGCCCCAGGGCATGGCCCAGTCGGACTTTGTTGTTTCGCAGAACTCGCCGGACATTGATTTCGAGCTGCCCGAGGCCGAGTTCTCCCAAAACACAGTCAATGCCCTTGTGGAGGCGGACAGCCAGTACAGCCAGTACGCGCCATCGCTGCCCGTCCTGCCGAGCTTCCAAAGCCAGACAGCCCAAGAGCCACATCCGCAACCTGCCCACGTCGGCTACGGCCCGTCTGTCCATCACCCTGCCACGCCAACGCGCAAGCCGAGCCAGTTGACGGTGACCTCGGAGAACAGCTCCAGCTTAGACTCGTCCTCGCCCTTGTCATCGGTCTCAGTGGCAGCTGCTGGCGGCCATCAACAGCCCAAGTTCCGCTCGGCTCCCGCATCGGCTCCGGCATCGGCTGCCGGGGACGTCGCCATGACAAAAAAAGTCGCGGGCGTGCCTGTCTCCATGCAGAACCACTTCAACGTCGGCACCGGCAACCACAACGTCAACAATGCCGAGGGCAGCAACGCCAAACGACGCCGCTCGGACGACCTCGATGGCGCCACCGGCTTGTCGAAAAAGATGGCCAAAGGCAAAAAGGCAGATGGCTTGAGTTGCGTCCCGTGCGCCATAAAGCGGAAGAAGGTATGTCTTCGCCTGTCAGTTGCTGGATTTCTCTTCCCCTAGCACACCTCGTCTGACTCTTACTTCTTTGATAGTGTGACAACGGTTCTCCCTGCGATAAATGCAAGGGCAAGACGGCGGCGTACCCCAGATGCGTCAGCCAAGACTTTTCCGAACAAAATGTCTTTTTAGACGGTGCGTAGACACAAAACACAGACAAACGCATGTTCCCTATCGCATAACCGCGTACGATGCTAACAGACTGGCACGTCTAGGTCTTCGCAGCGATCTGAAAGAAAAGGCCATCGAGATGATTGCTGGGGACAAGACCATGTCGATGAATTACACATCAGATCATGGCTTTCCACTTGGGCTGTTGTCTGAAGTGAAGTTTGGAAACGGCGACGTGTACAAGCCGCTCCTGATGGGCGATCCGTCGGAGGACAAGTCGTTGAACAAACCGTTCTACCAAGCCAGCATCCTGTTACAGGCGCACGAGTTTTTGACGATACAGTCCAACAGCGGCCTCCCGAATGCACTCAACTTTACACCCGAGGTTGAAGACAACCTGCGCCTCATGCAGGCCCTCAGCGCCGCTCGCGCATTCCGTTTCATCAAGAAAATATTGAACAAGAATCGGATGAACGAGGAGACGCCAAAGCACAGCCGACGCGCGCTCAATATACTGATTCAACTCTGCATGTTCTTTGAACAGACGCTCGCCTATGAAAAGATGCAGCGCAAGGAGAGTCTGCCCTTGACCGACAAGCTGGCTGCGCAGCACCGGGACCTCTCGTACCACCTTGCGTACCGCGTGCGCTTCATGGCCGACTACACCTACGGAGAGCAGAGCGGCCTGTCCAAGTTTGTGGAGATCAGCGCCGAGAGCGTCAATCTGAAAGAAGGGTTCTGGGACCTGCTCCAAGCTCTGCGCAACGATCCGTCACAGTTTCTGGTGGAACCAGGTGGAGTCCATCTCGGCGCAGAGGGCTGGGACATGGAGAAGAATCTCCATGCTCCGACGACCGCGGCCGGAAACGGCGACGCATCCGGAGCCTCGACCGCACCGGCCGCCTTTGACACCGCGGCCAACTCGCCGGCCGCAGCAGATCGGCCACACATTCTTGTGACCCGTCCCACTGGCCTCGGAACACCCACCGCCCAGGCGCCGGGGCCGAGCAACGAGCAGAAGAAGAACCTGACGGAAAAGTTGATGGCCAATTTGGGCCGCTTGGGACCCAAAAAGAGGAAGCGGAAAGACGATGACATGTGGGTGGATTCGCGCGACATCCCGGACGCCGACATCATCTTTCACGTGCGCACCCCTGTCCACGACGACAAGTTTGACGACCTCATCGGCCTGATGCATGACGTGCACATTGACGCCGGCGAAGGCAGCGCCCACGGCCATGGCGTACCACACCCATCACACCATGCACAGCAGGTACGCGACGACGGCCAGATGTTCTGCACCAGCCCCGTGGGAGACGACTTGCAGTGGCCGCCGTCCGGCGATGCGCGCAGCCCCAGTGACCTCTTTGACGGTCTCGACATGAGCACGAGCAGCGTCCCCAACAGCTTTGACGACGGCACGGGGGACAACAGCGTTGTGCTCGACGATCTCTATGACATGGATGGGGACCGCGTGCTGGCCGCCAGCCTTCGTGCGGCCCAGGATGCGGATGACGCCGAACATCGCTTCGACTACGGCACGGAGAGTGCTGATGTCGCCATGAGCAGTGCTGCCGTGCATCCCGACCTCACCGATGCGGCCGATGTGGCCGATGCGGCCGATGCGATTGCTGCTTCACCTCAGACGGCCGGTCCTATACCGGGTCCGGTGGCTGTCGAAGTCGACGCAAGCGTAGATGCTGGCCCTATCCTCACCACTGCCCCTGTTGCCCCTGCTGCCCCTGCTGCCCCTGTTGCCCCCTCTGCTCCCTCGGCTCCCTCGGCTTCATTCGTCTCGTCTGCCCCGGCGAGCGAGAGCGGATCCGTGTCTCGGCGCCCCTCCTCGGCCCGGTCGTCCCTGCTGCTTGCTCGCTCGCGCAGCATCCGCACACTAGCCAAAGGCAAGAATGTCGTGAAGAAGCTGCTTGGCCGCAAGGGGGAATAAGCGACTGTCCCTTTGTCACCGTCGGATCGCTCTGCATCCTTGACCATACGTTCGGGGTGACTCTCTGTTTCAAATGACCTGGCGTTTTACATGTTTATTTTTTTGTTTGGCTTCTTATTTTTGCTTCATATTTTTGAGCAAGTTCCTTATTGCAGAAGTCGCAGCCATCGGCGACAAGTCTCGTGCTACTACGCACCTGTTTTGGAGGGTTCAGTCTTTTTATCTTTTTCATCATGTTTTATGCGGCAACGAATATATGCATGCGCATCGGGGTTCACGGGCAAAAGCACTGGCATTTCTTGAGGCTGTTTGATTTAGTCTGTTTTGTCATACCGATTTGTTTTGTTGCTGATACTTTGATTTTATGTTATATTTTTCTGCCTTTGAATTTCTGGCTTTCAATTTCGTCTTCCAACTTTGCCCTTCAACTTTTACTTTCAACTTCTGCCCTCTTTTTTGCCTAGCACTTTCACCATACTCATTTAGACGGTCAGTGTGATTGCTTATTGGTAGCAAAGATTTGAATTCAAAGTCATATTACTTTTGGCCTACATTTTTTGGTCTTCTAGGCATACACCAGTATTTTGTTGCCATAATTTGCAATGTAGATAATCAGATGCGAGACATAGAATCAAACAATGTTTCAACGACGCAAATGTATCAAATCCTCCGCCGCGACGGTAGTGCAGTACAAAAGACAGGATGCAAAATGCAAAAGAATGCCAGAAAGAATGCCATTGTAATTAATGCTCTAGGCTGTCATCAGGGGACAGAAACGAAATAAAACGGAACAGAAGTAAAAAAAATGAAATCAGAAAACAGAAGCCAACAAAATCATGTCCCAATAAACCCGTTTCCATAAACTCATGCCACCATGCAGTCGCCCGAAGAAAAGAAAATCAAAAAACAAAACAAGAGAATGGTAATTTACAGGATCGGGATGCGGACCTGGATCAGGGCGGGCGCCGCCAATGTGGCAGCGGGCACGGCATCCGGGTTGGCAAAGTTGTTGCTGGTGGTCAGGGAGGCAATGGTCAGGCCGTCGAGGACGTTGGCGGAGTGCGGGAACTCGGCCTGGAAGGAGATGGCATTGCCGTGCCAGGCGACGTCGTGGATGGGGACGCTGAGGGGCAGGTTCTGGCCGGAGAAGTAGGTGATAAAGAGGCCCTTGGCAGCGGCGTCGGCGTTGCCGTAGTAGGGGGCGGCGGCGGCGACGCCGGTGAGGTCGGCGCCAAAGGTCAGGTTCTGGTTGACGGGGGTGACGTCGCCGCCGCCGGCGACGGCGAGGGTGGGGAAGATGGGGATGGGGATGGTGGCCTTGATGTCAAAGGGGCAGGAGACGATAAAGTCCTGCAGGGCAGAAAAGGCAAAGGGCGCGACGGAGGTGGTGAGGAAGGGCTTCTCGGACGGCTTGGCGTTGAGCAGGCTGCGGAAGAAGCCGTTCTGCTCGCCCTCCTGGCCGATGACGGAGCCGACGGCGCGCACGGGGCCGTGGTCGCCGTTGGTGGACAGGCCCTGCTGGGCGTCCTGGAGGGTGCCGAGGACGACGGAGGTGAAGGTCTCGGCGAGGCTCAGGGCGCCGATCAGGTCGGTGGTGGGGAACTTGTAGGTGCAGGGCGTGGGCACGACGCCGTTAAAGTGGCGGACAACGTTGGCGGCGTTGACGGCGTGCAACTCCTCCTGGGCGAGGATGGTGCGGAGGACGCTGAGGACGGAGGCCTTCTCGGCGCCAAAGGGGATCTGGAAGCCGGAGACGTCGTTGGTGATGTTGTAGATGAGCGAGTTGAAGAAGGCGACCTCAAAGTTCTCGTTGAAGTTGATGAGCTGGAAGATGGGGATGCTGCTGGCGTTGAGCGCGGGCGGCGGCGGGGCGTTGGAGAGGGTGCCGCCGGCCGCGATGTTGATGTTCTGGAGCTGGACGGTGCTGGGGCTCGGGAAGCCGTCGTCGGGCAGCTGGGAGGCGGCGGGGTAGGCGAGGGCGCCGGAGGCGAAGACGGTCGCCGAGAGGAGGTTCTTGTAGAGCATGGCGGCGGTTGTGTGAGTACGGTATCGGTATAGGAAAGGAGATGGGAAGGGATGAATGGAGGAAGGTGAAAAGGAAAGAAAATGAAGGCGAAGTTGGGATGAGTGACAAGAGTGGATGGAGACAAGGCACGGAACAAACGATGCAGAAAGGGGGGAGGAGATTAGTTATATAGAAAGAAGGTGACGACCAGACATCAGATGCATCGACGCCGTGAGAAAGGGGCAGAGCTGGCCGTGGATGGTTCACTGACGTTTGTTTGTCCGGCCAGGCAATCCTGGGCAATCCTTGGTGGCCATCTCACTTACACCCACGCTGCCCTCCTGAGAAGGATCTTCCTTTGTTTGTTCATGTACACAGTCCGACGGGCCATTCTGTCAGGTCCATCGGAACATGGGTGATCCGGCAAAGCCACGATCCCAGAAAAACAGGCTCGTTTAGGAATCGAGAAACAAAAAAGCTTAGCTTTGATGACCACCTGCCGGGATTGTGAGGCGTGCACCAACAAGGCCTGCCTTTGAGCTGTTGGTAAGTTCCGTGCTCCATAGTATTACATTGTAAGTGTACATGTATATTTCCGTAGCTGGCGTCTTATTGGTTGTGCTAAAAAAGACAGCGGGAGCCAGGCCGTCAGCCCACCAACAAAGGATTATTTTTAACATGGGGGGCTGAGCTGCGTCTAGCTGCCAAACCAAAAACAGCAGCCGGATGCCACTGAACCGTGGACCGCAGACGCGCAAGGGGTGGCCGCGGGCGTGAGACAGCGGATGCTGCTCCAAAGGATTGGTAGGAAATGACGCTCAATTTCGAGGATGTCACTGGCCGTCCTTCTGAGGCTGTTGGGACCGGCCGTCGAGTTGATTCAATTCACGACGGAGAGGTCCATGCTGCAGACAGGAAGAAGAGTGCATTGTAAGTTGTCACGGCCGCAGCGCTCGCAGATACGACGCTGGGGGTCTGGAAGCACATACATCCGTACCTTACGAGAAGATGCTGCTCGCCCTACGCAGATCGAAACGAAACAAACACACAAACGACACAAACGAACAGTGGCCAGGGGCAGAACGTGCGCTCGTCTTCTGTTCCACGTCCGTGTCTCGCCATTCCCTTCAGCCCTTGCGCACGGAACATTCGGCCATGCTGCGCTGCCTCTGCCTCAGCACCGTAAAACAGTCTCACTTGCTGTCTGCCAGTTGTACAACATACATCGTAGGAAATGAAGCATGTCCCCCTGCTCCCTGTGCCTTTTTCTTCTTTCTCTCTGCCGTCTTCCATGCATCCTCGACAAATCTTACGGTTCTGATCATTCTGACAGCTAGTCCTCTTTTGTGGAGGATTCTCACCTCGTCTGACGGCCAGAAGAAGCGATATTACCTCAGTGCGCTGTCTTTGGGCGGAACTAACTCCGGAGAAGCAGCATCGAAAATATACTTTGTAATTTACACAGCAAAACACATCCAACTCCAACACCTCTCGGTATCTCGCACGTCTCTCTCCTGTGGGCCTATGTGGCTTGGACTGGATGCTCGAAAAACAAGCTTATGGAGAACGGGGGCAGACGTCAGGGCCAGAGCCTAGGCCCAACAGGGGACGTCTGAGCATTCGCCAGCGACTCGGGCCCTGGAATTTGTTGGGTGGCGCATCGGAAGCACGCGAAACAGTTGCACAAGCGTCGCAATACAGCTGCTAGGGTCAAGGCAAGCTTCTCGGAAACGTTTGTTCCGGCAGATCGTCTTTGTTTACTTGACAAAGCAGCGACAATGAAGAAGGCAGGAGACAGGACAGCAAGAGCACAAACCAAGAATACAAGAAAGGCACTCAAGAAAGACAAAAGCAGTTGCACCGACTGAAAGACTCGGCATTTGACAGCTATTAACCCGATTCTCGTTCACTGGAAATGAGAGGTCAACGAGGTCAGCTCGCTCTCACGCCATTCTCCACTGGACTCCGCAACAGGCACCGCTGCCTTGTCTTGTCCCTGTGTCTGCTTCGCCTTCCGGATCATCTCACGTCGTCTGAAAAGGGCAATAAACGTGATGACCAACTGCATACCCCGGCACAACTTTAAATAGGTTATTCTCTAGCCACATTACGAGTTACCGCAGAATATGGACGGCCACGACCGCGACGACAAGGGGTCCGAATGGCGCCACAACGATGAAATTGCTGTTGTGAACAAATCAACTCGGCCGCGGCCAAGTTGGCCGTGGTGTCACCCCTTTCATCTTATTTCCACGCGGCGAGTGATGTTTGGAAGACCGCCGACGACTGTCGACGACAGCAAACAACCAAATGAGACCACCAAAAAAGAGCACATGCGCAGAGAAACAGTGACGGCGCATGCGCCACAGTCTGCTTTCCGTGTTGCAGGGACGCCAGAAGCCGGGACAAAGACATCCTTTTTTAGCACCTGTCCCCTGTACGAAACGTCGCCGGCCTCTTTTGTCACTCTCTCTCACGTAATGGACGCCGTACACATGGCACAGTGGGCTGTTGCTAATCAGCGTCGACGGCGATGTCAGTCATTGTCAGCCGCCTGTCGAGCTGAAGGGGAATCTCGCGACACATTTTTGCTGAGAATGACCCCCAAACGCAGAATCGTATTTAAATTTTTACTGACTTTTTAATGAAAGGTTTATATTTGTTTAATTATGCATGTATTTTAGAAAAATTGAATAAGAACATTTGTTGTAAATAATAGTCGTGTTTCTAAGAAAGACGGATTGTGAGCAACAAAGTAACCACCGCCTTCGGTATGATAAATTCAGTCATTGCGGACGTGTTCGTACCGCGAATACAAGTGTACACGTCATCCGAGGGAACGTTATCTTTTACTAAATCATCGATTGAACGTGTCTGTTCCTGCCAAAGAATGCATCGTTAAATCATGAAGAACCTGGGAAGAAGTAATCAGAGTCAAAAAAAAAAGTCAACCTGTCAGCCTGACATTAGCAAAAAAAGAGCCAAATAAAAACGATACGAAATAAAATCAAAACAAAAAATGAAATAAAATCTGAACAACTTATCAGACATCACAATCGACCATCTTCATCACTCGATGTCACTCACCATGGCCAACACTTGTTGCGCCACATTAAATATCCCACCAATTCTTCTTGCCGGTAGTGGTGCTGCTGCTGCTGCCACTACCACTGCCACTTCCACTGTAACTGCCATAGCCACTCGAACTCGAGCCGTAGCCAGTAAGAGTCCCAGAGCCCAAGCCCGAGCTGGAAAAACTGTAGCTCGGGCCCGCATAGTCTAAGCTGTACGGAACACCACCCCCGGTAGCCGATCCGCCGCTCGTGGGAATGCTCGACAAGGGACCGCCGACGCCGTAGGCATTGAGAAGAGAGGTTCCCGTGTTGGGCCCGTAGCCCTGCAAGCCATACGGCGAGCTTAGCGACGACGAGCCGCTGCTGCTGCTGGTGGTGGACGTGCTGGTGGACGAGCTGCTGAGACTGGGGACCCAGCTGCTGCTGCTGGCACCGGATCCGGACCCGAAGGTGGAGGAGCTGCGCAGTGGGGACGACGACGACGCCGAAGACGACGACGTTGACGACAACCCGAGCCCCAGCCGACTGGCGCTGTAACTGGAGCCGGAGCCCGTCCCGAGACCGGCGGTCGTGGACGGGCTGCTGGTCGTGGAGCTCGACGGCAGCAAAGGCACCCAGCCGGACCGGCCCGGTCGAATCGTCGAGCCGCTGCTGCTGACCCCCCCGAGGCGGTGCTGCTGCTCAGCCGGGACGGCGAGCTGTACGTCCCCGTCCCGGATCCGATGCCACGGAACAGGGAGCTGCCTGATCCGGACGCAGTGCCGGCGCCGATGCCCGACGATGTAGTGCCTGACCCAGAACCAATAGTGCTGAACAGGCCGCTGCTCGAACCGTAGCTGCTGCTACCAATGCCGCTGCCGCTGCCGCTGCCGCTGCCGATGCCGCTGCCGATGCCGCTGCCGATGCCGAAGCCGCTACCAATGCCCGACGACGTTGTACCAGACCCAGAACCAATGCCGCTAAACAGGCCGCTGCTTGACCTGTAACTGCTGCTGCCAATGCCACTGCCATTGCCGAGGGCCGACGATGAACTGCCAAAAGGAGACGAGGAACTGCCGAGAGCAGACGAAGAATTGCCCAGAGCAGATGAAGAACCACCGAAAGCAGACGAAGAGCTCCCCAGAGCCGAGGACGAACTACCAAACGCAGAGGAGGAGCCTCCCAGAGCCGAGCTGCGGCCCAGCGTCGAGCTCGAGCTGCCGCCAGAACGCGACCGCGAACTCGAACTGCCCGTATGACGGCTGGATCCCGACCCCGACCGCGAGCTCATGTTGGGAGGATCTGTGTTTGCGGTGGAGGATGAGGTAGATGTTGAAGTATGTGTGTGTGTGTGTTTTAAAGAAAGCGTTTGGTTTTCGTTAATATTCAAGTATGAGAGGTGAATACTTGAATTGAAGGCTGGGACATAAGGAAAACAACAGAACATTTCGACACGACTCCCGTTCTATTTATACTTCTATTGGGAGATTGGTATACCTGTCTAGCAGACGTTGTAGACACTTACATCATGATGTCAATAGAGCTGTTGTGCAGGCTGTACAGGTTGTGCAGTTGGACATGGTGGCGTACAGGTCAATCAAAGGAGTGAAGTAATGGACGTGTACATGGAAAAAGGAGAGACATCAACAGACAGTCGGTGAAGTAACAGCAAGGTTGAAAGTGACCTGACTATTCTGGACTCGAATGCACATTGTATCACGACGTGTACATAATGGTAAATACCGAGTGGTCGCCTTGTCCTAGTACTGTTTAAGCCACACTCTGGCGGACATGGCTAGTAAGAGTATGACAAAGAGACTTAATGGCCGACTCGAAGTCTTCCACACCAGAATCATTCTCCTAAACAGAATATTTACCGTCGATATTGGCCATATAATCCTTGTAATTTGACAACCGTCTGTGCTTCCTGGACCCAAGCCCAACTGAGGATTCTTAAGGATGTTGATCTTATGGTTGTTCCTTTTCTATTTTTTTTTTACTAAGTTAGGATGTTTATAACATAAATATAAGATACATTCAAGCAACATACCATCAAAGTTATCGTCAAAGTTGTTATTTGTCTGGGACGAAGATTGGCTGTCGTGTTCTTGGATGTCATCGTTATTAGCGCCGTAAACGAAGCTGTCGTCTAGTTCCAAGCCTTGGTCATCATCTGTAGCCTCGTAGTCGGCGTCAGTCTCAACCCAAGAGGCCTCAGAAAACGGCGTTGGTGGGCAAGTAATGTAGGGTTCTTCATCGTCTGAGTTACTCTGTGTGTCGTTGATAGTGAGGTTATCGGCTTTATATATAAAGCGTTAGTATTTTACGTTTGAGTTATATGTACTTAATAAAGGGAATGTCTCACCAGCATCAGAGTCTGGAATCTCCAACATTGTCTCATCAGCATCAGAGTCTGGAATCTCCGACATTGTCTCATGATTCACGATAAATGGTCAGGGGAGCCACCACCTGCAATGAGCTGTTGTGTGAGACCGGTCAATTGACCAAAGGCGGCCAGTGCACGCTCTGGGACAGCCTAGTACCACTCGAGAGCAAGAGAGCAAGAGAGCAAGAGAGCAAGAAAAGGGACCGGGTGCCTTTCTCCAACTCAAACCGAGTTTCAGGTAGAACCGACACCATCGAGGCTGACACGGAGCTGAAGGTGCGGGACAAGGTTGTGCCAGACAAGAGTGTGCAGGCTCTTGTTTCGCCCTGAACTCGATACCACAGATGCCTAGTTCTGCTGTTGTCAATATCGCAGCTTGTGCGAGATAGCGACAGGCTGAGCTGGCGGCGGCAAAGGCCGAGAGGCCATTCAGTGGGTGTGTAACGGTGAAAGTGGAAAAGCAAATGCAGGCAAAAGCGAAGAAGAGACGCACATGACATCGGAGATGACGCGTCGAGATCTTGGGCCCGTGTCGTTCCTTCCGGTTTGGTGCGGGAGACACACAGTCGGACCTTCCCAAATCGACACGGCAACTGCATCGTGCCTGCCCTGTGGGTGTATCGTAAAGGGAGCGCACCTTCCCTGCGAATGTTTTCTCAACCAACTGTCCAATACAGTCGCTCCGTCTCCTTACGCGCCGTAACTGCCGAAATAACGATCTAGCATCTGCCACTGGGCATCGTCCACGCCAAAGCCGACGCCGTTGTCGAGCATGCTGCTGCTCGGCCCGTAGGCGGACAGTAATGCGGCCATGCCATCGTTGTTGGCTGTGTCGGCGGCGGCGTCCAGCATCGACAGGTTGAGTGCATCCCCAGCTGCAAAGAAAGGAGCGTCGCTGACAAAGTCCAGGTTGGCCGTGGTGGCCGTTGTGGCCGCCGCGGCCGTGGTGGCCGGCTGCTCTTCGTCTGGCGGCGTCTCTACGGTTGTTTTCGTGGTGCCCGTCCGCGCCGCCTCATACTCGACACACCAATCGCCGGCGCCCGCGGCGCAGGCCAGGATGCGGTGATTGAACGAGTCCGGGTTGCGGCGCCTCACGCAGTCGGCCAGGGCGGCCAGACGGCCCGCGCAGGGCGCCACGCGCAGTTCAGCCGGGCGGAGGACGGCGCCAAAGGTGTGGCCGGGGGCGGTGACGGCGATGTGGAGCTTGGCGAGGACGAAGAAGGCGTGGAACACCTTGGCGATGAAGGAAATGGGGGCGTCGGCCAAGAAGGCGGTGATTGTGTTGGCGCCCGCACTGTCGTTGGACGTTGTGACGTCGGCCTCCTCGGCCTCCTCACTGTCGTCGTCGTCCACGTCGCTGCACGCTAGGTCCAACAGGGCGAGACAGGCATCTTTCAAGGCGTACAGCGACGCGACGTGCTTGCCTGTGACGGGCGGATGGGCAATGTCGTCGCTGGCCAGCTTGGCCTGCCGGTAGGGCGCGCCAAAGGAGAGCTTGTTGGTGGGCGTGTGCAGCACCGACTCGTGGAGGTAGATGACGGCCGCATAGCGGAAGAACAGCAGCGCCTTGTGACTCCGGCGGCAGCCGGGCGGGGCGTGCACCAGCGCCGTCGTCGTCTCGGCGGTCCAGTTGTCGATGGCCGTCTGCAGGTCGGCCATGACGAGGGCATGGTCGGGCGCCGCGACGTCCCACGCGGCCGCGGGCTCGCATAGCTGGACGGCCGCGGCAATCTGTTGGCAGAGCCGTTCGCCACGGACCATGTGCAGAAACAGGTTGTCGCGTGCGGCGCCCGCAGGCAGCGCGTCAAACGTGCGTGCGAGCTCATCGAGACACGTCTGGTGGTGTGCCGTCCATTGGGCGTTGGCGTCGGGCCGGCGGACGCCAATGGCCACGTTGGACGCCGACACAAAACAGGCCAGCCAGGCACATTGCGCATCGGCTCGGGCGGCCACGGTACAGTACGGCGCGGCCGGCGACGACGACGACGACGACGACGAGGCAGACGCGTCTGCCTCGGGTACGGATGGCGAAGCGCAGTATTCGATGGCCTCGAGCTCGGGGACGGACCTTGGCGTCGTGGACGAGACGGGTGTCGACGAGAGGGTCACGCCGGGCGCCGCGGGCACCTGCGCGCCGCCGAGACCCAGGTCAATCGCCATGTTGGTCGCCATTTGCGTGAGCTGGTGCACAGTGACGTGGGCGCTGCCGTTCTGGGCGCGGAAGAAAAAGCAGGCCACCAGCAGCGACCAGACCGTGTCGAGGCGGCGGTTGGGCTTCGAGATGAGCTCGACGGCAAACATGCACATGGCCTCCCGCAAAAGCTCGCTGCGGACGGCGGGCGGGACGAGCGACACCGGGGCGGTGAATGTGACAATCGAAAAGAACAAGACGGGCTTGCTGCGGCGCATCGCGTCGAGGGGACTATCCGCTGGCGAGGAAAACGACGAAAACGAAAAGCATGGAACCAGAGGCCAGAGACGCTTCACGTACAGGTCCAGCGCCTGCTGCTGGGCGGCCCGGGGCACCCGCGCATCCAGAAAGGCCACGGCCGCCTCGCCGGTGGGCAGGTCGCTGCTGAACGAGTAGACATTGCGAGCCGCGGGACTGGTGTTGGTGTTGATGGTGGTGACCGGGGCGTCGCCCAGCTGTTGCTTCTGCAGCTGCCGACTCAGCGCGGCCACCTGCGCCTCGAGCTCTGCAATCCGGTCACGTGGCCTCCGCCGCTTGTCGCCCGGCACGCAGGGGCGGCCGGCCTGCAGACAGCGTGCACAGGACGACGAGTCGGAGGGGCCTGGCTGGCAACGAACTTTGAGCTGATTGCAGCCCTTGCATGCGCGGCTGACCAAAAGGGCCATTGTGGAGGTGGTGGTGTTGGTCGGCGGGTACGTCTCGTGAGCGAGAGAAGGGAAGAAACAGTCACACACACGGTTGCTGTGTCATGTCGGCCGATTTGGGCCGCTGAATATCGCAAGATACGAAAGAGTGTCGTTGATATCGTCGGTTTCGACGAGGCAGCCGTCGTTTGTTGTGTCGACAGCGGGTAAGTTGCACCACAGCGTGGTATTACCAAGTTACAGGGCATTCTTTCAGGGAAATCAACACTAACACCACATGAGACCGGTTTGCCGACAGTCTATGGTGCCGCCCTATCGCTGCCGCTCCACACAGTCCGTCTCATCGGCCAAAATTCACCGACGCCTGTTTTCTACTTTCCTGTTTTCCCGGCTGAGCTTTGTGCCAATTCTTGACATCTCCGTCGAGTTTCCTCTTTGGGCAATCAACGGCCAACAACGGGGTCCAAATCACACCGATTGTCCAACAATGTTCCGCCAAATGACCACGCATCCGACGGCATTCTTCGGTCTTTTTCTAAAGTGCTTGTTTTATGGTGTCCTCGGCCCAAGTTGAGCGGACAGCCTTCGTATGCTGGACGATCTGAGTGGTCTTGGGGAATGGCAGAGTCCGAGATGGTTTGCCCGCCCCCGACCGTGTCGGCGACAAATGGGCAAAGGGGACCAAAGAAGACGAAATTGGAATCGCCTGGACGGACACGGACCAAACGACAGCGTGACAGAACATGGAACAGGGCCAACAAGGGCCCGGTCGTCGTCCTGTTCGCCGTCGGTTGATTTGAAATTGCAGATGGACAAGACCATATAAAGGCATGGCCAGGGAAGGGGCATTCAGCATCCAGTGGTTGCCGATACGTTGTGTTCTCTAGACGCAGAGTACGGTGTACGGCAACGCTGAAAACACAACTCGAGACAACAGACCACGACTCCCCCCAGCATCATGGCCCCGACTCCCTTTGAACCTGCTCGCGACATCCCCTCGCTGACGGGCAAGGTCGCGCTTGTTACGGGCGGCAACGCGGGCATCGGCAAAGCAACCGTGCGTGCCCTGGCCTACCACAGCCCCAAGGCCATCTATCTGTGCGGCCGTCGCCACGAGGCATGCGAGGCCACCGCCGCCGCGCTCCGCCAAGAGACGGGCTACGAGAGCATTGTTGTGCTGGACATGGACCTCAGCTCGCTCAAAAGCGTCAAGACGGCGGCCGCGGCCTTTCTCGGGCGCGAATCGCGCCTCGACCTGCTCTTTCTCAATGCCGGGGTGGCCAGCGTCGCGCCGACCCTCACCAAGGAGGGCTACGAGGCGCAGTTTGGCATCAACCACGTGGGCCACGCCCTGCTCACCCAACTGCTGCTGCCCGTCCTGCTGGCCACCCAGGCCGCCTCCACCAGCGGCGGCGACGTCCGTGACGTCCGCGTCGTCTTGACGTCGTCCAACGCCGCCTTTGCGGGCGCCGCGCTGCCCCGCGGCGGCCTCGCCCTCGACGCCATGCGCACGCCCGACCCGTTCGCGCCCTTTACCCTGTATGCGCACTCCAAGCTGGCCAACGCCCTGTTTGCGCGCCGTCTCGCGGCCGACTACCCGTCGCTGTCGGTCACGGCGGTCCAGCCGGGCGTGGTCAAGTCGGACATTTGGGGCAAAGGCGCCGGCGGGTTCTTCAGCCTGATTATGCGAACGGTGATGCGGTTTGTGTGGGTCGACATTGACGAGGGCGCCAAGACGCAGCTGTGGTGTGCGACAGCGAAGCGGTCGACGTCGACGAAGCCGGGCCACACGGGCGATGCGGGCGTCGTGTCCGGCGCCTTCTACGTGCCGGTGGGCAAGCTGCAGCCGTACAAGGGCGCGACGGCGAAGCAGGAGCTGGTCGACGCGCTGTGGGACTGGACGACGGAGGAGCTGGCCAAGCATGGCGGGCCAGGGTGGGCGTAGTGGGTGGGCGCGACGGGTGGGCGCGACGGGTGAGCGTAACGGGTGGATGAGATGTTTGTGTATACCTGGTTGCTTGTCAAAGTCGACTTGTCTTTGCATTGTTTTGGATTAAATACAAGCTGCTGCCATTTCTGCATGTTGTACCTGTTACGTGCTCTATTTTCAGCGTTGTTTATGTTACTATCCGTTCTCGTCTCACCTATGCCATTCACAACCTTAACTTTGTGAGCGTGTCAGTGAGACGGCATCGTGACGAGGCTGAAGTCAGAGTCGCAGCCGGCAGACAAGTGCTGACGGGACTTTTTTCATGCCGGGCAAACGCTGCTGACAAAAGAGCCTCGTATGTGATTCCGTACCTGAATTAAAGTCTGGCTTGCAGATCTACGGTTTGGCGAGGAGCATGGCGTTGCACAACGACTGTGAGTCGGTTTGTCTTGGCGCCCGCCACTGACAACTGTAAGTCAACAGGATGACTTGCACAACCACATCCAGTTGTGAAAGAAGCAAGCTATAACGTACAACTCACGATAAGCTCAGTAGTCAACTGATGCTTCCTTCTTTTTTCCAGCATAAATATCCCATCATCTCGCCGCCCATGCCAGGTGGGATTCCTTCTTTTTGTTAACAAACATCAACAACAGAACCCATTACAAACATACACCTTGTACCCAAAACGAACAATAGTTGTATCGATAGAACCCCAGCCTCACCCGTCAAAAGCAGCATAGCAACATCCATACCCCCCTGAATATGAGCCGCAAACCGACTCCGAAGCCGCCTCCGCCAGCCCCTCCTCCAAGTCCATCCTAAGAAACGGGTTATTTTGCCCCGTTCTCCTGCCTGTACCGTCAGAGTCAGGACCGTGGCCAATGGCGGGCATATGACCAACCGTACTGTCTGCGTCGATTTCAGTTGGGTGGCCTACCTACGTGGTGGATCCGATGTGTACGCTGGCTGTACGGTGGTCCTACAGCGAGATGGTCACATATTGTACAGGAAATTTTAATAAAAAGTCTATTATTTCATTGAGAGCAGTTGTGCCATTCCTGTTTACTATGATCCTCATGCGTCCATCGGCAACGTGGATGGCGATGGCAATGGACCGTAGCGTACTCGTCATCAAGTCTATTGTAAACCCAAGCTAATACCCATCGAACGCCCCGCCTAGTTGTCCTGCGGCGCCCCGCCGCCGCCTTGCAGCCACGACCGGAGCGCCGCCTCCTCGTCGTCGGTAAAGGCGGCCTTGGCCGAGCCGCGCGTCAGCGCCGCATAGTCAACCAGCGTGTACCCGCCCTCGCGCACTTTGGCAAGGGCCGTGTCGAGGTCGTCGGTGCCTGCCTTGGCCAGCACGGCGCGCTTCTCGCTGTCGGGCGCGTCCAGGTAGCGGCGCAGCTGGCTGATGTTGTCGTCGTCGAGCACGGCCTCGGCGCCGGTGCCGTGGCGGGCGATGATTTCGCTGGCCAGCGTGTGGGTGTTGATCATGGTGCCGACCGAGGGGCCGGTGTAGACAGCGTCGGTAGCCATTGTGGGGGGTGGAGGAGGAGGTGGATTGGTGGACGTGTGGGCTTGGTGGATGGGCGTGAATTGTATGTAGAAGTGGAGACGATGAGATGTTAAAGGAAGAATGGTTTAGTGTCTGGTTCAACGAAAGTAAACGGACAAACTGTATTATTTGTAGCTGGTTGATCGGCGTTGGACAAGTGCGATTGATAAAGCGACACAGACGGGTGGGATAGGCAGCTGCATTTCTCAAACGCTCGTTGGCCCAGACAGCATAAATAAACAAAACAACGAAAAGCGCCCGAAGCAAACACACCACTTCCGATGTTCCATTGAGTCGACGAAAAAGGCAGCTCATATGAACGTCAATTTGGTGTAGTACATGCATGTTTGGGTCTATGGTTATATTTTATTTTATATATTGAGATTTCTCAGTATACAAATGTTTAATAAAAAAAGAATCTGAGAAACAGAATTGCCGACGTTTCATTAGAGCATAACTACAGGCAGCAACAATGCTCCCATCGTTGCACCATGTCCGAATTGAGTCTGGAACACAACTCCAGTTCAACTCTCGCAACCTTTATTTCCAGTCTTCATGCCACTCTCATTTTAATTCCTGCTGCCTACGTCTCCATTCTCTTCGCGGACAGATCTTGACGGATCATGTGTTTGAGCAGTAGCATATGTCGGAGTCGCTCTTATTCTTTACTTTTACTTTTTACTCTTAACTCGTAATGTCTTACTTTCTGCTCTTTACTTTCCAGCATCGAGGTGAACTGCGGTTTGCGCCTAATCTTAATGCATGCTTACAGTGAGCCACTGGACATACCTTGCGTCATCCGGAGCCGTGTCGGCACACGGTACCTTTGTACCAGTGGTTCCACGCGGGGGTTAGCTGCCGGAGACTGAGAATGTGCCATGAAAAGACGGTCCATTACGTCCAGACGCCTCGTGGACTAGACGTAGCTTCGTATGCAGAGCAGCCAAGGCCTGTAAAGGTCGGTGCGGCCCTGGCCGCTGACCCACTGCCACGAACGCATAAGCTTTTCAGTGGAAGGGTTTAGTGGTTAGGTGGTCGCGGTGGTGCTTAGAGGTCAACCGACCGAGGCATAGCGTCAGACATACGTCCGACCTCGCCGTCGTTAGCGCGCTATCTCCTCGACTTACCCCCCTGAAGCGTCGGCCGAGAGCGGCCAGTGCAGCCAGCGCGGCCATGGGCTCCGACATAGGAGAGGAAGAGCACGCAGCTTAAAAATAAAATAAAATAAAATGACAATAAATAAATAAAATAAAAAGAACAAAACCAAGGATACATTTGGGTCATTGTTCTTCCAGCCTGGTGACAAAGCGTTCTCGGATTACGAGGGTGGATTTGTCGGCTGTCCGTGTCTGTTTCCTTCGTCTGTTGCCGATCTTCTTTTGTACTTACACTCGTTTGTTTCTTCCTCGATCCTCGCCTCGTGCGATGGCTGACATACAAACGTCGCCGTCCAGACGACACCGTGACAGCGGATACCACAGAGGATACGACAGACCGCCGCCACGGCAGTCGACAAAACCACAGGCATGACACAAGACGACTCGGGGACGAGCACGCGGACGATGGACGACGCACACCGAACGGCAGTCGACGCAGACTTGGAAAAGGGCCAGCCGGAACAGGACGAACCGACAGCACGTCCTGGCAAGCAAGACGGCCCTTCGCTGGAGACGACGCCAGTCCCATCCCCCGCACACGACGGTGATACCGGCCGGACAACAAGCACTCGGTCGCAGGCCCTGTCGGCCGACCAGCACGATCCAGCGTTCCTGGCCAAGTGGGACGGCGCGTCCGACCCGGACGACCCGCACAACCTGTCGTCGGCGGCCAAGGCGCGGTGCACGCTGATTCTGGGCCTGCTGGCGTTCACGGGCTCGCTGGGCACGTCGATCCTGACGCCGGCGGAGCCGCTGGTGGCGGCGGAGCTGGGCATGGGGCCCGAGGCGACGGTGCTGCTGCTGGCGCTGTTTGTGCTGGGCTTTGCGCTGGGCCCGCTGGTGTGGGCGCCGGTGAGCGAGGCGTACGGGCGGCGGTGGTCGATGCTGCCGGCGGTGCTGGTGCTGGGCGTGTTCAGCGTGGGGTCGGCGTCGGCGCGGACGGCGGCGGCGCTGCTGGCGACGCGGTTCCTGGGCGGGCTGTTTGCGTCGGCGCCCATCAGCAACGTGTCGGCGGCGCTGGGCGACATCTACGCGCCGACGACGCGCGGCGTGGCCATGGCCTTTTATTCGGTGTGCGTCGTCGGCGGGCCGTGCGTGGCGCCCGTCGTGGGCGCGTCGATTGCGTACAACGAGCGTCTCGGCTGGCGGTGGGTGCTGTACGTCGAGGCGCTGGTGGCGGCCGTCAGCGGCGGCGTCGCGCTGCTGGGCCTGCCCGAGACGTACGGCCCAGTGCTGCTCGCGCGCAGGGCGGCGCGGCGGCGGCGCGCCACGGGCGACGCGCGCTGGTGGCACCCGCACGAGCAAGAGCGTGCGCGCATGACGCTGCGGACGCTGGTCGGCCGGCACCTGGGCCGGCCGCTGCGCATGTTTGTCACGGAGCCCATCGTCGCGTGCATCGCGCTGTACGCGTCGTTTGTGTACGCGCTCGTCTTCTTGGCGCTCGAGGTCTACCCGCTCGTGTTCCGCGACGCGCGCGGCTTCGGTCCCGTCGCGGCCAACCTGCCGTTTCTGGCCCTGTTTGTCGGCGCCGTCGTCGCCGTCGGCATCAACATTGCCAACCAGCCGCTCTACACCCGCGCCATGGCCCGCCAGGGCGACGGCCGCGCCGTGCCCGAGGCCCGCCTGCCGCCCATCGTCCTCGGCGGCCTCCTCTTTAGCGCCGGCTTCTTCTGGTTCGGATGGACCGCGGAGGGCCCCGGCCGCGACCCGGACCACTGGTACCACTGGGCCGTGCCCACGGTCGCCGGCGGCTTCATCGGCTGCGGCTTCAACGTCGTCTTCCAGCAGTGCCTCAACTACCTCGTCGACTCCTACGGCCCCTACGCCGCCAGCGCCACGTCCGCCAACACCGTGCTGCGCTCGCTGCTGGCCTGCGGGCTGCCGCTGGCCGCGCGGCCCATGTTCACCCGGCTCGGCGTGGGCCCCGCTGCGAGTCTGCTGGGCGCCGTCTCGGCCCTGGCCCTGCCGGCGCCCATTGTCTTTCGCGTGTACGGGCCGCGGCTGCGCGCGAGGTCCAAGTTTGCACAATATGCGTAGTGGGGAGTCGTCATGGGGTTCGTCAGGGGATTTGCCAGGCGGAGTCGTCTTTGATACCCATAGATGTGATTTGTGTCATTTGTCTAGAAACGTGGAATAATTTGGGAATAAACTGATCATGCTCCTCGCTATGCTGTGTCTATGTGTCGTTGTTGTCGTCGTCATCGCCATCGCCGTCATCATCGTCATCATCTCATCACTTAAACTGCACTTGGGTCGGCGGAAACAGCTGCAGCCCGCCCTCCACCAGACTCGTCCGCACCAGCCGCAGCTCGCCCCGGTCCTTCATGGCCACCGTCCAGAGCACACACCCGCAGTGCCCGCAAAAGTGCTTCTCCTTGGGCTGGCCGCTGCGCGTGCCTTCGCGGATAGTGTAGATCTTCCAGTGCGAGAGAGGGTCCTCCACGACGACGTCCTCGACGCGGTATTCGGCCATCTGTGCAGGCAGACGTCAGTCAGCGGCCACATCCTGCAGAGATCAATACACACACAGCAGCAACACGTACAATCTGGTAGTCACTGCCCCCCGTCCGCTGGCAGTCGGTGCAGTGGCATTGGATGACGCGGCGCGGACGGGCGGTGAGCGTGTACTGGATGTGGCCGCACTGGCAGCGGCCCCTGAAGGGTGGTGCGGGAGGCGGCAGTGTGGCCATGTTCGTCGCGTCGCCTTGTTGGATCTCTCGTTGCCGTCTCGTTTTGCCGTCTTGCTTGCCGCCTCCCGCGTGGATGCCTCTGTTGACGTCGGTGACAGCGCCCAGGGTGGGATGAGGTCCACAGCGCTGGCCAATCGCGCCACTGGCTGCCAGGCCTGTCATCACTGAAGCGCGGGTACGGGTTGTGCGCTAGAGCCTTTGCTGTCTGTCAGATTTACAGCGTCCTGCCTTGCATCTAACGTGGCACTGGATAACATCTTCACGGCGGCCCTTTCATTCATTCAATCCATTCAATTATTCTTGGACTCGTAACTTTCTGACCGTCCACCGCCTTCTCACTCTTCTCCTCAACGCACCTACGCCTTCTTCGGCGTGTCCCGAAACAGATTGTGAACATACGACTCTGCGTAGCGCTGGCCCACAACTTCGGTCGCCTCGATCGCCTTGCGAATCGCCGCGTCCTCCTCGTCCGTCAGCGTCACGTCCAGCGCGCCCATGTTCTCGTCATAGTACGCCGTCTTTTTCGTGCCGGGGATCGGAATCACCATGTCCCACTGCCGCAGCAGCCACGCCAGCGACAGCTGCCCGCTCGTGACGCCCTTTTTGGCGGCCAGGGCCGTCAGGTCCTCGACGAGCCGGAGGTTCTTGGGAAAGTTGGCGGCGGAGAAGCGCGGGGCAAACGACCGGAAGTCGCCCGGCTGGATCTGGTCGACGCTGCGCAGCTGGCCCGTCAGCATGCCGCGGCCGAGCGGCGCGTAGGCGACGACGGCGATGCCGAGCTGGCGGCACGTCTGCAGCACGGCGATCTGCGGGCTCTCAATGTCGAGGCTGAAGGGGCTGTACTCGACCTGCACGGCCGCCACGGGGTGCACGGCGTGCGCGCGCCGGATCGTGTCGGCCGACACCTCCGAGAGGCCAATGTGCCGGATCACGCCGCGCGTCTTGAGGTCCACGAGCGCCGCCATGGTGTCCTCGATGGGCGTCGTGCCGTCGACGCGGTGCACGTAGTAGAGGTCGATGGCGTCGACGCCCAGCAGGCGCAGGCTGCGTGCGTTGGCCTCGTGCACGTACGCCGGGTCCGTGCGGATGACGCCGCTGCCGTCCGTTGCGTTGGCAAACTTGGTCGCCAGGAAAATCTCCTCCCGCCGGCCCGGGTGCGCCGCGAACCACCGGCCCAGCAGCGCCTCGCTGTCGCCGTACATGTCGGCCGTGTCCCAGAACCGGTTGCCCGACGCGTACACGTGGTCCAAGAAGGCCAGCCGCTCCTCGTCCGAGGGCTTCGTGCCGTAAAACACCGACAGGCCCATCAGACCGATGCCAATGGCCGTCACCTGCGGGCCGTTGGTGCCCAGCTGGCGGGTGGGAAGAGGCATGTTGGGGGGATGTTGTGGGTGATGTTGTGGAGGGATGTCGTAGGGGATGTCGTAGGGGATGTTGTGAGTCAGGTGCCTGGAGAGTTTATGGGATTGTCGATGATGATGGTGCTGTCAATGAAACAATCCCTCTTCCACCAGGACAACGTCTGTATTTATACCTTTTCAGTCGACGACAGCCATACTCCATCCCGGAACAGCCTCTGACAAACCAGGCCCGCTTCATCATGAGCCGTTTGGAATGTACGTTGCATTGACAAGCGTGTCTATGTCCCCAGACAAAGATCAATGTTCTGGTTCTTACCAAGCATGCTTGCTGCCGCCCAGTCAGGAGGCCCTTCTTTGTCGGCTGCTCAAAATGCTGGCGCCATCAGCAGCTTTGTTTTTGGCCATGTTGTGTGGCAAGAGCCAGCCAATTTGGCCAAGCCCGCTTCACGACGCTGTGGCCTTCTGGAGTTAAGAGATTCGTGACTAGGGGAGGCTCCATCCTAGGCCGAACAACGCTCAGCCCTGTCTACTGTCGTCGATTTCTGCCGGACATAATATCTCGGCAAGTTCCCAAAAGAATGACAACCATTACAATCGGGGCTGGACTGTCCGGTTTGCTATACTATACGTTGTATGTTGTACAAGACTTGCTATCGAACATGTTTTTATCTTTGGTTTGCAATCGACTCCGTCTTCAGGTAGGTTAAACGACCCATACGACCGAGATGTCTCACCGTTTCAAGTCATTCTGTGTGCTAAACGATCCACTCGGAGCCTTGTTCAAATCTAGGCCTTTGCCGATTTAAACGATAAAGTATCGTACTGTCTCTTTTTTGTGGTTATTTCCATGGTATTTTTTATTCTGGAATATTTTTATATAATTTAGCCTCGCTCGACATATCCTCCCTATTTGGCATGGATCGCTGTACTTAGTACCCTTCCCTCTCAGGCCATCTGCCGCGGCGACAACGTCGTCGAACGCCACCGCGGATGGTCCACTTTATTATCGGGTACTTCCTAACTTTTGGCGTCCCCAGATTCGGATTTACAACACAGTTGTTCCATATCCGATCCACCGCCCCAAAAAGCGCTTGTCCAGCGCCGGCCAGGCACAATGTCTCTTGCAAATCCGACGCTTTAGTCTGTACGACCGGAGCCTTTTTGATGCTGCCTTGCAAGCCTCGTCGTTTGCTTCTACATACGTTGGACGATTTGTTTCGCTGGCATCAGCAATTCGTGCACTCAGCCCATCCCCATGGACTTAACAAGCCGTGTCTCTGGATTTATGAAGACGCGAAAGCACGAGCCCGAGAGCCGCACAAACAGGTCCAACATCCGATGTCGACCACGACATTGTCGCCAAATGCGAGTAGATACATCGTCTAAAATGAGACACGTGATGCAAGCGTTTATTTCTTTAACGAATAAAATGTATCAGACACGAATTGCAGTCGGAATAAATTTTAGGAATAAAAAACGGCCATGTTTTACAAAAACGACAATTTTTTCTACTGAACGTCTGCGGACGGCGAAGGATCAAAGCCTTCTGAAACCCCCCCGCAGCCTGTCCATGGTCTCTTTCTCACGCTCATGCTGAAGCCACCGCAGACGTGCATCTCTCTGTTCGCGCTCTCGCTGCATCTGCCGCTCCTGGTGCCGTCTCTCCACTTCGTCTCTTCTGTGGCGTTCTTCTCGTGGCGCCATTTTGTCTCGCTCCCTCTCCCTCTCCATTCGTTCCCTTTGTTCTTTTCTGTCTCTCTCTCGCCTGTCTCTCTCTCTTTGTTCCACTTCTCTCTTCTCTTGTTCGCGATTCTTCTCCCTCTCGTGCCGTTCTCGATCTTGTCGTTCTCGATTTTGTCTTTCTTGATATCTCTTGTCGACAGTCTTCGTGTCCCGGTTTGCCGGTTTCTGTCTCCCTTTGGCTGCCAGATCTCGTGTGTCCCCCTCTTTCTTCCACTCTTGTTTCTCTGCCACGTTTTTCCTCCCTGCCGTCTTACCTTGTCTCTCCATTCTCTTTTGTGTGGCCTTTGTCTCCTCGTCTAGCTTGAAGTCCTCCATGTCTCGCATCTCTGCCTTCTGGCCATCCTCCTCTTCTCCGTTGTCATCCTCCTCTTCATCATCGTCGTCGTCACCGTCGCTCACATACGTCACCGCAAACAGCTTCGGCCACGTCGGACTCGCCTCGACGACAAAGTGCACAAGCAGCTGCAGCGCGGTCGGGTCCTCCTCCTGCCGTTGAAGTGTGGCCAGCCGCGCCTGGAGAAACACAAAGGCATCCTCTGCGCTTTTCAGCGCCACGGGACACCGGTCCCACATGTCCCGGAACGCCCAGAGCGTCCACGGCCGGCCGGGTTCCAGCGCGTACGCGTCGTGCGCGAGCTCCAAGATGCTCGTACCGTGGCGCGCCGTCGCCGTCGCCGTGGCCGGGCCGGTCGGCCCCGGGGCGGCCAGCAGGGCGGCCGTGTCGTCGCACAAGGCCGCGAGGGGCCCCCGGAGGATGCGTGCGGCGAGCGCCTGGGTGGTGGCATCGACCGCCCGCAGGCCGAGGACAAAGGTCGGCTGGCGCACAAAACGGCCGGCGCGCATGTTCGCCGCCACTTTGTTTGCGTGCGACAGCATGTGGTCGGGGATCGGCGGGCCACATGTCGGCGAAATCGGGTCGTGGCTGCGACAGCGCTTGTACGGGGCGTCCGGCGCGACACGCCGTTGTGGCCGGTCCGCCGCCGCCGGCTCTTGATATTGTGTGTCATGCATGGTACGTACCTAACTGTTGGTGTGTATTACTTTGCAGGTCGGAAAGTCGTAATTTTTGTGTGGACGTAGTATTCACTTGGCGTAAGAAATGGATTACAGGCAAGGGGGCGTTGCGACAACTGTGCTTCTATTAAGTATTTCCAGAGACACAATGAGGACCATTTGTGGTTCCAAATACGGCGTCAAAGGCTTGAGGCCAAAGACCGACAATCAACGGCCTTATGAACACCGTTATTGTTCGTCTGTTGACAGGACAAAGACGTTGGACTACAATGGGCGAGGCATGCGTCTATTCATAGTCGGCCTCTTTGTATGGCAACAACACCATTGTTGTTTGGAGGATTGCTTTGACCTTTTTGATTCCTTTGATGCTCGTAAACGCTCTTCATTCTCGCATTGTACCAAGGAGCAGTTTTTTTTCTTCTTCCTCGCCACGTGTCACTTGTGTCCTTGGTTTCAACAAAACTGCAATGCATTCGCCAAAGACGACATGAATGTACGTATCTATATATATTTCGCTTGAATAACTGAGATATGTTTGTCTATGAGTTGTTTGCATGCATGTCTATGTTGGCAGGTATTAGTAGATTAGTAATAGTTTCCATGTCTCCATGGCGTCTCCACGACTTCTCTCGACTCTCCTCCCTCCCTCACATCGTCACCACTTCCACCGCTCCGCCGCATCCTCCTACGCCCACCGCATCTCCCCTAAAAGTTGACCTGGAAGCGCTTCGTCGTGCGGATCCGCTCGCCAAAGACGTAGAGGACCACCGCCAGCGGCAAAAAGGCGACGGCAATGAAGCCCAGCACCGAGTTGCCCCAGCCGAAGCCGAGGCGGTCGTACATGGCGCTGCCGGCGAGGGGCAGGACGGTGGCCATGACGCAGCGCAGGATGGTGCTGGAGGCGGTGACGGAGGCGGCGTAGACGGTGTAGGCGTCGACGAGGTAGAGGGTGCTGGCCATGTAGGTGATGATGACGCCGCAGCCGAGGAAGCCGGTGCCCAAGATGGGAACGATCCAGTGGGTGCGGGTCTCGGCGGACCAGCCGTACCAGAAGAGGCCGATGGGCATGAGCACGCCGCCGACGACGAGGGTGGGCAGCAGGTACTCGGGCTTGGGGCCGGTGCCGTTCTTGGCGGCGAGGTAGACGACCATGCGGCGCGAGACGCCGCCGCAGAACAGAATGCCGAGCACGCAGCCGACAAAGAAGCCGAGCGTGACGAGGCCGGAGGCGCCGCTGCCGAAGCCGTACTGGTTGCCAAAGACGGCGGGGAAGGTGGTGAAGCAGAGGTACAGGTAGCTGTAGACGACGGCGGCGTAGAGCGACTGCAAGAAGACGACGGGCACCAGCAGCATCTTGAGCGGGCGGCCGATGGAAAAGGCAAAGTGCTGGCGCGGCGTGCGGCCCGAGTCGAGCTTGCTCTTGTAGCGGAGGGGGGGTGTGCCGTCTTGTCCGGCGGCGGCGGCGGCGGCAACCGCCGCCTTGTTGAGGCGCTTCGTCTTCTTGTCGAGGATGACGTAGGCGTACGTCTCGGGCAGGACGGCAATGATCACCAAAGCGAGCGCGCCCGACAGGATGGCCATGAGCCAAAAGGCCCAGCGCCAGCCGGCCGCGGGGGTCAGGTAGCCGCCGATGATGGGCCCGATGGACGGGCCCGAGATGAAGCCCATGGCGTAGGCGGACATGGCGCGCGGGCGCTTCGCGGCCGGCACGACGTCGGCGATGCTGCCGGTGCCCAGCGTGACGGGGCACGAGCCGCCGACGCCGGCCAGGAAGCGGAACACGACGAGGGCGCCGAGGTTCGGCGCGAGGGCGCAGGCGACGTGGAAAATTAGGAACCAGATGATGCAGATCTTGTAGAGGGGCGCGCGGCCGTAGAGCTCGGACAGCGGCGCAATGACCATGGGCCCGCACGCGTAGCCCAGCAGGTAGATGGTGGTGACGAGGGCACCGACGGTCTGGTTGTCGGAGCCGAAGAAGCGCATGATGTCGGGGGCCGCGGCCGAGCTGATGGTCGATCCAATGGGGCTGCGCAGTTAGGGATAAAGAATACGACAGACGAGACAGGGGAGCACACGAGACAGACGCGGGACGTACGATAACACCGTCATCAGCGTCACCAACGCAATGGTGATCGACTTCTTGCGCGCCGACCAGTTCATGGGGTTCGCCGGGTCGTCGGGGCCGTCAAAGTCGACAATCGTGAAGCCATCTTCGGTCTTGGGGGCTGCCTTCTCGGCCGCCTGCTCGCTGTTGTCGACAGGGGACTCGGGCGTGTCTGGCACCGCGGCGGCTTCGACGTCAATGTCTGGGTCGGGATCGCTGTGGCTGGCCGCCTTTTCGGAAGACATGTTGGCAGTGGACGCTGTGACGGGTGGCAGAAAACGTGAAGCCAGGAATATAAAATCTCACTCTCTCAAAAAAGAAAAAAAATCAACAACAAGAAATAAAAGGAAAGAACAGGGTCGGAAGAATGACGAAAAGAAGACGCAAGCTCTTTCTTGGCACGACACATTGTGTTCTATTTTATTGTTTCCTGTCGTCTGTTTTGTCGTCTGTTGTGTTGTGGCCTCCGCCTCCGTCCTCCGCCCGCCGCGGATTTTCCGTGGCGCAGAGCCGCCTTACAAATTGGCGCCCATGTTCAACCGTACCGCCAAGAACAGGTATAAAGTACAAAATCAGATTCCCTGGTTTGCTTTGAAATTGCGATTCGTATCGTCTTGGTTATTTGTCACTTTGCGGCAAGTTTGGAAGCGCGCATTTGGCATTTGGTGTTCTCGCAACGACAAGGGACTCGCCGTGGCGGTTCTCACTTTACACACAATTTAGTCTCCCGCCATGCTATTACGTCGTTAATGCGAATCTGCCTCGCATACAATATACAATTTGCTACTATACATCTCGTTCCTCCCCCCGCCTATACGTACAAGGACATGTCCACGTTGGCGAGCAGATCGTCCCACTGGAACTGGGCCAGGTTGTCGAGGCCGTCAAAGTGGAGGGCCAGCGGATTGTTGTAGAGGCTGTCGTAAAAGGAAACGTCAAAGTCGGTGTTTGTGGGCGGCATGGTCGTCGTCGTCGTGGCCTCGAGTGGTGGCACGGCCTTTGGCGTCTCCATCGCGTCCATCGCGTCCATCGCGTCCATGGCCCCCATGGTCTCCATCGCCGCCACGGCCCTCGGCGGCATCGCGGTGCCCAGGACCGCCTCCAGCAGCTGCGGCCGGTGCTTGGCCAGCAGCTGCGTCAGCGACGTGTACAGCTCCGCGGCCGCGGGCGAGTAGGGCCGCGCGTCGGCGACGATTTGCATGGCGGAAAAGGCCGCACGCGTGTCGACCGCCGACGGCGACGACGACGCGTCCTCGCCGTTGTCGGCGCAGAGGTCAATCATCAAGACAATGGTGGCCAAAAAGACGCCGTACAGCACGCACGACAGCCGGCTCTGCACGAACGGGTGGCCGGCCGCGCGACGCCGGATCTGCGTCTCAGCGTGGATGATTTGGCGGGCGGCGTCGATGCAGACGGCCCGCGACGTGGTAGAGGCAGCGGAGACGGACGGCCGGCGGGCCGGGTCGGGATGCTTGAGGACGCAGCTCGTGTAGTTGCCCGTCTGCCGGCGCCAGGACGTGAGGTAGGAGAGGTGCAGCTTGCAGCGTTGGGTGTGGATGAGCGAGTGCAGCATAAAGGCCTGGATGAAGTGGCTGCGGTGCGGCCGGCCGTGGCTGTTTTTGGTGTTGCTGCTGCTGTTTTTATTATCGTCGCCGTCGACGCCCGCCTCCCATCCCGCCTGCTCGTACGTCTCCATCCGCAGAAACGGCGGCATGTCCCGCAGCATCGCGTCCAGCTCGGCGTCCGACGCCAGCGCGCTCTCGCGGTACTGCGCGAGCAGGGCCGCCGCGGCGGCCGACGACGACGCCGGCCCGCCGACAAACTGCGTCGACGAGACCATGGGCATGCGGTCCACGATGCCCCGCGCAATGTTGGCCAGCCGCACGCGCTGCAGCAGGTACGACATGTCGGTGGGCACGTCGAGCGGCAGGCCGGGGATGGGGTCCGTGCTGGCCGTGCCCAGCTGGTCGTCGTCCATGTTGCGCGGCTCCCGCACGCGCATCATGTGCGGGTGCGTCTGGTAGACGCCGACGCCCGGCCCGCTGTTGCGCGCCGCCAGCAGCCAGTCGGTCGACGCCACGTACCACCACACGCGCCGCCCGAGCTCCTTTTCAAAGGGCGTCGTCAGGGGTCGCGTGCCGCAGTCGCCGCTGTTGTCGAAACTGCTGCTGTTGTTGCCGTCGATGCTGCTGTCGATGCTGCTGCTACCGCCGCAGTCCTGGTCGATGCAGTGCAGCCCCAGCTCGCGGCCCAGCATCAGCGCCGTGGACACGATGTAGCGGTAGCGGAACCCGACGCCCTCGACGTTGCTAATCAGAAACATCAGCGTCACCACGCCCTGCAGGGCCGACAGCGTGGGCGGCACAGCGCCGCGCACAATGGCCTCGAGCAGGTGCACGGCCGACTGGATCCAGTACGGTATCTGCCGGGCGGCCTCACCGCGGGTGGCAAAGAGGGCATTGGCGTTGCTGTCGTAGCTGCCGCTGCTGCTGCTGTCGGCCGCCTCGGGCGTGTGGAGGCACGTCCCCGTGGCAATCATGGCCACCACGAGCAGCACGTCGCCCAGCGGCAGCTGCGCCCCGTTGTGCCGCTGCACGCGGTCGTACACGCGGGCCACCAGCGCCGGCGTCGTCGGGTGGTGCACAATGTGATAGAAGCTGCCCACCGTCTGGAGGAACGTGTCGATCAGCGCCGTCGTCTCGCTGTACAGCGGCAGATGGATGTGGCGCCGCGGCGCCCCCAGCCGGTCGCCCCCGCCAACGATGCTGTAGCTAAACTCGGGCGCCGTGGGGATCGACAGGATCGGCGCAATCTTGAGCGCCAGCCCGCTCTGCTCAAACTGGTTGGCCGCCGCCGCCGCCGCCACGGCCGTCGTCGTCGAGGACAGCGCCGACGGCGACCCCGTCGCCGACGCCGACGACGGCTGCCCGAGGTCCGCGTACGATCCGTTGCCCATGGACACGCGGTCGAGGTGTGTGACGACGGCGCACATCGGGCCCATTGCGTCGGGCGCGACGGCCGGCGACGGACGAGGCAGCGGCGGGGGCGACGGCAGCGGCGGCGGCATGGCCATGGCCATGGCCACTGTCTTTGTGCCCGCCCCGCCCGTCGACGTCGACGCGTCCGTCCCGCTGTGGATGCGCCGTTCCAGGTCCTCGGCCAGCCGCCGCAGACGGTACACCTCGTCCAGCAGCGCCTGGTTGCCGGCGTCGTGTACGAAGGGCGTGCCCGTGGTCTGCGACGATGGCGAATACTGACGGGCCGGCCGTGGCGTCTGCCGCACCTCCGCCGGCCCTGCCACCGCCCCCGCCACCGCCGTCGGCATCGGCACCGGCATCTCCACGGGCCCCTCTGCGTCCATCACGCACGTCTTGCCCCGCGACACGCAGTTGGTGCATGGCAGCGGGCGGCTGCATCGCAGCTTGCGCACGCGGCAGAACTCGCACGAATAGTGGCCCTTTCGGGCACGGGCGGTGGGCGCCTGGCGTGTTTGTAGTCGAGGCGGCATGTTTACGTGTTTCCGTGGTTCCGTATTTCCTTGGTTCCGTGTTTCCTTGTCTCAGAGAGTGTCGTGTGGGTTGTCCGCGGATGGTCGTGTGCAGGTGCAGGTACCGTCGTGGGAATGCCGTTTGGATACGCTCGCACTCCGTATAAGAAATGGCGATGGCGGAAGTTCCGCGGCAACTCCGTGGGACGTCAATGGGTAAAGTGGGGCTGGACGTTATGCAGCTGACAAACGGATTGTTCTCGGTTTACACTAAGACTACGTATTTCTCCTGGTGCGGCATGCATCTCGCTGTTCCTTGTTTCTCGTCTTTTGACTTTTTATTCGTCTCTCCTCTCTCCCTCTATTTTGCTGTTGCTGCCGTAATCACCTTGATGAATCCACGTGATGTAGAACAGAGCAATATATCGGTCGCTCATCTGCGTAGAACGACTGCCGTTGTTATATACAAGTCAACATTCTGCCTAAATGTGAATGCCAAATGGAGCAACGTTGAATGCTCCGAATGTATCGTTCTGCCTCGTTTAGATCATGTCTTCCATCATGACTCTCATCATGACTCTCCACTTTCTGCAACGAATCTTCGTAGCGGACCAAAGCATCCAAAATGGCCGCATCGCATCACGACTTTGCTGACTCCGAGTCGGCTGCGTTTCTTGCCGAGGAGGGCGGTGTCAAGCATGAGGAGAGGCCACCGCGGACCAGAAAGGACACCTGGACGGGCGTCTGGCACTACGTTCCGTATGCGTCGCTGGCCGTCAACGTCCTTCTGTCGCTCGTTATTCTCTTCGCGTCGTCCAAGGCCACGACCGCCGGGCCTGTGACGGCCATTCTGCCCTCGCAGGCCATGTTTGGAGACAGTAGGCGTCCCCTCCTAGTCACGATATTGCCGACGTCAATGTCCCGCTGACCAGCAGTCCCCACCAAAAAGGTCGTCTTCGAGCCGGACGCAAGCTTCGACGTCGATCCGTTTGGCCCCGACGAGATTGACAGCCCCTGGTACACTCTGGCGCCGCGTAGGTCCTCTTCTTCCCATCTGCACGTTCCGTAGCCCGTCATGACATCCACTCACCCGTGCTCTCTCGCCCGCGCCACCCCTCCCTGCAGCCGGCAAAGGCCACATTGCGATTGCCGATCCCGCCGCCTGGGGTCTCGCCGGTGGCTTCCCGCTGTCGGGCGATGATGTCTCCACCACCACCACCACCACGACAATGTCCACGACGTCCCCGTCGCCCGCCGAAGAGTACACCGTCGCCCTCTACCACCAGCTGCACTGCCTCGCCGCCCTCAAGTCCAAAATGGTCCGCCTGCAGGCCTGGTACGCCAACGCCTCCGACAACGAGTACCTCCGCTTCGCCCTCGGCGAGGACCAGGTCGCCGACCACCACATGGACCACTGCTTCGACTATTTGCGGCAGACGCTCCTGTGCCACGGCGACACCACGCTCGAGGGCGCGCGGCGCGTGCGCACCGCCACCGGCCACGAGACGACCGTGCGCGGCGTCGACGGCTGGGGCGTCGTGCACGCCTGCCGGGACAGGGAACGCATCTATGCGTTTGCCGATGCACACCGGAGCCGCAACGACACGGGGATTGATTAAAGGGGGGCGGGAGGCTTCCACGATGACGGTGTGCGTTATGCGTTTCTTATGGGAGACAAAGTGAATTATTACCTGTCAAAGTAGGTTTTGGTGATTATATTCCAAACAAGTCAACAATACAACAATATCATACAAGACGGTACGAGGCTGCTAGACACGGAACAACGTCAGTCCTGCCTCGGGGGACACGGTTACAGAGTATAGAAGAAGTCTGGGTGCCGATCGCCGAGCTCCTCAATGCCCTTGACACGCAGGGCGGCGCGCGCCTCCTCGCTCATGCTGCGCTTGCGGCGGTTCTCATACTGCAGGTAGAGGCGCGTCAAGACAGTGAAGACCAGGCCAACACCACACAGCGCCAGCGACGACGCCTGGCCTTTGTGGTCTGCCTTGTGTTAGTGTGGAAGAAAGTAAAAAAGTGGAAAACGCACGACGACATCCACATGCATCAACAGGATGCACCGAAAACTCACAATAGGGCGGCGTGTTGTAGGCCTGGTTGGCGCCAATCGACACACACTGGGAGATGACGTTGAAGAGCGCCAGCGACGAGCCGCGCCGGGTGTATCCGGCAAAGGAGATGGTGGCCCACGACAGCTGGAGGACGATGTTGGGATACACGGAGAAGGCAACGAGGCAGGTGGCAAAGAAGCGCACTTTGGTGTTGGTGGTGCCGATCAGGATGGCATAGCCGACGATGCTGACGGCGATCGAGGCGCCGAGCGTGGCGCTGCGGGCGTTGGTCTTGTCCGCGATGCGGGCCCAGAAGAGGACGCCGAAGCCGGCACAAACGTAGACGATGACGGAGAAGAGCTGCGCGTTGACGGAGGTGTAGCCGAAGCTCTGCTGTTGTTAGAGGAGAGACGAAAGCGAGCGAAGTGAGGACCAACGGAGCGCACATCAACGTACCTTGATGATGGACGGAAGAAAGTTGCTCATGGACGAGACGCAAAAGTGGCCGGCCGACGAAATGACAGCCATGAGCCAAAAGTGCGGGCTCAGGAGGATCAGCGGCACGCGCGTCCACTGGAGCTTGTACTCGCTGTCCCCGACGTTGTGCGCGGCCGCGGCGCGCACGGCGATGTGGGCTTTCTCTTCGGGCGTAAAGCCGAACCGGATCTTGTAGGGGCTGGGCGGCAGGAACGCGAGGACGACAAAGGCAAAAGCGATGGGCAGGATGCCCTCAATCAAAAAAATCCAGCGCCACGCACGCCAGCCGTGGGCGCCGTCCAGGTTCTTCTCGATGCCGTACGCAATCAGGCCGTTGAAGGCGCCGGCCACAGTCGACGTCGAATAGAAGATGGCGCTGCGCGTGGCGAGCTCGTGGTACTGGTAGAAAAACGACAGGTAGAAGACGGCGCCCTGGACAAAGGCCTCGGCCATGCCGATGAGGAAGCGCAGGGCCAGCAGGGCCCCGGCCGAGTGGATCACCACGCTCAAGGCCGTGAACAGGCCCCAGAGCACCATGGCGCCAAAGAACTGCCACGGCGGGCCAATGGCGCGGACAAGCAGCGTGCCGGGCAGCTGGAAGACAATGTAGGACACGAGGAACATGGTGGCCGCGTTGGAGTAGGCCTGTGCGCTGAGGCCCAGCTCCTCCGGCATGCCCGCGACTGCCGCGTTGGCCAGATCCGAGCGGCCCATGGAGGCAAAGAAGTAGACGCTGGAGATGACGGGCAAGATGAAGAGATCGAGCTTCCACAGCACACGGCGGTCCAGGGCCTTGTATTCGGGCGTGGTGTCGCTGTCCCAGGCAGCCGTGTTGATGCCGGACTCGACCTGGACCTTTTCTGGGCTGGACGGATCAGGGACGGCTTCTTCGACCTCGTGCGTCTCATTCTTTTCCGTGGACGCCATGGTGAATGGACAGGCGTGGCAGACGAAGTGATGGGTTGACAGGGGAGGCGACAGAGGGTAGACAGGTGTGGAAATGGTTTGGACAGGAATTTCAAACAATACGGATTTGATGAGATCAGCGCTTGCCTCACGAGTCCTACAACAAGGACGACACCCCGGGCATCGGGGACGGCCTTTAAGTAAAGACGGAAAACACCACCAACCACGAGGACATCATCCGGTACAGTCAAACCAAAAATACAGGAAAGTAAGAGAAATGCCAAAACAAGCAAAGACCACCAGGCCCATTGGCCAAGAGACCGGCCCAGAGCGTTGGGAATGCGGGGAGGTCTGACAACGGGTCGTCGTCGATGCGAAATTCGGCTGGCCAAGAAAGGCAAGGAGAGGCAAAGAGTCGCAAGGAGAGACAGCAAGTAGCCAGGATACTGGCGAGTGGGGTGACGCTATCTGGGGAGGGTTCGTCGGTCGTGGGGATTCGAGATGACGAGGTAGGCGGAGATGTCTTTGCATGCTTTTGGCATTAAACGTCCTTGAGTTTGAGTGACTTTCTTAGGTAACCGACCCGACTTCATGTAAAGACACTCAGAAGGCGCCTTCGCTCGCCACAATAAAAAAGGCCCAATGTCTTGTCGTAGGACGAAAGGTCATCACGAGACAACCTTCTGTCTTGATTTTGCTTTTGGTCCCCAGCTCGGATCGTGGCGAAAGCATCTCACCACCTCCCCCGAAAAGACTAGGATGGAGTTAACAACCCCGTCTTGATCAGCAAAATCCGGGGAACAGAATCATGGGGTAGCTAGTGTCATGGTCAACCGGGACTAGACCAGGCGAATTTCGCTTCACACCGTGGCTGTCTCCGCACTTCCAATGAAGCGAATTTCGGATTGCCCAAGTCTAGCGTCAAGTGGGAGCTGCTTCCCCAGACACATGCAAGACGCAAGACACACTTGTAACAGAGCATCCAAAAGAGAGGCGAAAGTTGTACCGGTGTACAGGACATGTCGTATCTTGAAATTGCGATTGGCTTGTACATAACCCGCAGCGCCTAATCCTACCGGTGTCCTCAAAATGTGAACAATATGAACAATCACAGCCTCATAACCTCTGCCGCAGCGTCCGAGTCGTGCCGAGGACCGAGGACGTTCCATCACTTCTTAAGCACAAACATGTCACTAACCCAGCCATACGCGCGGTTCAGACGACGTCCAACCCGCCGCGCCACCTCGTACGTCATCTTGCCCCGCGGGTGCGGCTCGTGGAACTGGATGCTGCGCTCGATGTCGAGAGCCGTGAGGCGGAACTGCCAGACGGAACCGTACAGCTTCTCGGCCTGAAAGCCCGTGGAGGTCATGGCGTGCAAAAAGTCGCGCCAGGGGACCTCGCCCGGGGTGGAGGAGACGTCGGCATTGAAGAAGAGGGTGCGGAAGACTTTGAGGGCGCGGGCGTCGACCGGCATGGTGGGCTGTGTGTCTTGCACGACGGGCTCGGCATCAGTGAGTGAGAGACCAGCGAGGTCGTCCGTCGGGGATGCCGCTGCCGCTGCCGCCATACCCTTGGTCTTGGTCTTGATCTTGGCCTTGTCTCTGGACGACGATGCGGTGAGGCGTCCCTGCGATGGCTTCTCGACGACACCAAAGTAAAACGCAGACAGCGGATTGCCGATGCTGCCACTGGACGTCTTGTTCGCCGGTGCCGCTCCTTTCTTCCCACCTTTCCCGTTCCCCGGCATGACCGGCTCCACCCATTGGGCGGTGCGCTGCACGATCCGCGGTTGCAACAACAGCGTCTGCGTCGCGGTGCCGGTCAAATCGCCGGCCTTGACGTACATGTGGCGGTCGACGCAGGCCCAGAACGCGTCCAGGTTGCGCTCTGCCTGCCGCAGTGCCTCGGTGTTTTCCTTGGTGGGGCGCTTCTCGCAGGGATACGCAAAGCGGCCGCCGGTCGGTGTGCCGAGTTTGGTGGCATCCGCAAGACTGTTGTCCTGCACGGCCGCCTGAATCTTGATCATCGGAGCGTGCTCGGCGTCAACGGCGCGCTCGACCGTGTCCTTGTACTTGACCATGTGGTTTTCAAAGCCACTGGACCACGGCTGGTAGAGGTCGATCTGGGCCAGGCACTGGGCCACAATCGAGAGGTCGCCTATGAATGCCGCGACGTGGGCCGACACAAGACTCTTGGCTTCGGGCTCCGTCTCGATCAGGCGCTCCAGCTCGTCCACAGCCGTGGTCATGCGCAGCAAGAAGATCTGCTGCCCGTCCTCCCAGAGCATGCTGAACTGGAAGGTGAGCTCGGTAGCGATATTTCTGCGCGCAGCTGGCCGCGACTGGACGGCAATGTGGGACGTAGTCTTGTTGGGCGGCGGTTCGCGCCAAAAGAGGTTGCGCATGGGCGGCGAAGCTGGGACCACCACCTGGAACTGCTGCAGGGCCCCTTGGCAGCTTGCTGCAGTTGAAACTGAAATTTGAGAAGGGCGAGGAGATATTCTTCCGGGGGAGGAGCGGCCGGGCGGATGGCGGCCGCATACCTTTGTTGAAGCTGCTGCACGAGGCGGGGCTGGGCGAGCAGCTGGGCAAACGACTCGTGCATCAAATAGGCAGACCCGATCATGACGCCAATGACGCGTTCCCAGAGAATATGCTGCCGGAAGCGTTCGAGAGTCGGGTGCACGTTGCCATTCATGTCTGGCAGCATCTCGAGCCGGTGCTCCTTGATTTCCATCAAGGTACTCGCAAAGTACGCGGGATCTTCACGCAGCGACCAGATGTGATCCTCGGCGGCGGAGGTCCAGGCGGCGAGGAGGGCGATGATGCGGTTAAAGTCAATCTTGGCGGGAACACGGTAGGGTGCTTCGCTGGCCATGACGGCGAGCGAGTCGAAGCCCGCTGCCTCGGCTTCTTGCTTGAGCACCGGCTCCGGCAGAACGGGTGCGTCCTGGACGGACGCCATGTCGACCTCGTGGAGCACCAGCGCACAGCAGTCAATCAAGAAACGCAGAAGGCGTTCCTGGGCCTCGAGGACAACAAGGCCATCGCCCGGGATGAACTGGGCTCGCGTGACTGCCCAGTTGTCGGCGTCCGCGTTGTCGTCCCAGCTCACCAGTGTGCCGTAGTTTCTGTCCAATGTCGGCGAGTTGGGGTCGCCATTGAGAATCATGGTCCACCTGTTGAGGTAGACTCGAGACAATTTGTGCGACACGATGCCAATACGCATCTGCTCCTCGTCAGCGGCGGCGAAGAGGCAGGAGGGGTGGCGGCCGCGGGCGTTTATGAGCAGCAGCAGACCGTGGCTTGGACAGGCCGTCTTGGTTGATGTAGGGCCACATGACGGCGTCACGGGGGTGCAGCAGCTTCTTGCCGCGGAAATCAGGCGCGTCTTGCCGCAGAGTCTCGAAGTCGGGACGGTGCATGGCGGCCATGCCGGGCCAGGCCTTGAGCAAGACGGCAATCCGCTGCGCTCGCGTCTTTTTGAGCCACCGCCGCTAGAGGGTCTCTTCATGACGCTCGACAATGGCACGGAGCTCGGCAAAGCCGGCCAGGACGTTCTTGCGGCGCGTGTCGGCCTCGCGGCGGACTTCGTCGGCGGACTTCATCACCGGAACCGGCAAGTTCAGGGCCTTGAACATGGCCTCGGGGTCGTTGTAGATGTTGTCGGCATCGCTGTCCGAGTCGGGCTGGCGTCCAGATGCGTAGTTGTCAAAGTTGGGCATCACGTCGCGGAGACACGATTCCACCCCGGCGCTGGCATGCGTGGTTGTTCGAGTTTGGTGTTGCGGTGAAGATGGACTGTGGTATTTTGTACTGCCAGAACGACCGAAGCCCAAGAGCCCACCAAATGCAGTTGTGGGTCGCGTGAGGTGTCGACATGATGCTGAACAAAATGAAGTACAAGAGCCCAGAGATGAAAAGAAGCAGATTTCAGTTTTTCTCTACGAAATGCAGCGTTGTTTGACGCCCCTCCATTGCTCTTTCCTTGGAACTTTGGTTATGCCCAAACGCGTTCCTTCCTCCAAGGGACACGTTCGTTCGGTGGGTGGCACCTTCCAGTGCGAGTACCGTATCGCCAAAAAGGAAAGTGCGTTTGGTTGTGCCTGCACTTGCACCTGCCTCAAAAAATCCGTGTCACACAAATCGTATGTCGCGAACCCCGTTCCTTCCCCAACAGCGGAGTTCGCGACGAAGCGAGATTCGCTTGGGAAGGAGGGGCCTGGCCATTAGCGGGGCCAGGTCGCTGGAAGCAACAAGCCAACAACAGCACTACAGCTCAACTCCCTGGCCGAATCGGCATCGGTGTTTCTGGCAGCGCCGTTTGCTCCGTCTGACTGGACCACGCTACAATTTTGTTATCGTGCTGGCCTGTATTAAAGATGAGAGTCGTCATGACGGCTGACGAAGAACGACGACGGCCGGCGTGAGCAGAGTCCCCAACAACGCACAGCCGAGGCATTCGACGACCAATCCGACGAAGCATTGCCTGCAACAAATCCCTCACGATGGCACTGGACCGCCGCTTCACGACGAGGGATGTGCCCGCCAAGTTCCTCGAAGCCGTGTTTTTGACGGGCCGCGTCCCATGGCGCGTGGCCCCCGCGGACCCGCGCGTGGCGTACGGGCTATACGTGCCGCCGAGCCAGTACCACGCCAAGTACACGGCGGACGCGACCGACGACGACCAGACGGACACGGCCGACGACCGCCTGCCCCTCGTGGTCTGGGTCCACGGCACTGGCCGCGATACGAGCCCCCTCTCGACGGAGCTGGCCGCCTTCGCCGAGGCCAACGGGTGCGCCGTGCTGGCGCCCCTCTTTCCGGCCAACATGGACGGCCCGCACGACCTGGACGCGTACAAGGTGCTGCGCTCGCAGACGCTGCGGTCGGACCGCGTGCTGCTGGCGATCCTGGACGAGGTGGCCGTCGTCTGGCCGGGGATTGCCACCGAGACGGTGTACCTGGGCGGGTTCTCGGGCGGCGGGCAGTTTGCCCACCGATTTTTGTATCTCTACCCGGAACGGCTGGCGGCTGTGGGGGTGGGTGCACCCGGGCGGGCGACGCGGCTGGACGATACGCAGAACTGGCCAGTCGGCATCAAGGACGTCGAGGCTGTGTTTGGGCGCGCGGTCGACAGGGCCGCCGTGGCCAAGGTGGCGATCCAGATCGCCGTCGGCAGTGAGGACAGCGCGGTGCACGGCGGGCCAACGTTTTGGGAGTGGCTGCGGGCGATGAAGGCCAAGGAGGCCGCCGCGGCCGCAGCCGTGACGAAGGCAGGACAGGACAAGGGCGGCGAGAAAGCGTCGACGCTGCCGACAAGCTTCGGCAGCCGGCTGGACTTGGCGACGGAGCTGCATCGCCTGTGGGCGGCCGACGGCATCGCGTCTACCTTGACCGTGGTGCCGGGGTTTGCCCACGACAATGCTGGCGTGCGGCCACACATTTTGGAGTTTCTCCGGTCGAGGCTGGCGGCTGATAGAAAACAATGATGAGGGAACGAGTGTTGAGTCGACCGTCCTTGAGTCGACCGTGGCGGCGACGGCATGAGGAAATGACACTTTTTGGCAACAGTCTCTTTTGGCTATTAGTTTCTTCTCATTCATATTTTGTTTGTTCCATTTTCACTTATTGTTTACCCCTGTCTTTTTTATCTCTTGCGTTGACAATGTTTTGTTTTCAATTATGCCTGATATCTGATTTAATACCTGCAATCAACACAGACACTCAACACCCGCTAGCTACAGGGGCGCGCCCCAAACAACTAGCGGGACCTAGCCGCGGCATTTCCAGATGGCTTAGAAGGTGAGGAACTTCACTAAACCCCCTAGGGCAAGGCCACTATTAGAATCAGGATCAGGCCTGACGCCTTTGTCTCCTCCCCGCCGTCGACAAAGTCCTGCATGGCCGGAACATCACGCCTCCTGGGCCTTTTATTTATGCCGCATCGCCCTCACAAGTCATGAAGCGTCAACGCGAGGCAGTGTGATCCTGTGAACATTACGAAACAACACCATGACCCACCAACCAGTGACCCCGATGCACTCACCAGCCATGTCGTCGTCGTCTTCTAAACGCTGCTCGATGGCATGCACGACGTGCCGACAGGTGAAGCTGCGGTGCGACGCCGCCGAGCGATACCCGAGCCCCTGCTCGCGGTGTGTGAAGCGGCGCAAGCCGTGCGTGTTTGACTCGGACTTTAAGCGGCGGCCGGTGCGTGGCGCCCTGGAGCGGCTGCTCGAGGAGAAGGAGCAGCTGAAGCAGATTGTGGACTCCATGGGCGCCGCGGCACACGGGATGCAGATCCATCCGACCCCGTCGCAGACGCAGTCTGAGGCATCGCCAGCCGTCATCGGCCTCTCTGACGACTCGCCGGACGACACGCCGGGCTACGACCTGGACGGCGTGCGGCTGAGCTTTGCCGTCGTTGACGATCTGTTTGCGTTGTCAGTGCCCCCTTCCAATCTACATTATTAAACAACGGAATCCGTCTACTGACTGTCCAAGCTACGTTGCCGTGTTCCATCCGATGCTACCCATCGTGGACATTGTCAGCGCATCCAAGACCCCAGCGGACGTCTGCGCCGACAGCGAGCTGTTGTTCTGGACCATTCTGATTACGGCCGCGCAGAACCATCCGCAGCACCGCGCCGCCGTCCTGGAGCCGCTCGTCACGCCGTACCGTCGTCTGCTGGCGGACGCGCTCGTCCAGCCGGCCCGCACCGTCTACATGACCCAGGCGTTGCTCGTGCTGACGTCCTGGCCGCTGTCCGTGGACCGGCAGCGCAACGACCCAAGCTGGTACTACTGCGGGGTGGCGACCAGCTCGGCCGTCCACCTGCGGCTGCACGAGGCCGAGGCGCTGTGGTGGTACTCGTCTGTGGGGGGCCGGGAGGAGGTGGTGACGGGCAGCGGTGGTGGCGACAACGGAGACGACGGCGACGACGGCGACCGACAACAGGCGAACGCGGCCCGGTACCGCACGTGGCTGGGTGCCTTTGTGGTCAGCAACGCGCTGGCCATCGACATGGGGCTGCCGCCGCCCATGGCGTCTGTGGCATCGCTGGCGCCGCATCTCCAGAAGCAGCTGCAGCTGCAGCTGGGCGATGGGCTGTCGGATGTGTTTGCGGCGCGCATCGAGCTGCAGACGATCCTGTTCCGCCACGACACAGTCCTGAAAGACACGGCGTCCATGTCGACGTCGACGTCGGACACGCTCTCGTCAAAGAACCCCGTCCTGGACGTGATGGAGCGCGAGCTGGACGCATTTGAACAAAAGTGGGCGGCCGTCGAGGGCAGCCAGGGGCGACAAGAGCTGCCGTTTCTCATCCACCTGGATCTGCTGGCGGCGCGGCTTCGGCTCCGCGCGCCGCTTCTGATGCCACGGCCGGCCGTCAACGAGCCAGACTTGTTGATCGAGGCGGCGTGGCAAAAGACGATCCACTACGCCGGTCGCATTATCCAGCGGATGGCCGAGTTTTACGCAGACGGCAGCGATGCCGAGCAAGCGTCGTGCTCCGCCAGCGCCAGCGACAGCACCGCCCAGACCCGACGACCGCGTCTTGTGATTGCGGCCGCGAAGCGCTGCCTCCCCAAGCACTACAGACGCGCCCTGCTGATGGCCGTCTTTGCTCTGCTCATCTACGCCATGCTGCACCCACGGGACACGGACGACCACGACGACTCGACGGCCCGCGCCCTGGCCGCCGCCAGCCAGGCTCTCGACCTCATCGACGCGCTGGTCCGCCACCCGGCCGACGAGAACGGCCGCTGCGTGCGGATCCTGCGGCTCGTCGCCCACTATGCCGACGACCCGCGCGTCGCCAGCGCGTTCGCCGACCACTTTGCGCGCGCGCTGGCCCCGCCCGACACGGACCTGATCGAGGTGGGCATCAAGGCCTCGTGGGTCGTCCGGCAGCGCGTGCGCCAAAAGTACCTCGAGGGCCCGGACCGCGAGCTGCCGTGCCAGCGGCTGGAGGCGTCGGCGACGACGGCGACGGCGGCCCGCCGAACCATTGTGACGCGGTCGGCGACGGCCAGCCGGCTCCAGGGTGCGGACGGGGCGCTGGCAGAGTACACACAAGGACGCACTGCGGCCGTGTGCGAGCAGAACAACACGGCCGCTCAGCATGCGGCGCCTATGGACCGGCCGCTACGGCTTCCGCCAGCACAGACAGCACCGCCCCCACCTCTCTACGCGCAGGATGTTGGTCCGACGTGCCACGGCGGCACACAGTGGGAGGCGGACAGCACGCTCGCCGAGCAATTCAGCCACGCCTTTAGTGACGAGGTATTTACGGACTGGAACGCCTGGTTTGACGACGCGGATGATTTTATGAACTTGTTTCGCGCGCCGAACTGGAATTCCGTGTAGGGAGCGAGGCGGGGACACAGCGACACACTGCGATATGCCAGTTGATATGACAAAGAATGATTCAAGACAATGACAATACACACTTCGCCGGCGCTCCACAGTTACTGGCTGGTTGGTGGCTTGCCCTGTTCTCGTTGCTTCCCCGCACACCGCATCAGCGCTAAGAGCTGGTGTAAGTCGCTGGGCCCACTTGCCGAAATTCGCTTCGGCACCGAAGGCTCCTCGCACAGACATGTCTTGTCCTTCCAAATGACCATCCCAACAGGGAGAACATGAGCGAGGGGGGGACGCCGGACAAGGAGAACTTCTCAGACGACGAGAAGTCCTACGGACATTGGTTGGATTGCTGCTCAAAAGTTGGCAGCAGCCGACGGGCGCTCAAAAGTCCGGGCCGATCATGGCAGAAAATGTGAGATCAAAAAGAACGACAAGAATGTCAACGCAGAACGAGACAACACAAAGCTTCAAATAGGAGCTGGACACAACTGTCTCTGTCTTCATTTCGTTCCAGATTCATTGCCTCTGCATTGCCAAACACCAGGCGGCCTTTGACCATACATCATACCCCACGTCAAGATTAAACGAAACAGACGTCATCGTACCTCTCCACACCCCTCACAATGGGTTCGGTTCCCACGCCTTTACCGTCCTCGGACGTCCTCTGCCAGATCGTCACGCCCGTCGGCATGTTCGGCTACGGCTTCGAAATTGACGAGGTGTACCGCGGGCTGGAGGCTGCGCGGCGCGACCACCCGGGCGTGCCGACGGCGCTCATCATGGACAGCGGGTCGACGGACTCGGGCCCGTCGAAGCTGGCCCTGGGCCTCACGACCTGCCCAGAGAGCTCGTACCGCCGCGACCTGCTGGCATGCCTGCGGATCGCGCGGCAGTACGGCGTGCCGCTGCTGCTGAGCTCGGCGGGCGGCGACGGCGCGGACGCGCACGTGCGGCTGTTTGGCCGGCTGGTGGCAGAGGCCGTGGACGCGCTCAACGGCGAGGACGGCACCGCGACGACGCTCAAGGTCCTGTCCGTGTACAGCGACGTGGACAAGGCGCTGGTGCAGGAGCGGCTGGCGGCCGGCACGGTGGCGGGCTGCGGTCCGTGCGTGCCGGCACTCTCGGCCACCGCCGTCGAGGCCACGACCGTCGTCGTCGGCCAGATGGGCCCGGAGCCGTTTGTGCAGGCCATGGCGGCGCACCCAGACTTTGACGTCGTGCTCGGCGGGCGCGCCTACGACCCGTCGCCGTACGTGGCCTTTTGCGCCTACCACCATCTGGGCCCGGCCGCGGCGGCGACCACAGACGTGTGGGCCATGGATGCGGGCCTGCTCGGCGGATTCACGCACATGGGCAAGATCATGGAGTGCGGGGGCCTCTGCGCGACGCCCAAGAGCAAGGGCTCCATGGCCACGGTCTACCGCGACGGCAGCTTCGACATCCACGCGCTGGCCACCGGCGCCGTGTGCCGGCCCCTGACGGTGGCGGCGCACACGCTCTACGAAAAGACGCGCCCGGACCAACTGCCCGGGCCAGGCGGCCACTTGGACCTGACGACAGCCCGCTACGCCCAGCGCGACGACGGGGCGTCGGTGCACGTCCAGGGCGCCACGTTTCATCCGTCGTGGAGCAAAGAGGGCGGCGGCGCCGGCGGCGCCTACACGATCAAGCTGGAGGGCGCGCGCATCACGGGCTACCGCGCCATCTTCATGGGCTCGTTCTGCGACCCGATCCTGCTGGCGCAGCTGCCGGACGTGCTGGCACAAATCAAGAAGTACGTCGGCAAGCAGCACGCGCACCTCGACCCCGCGACGTGGGACCTCGACTTCCACGTCTACGACGGCCGGGACCGCGACGGCCAGGACGCCGGTATGCCCGCACGTGGCGGGCCCGAGGTGCCTCCACCGGGCGTCGCCTTTATTGTCGGCGAGGCCCTGGCGCCCACGCAGGCCGACGCCAACAGCATCGCGTCCGCCGCGCGCATCGGCTGCGTCCACGGGTCGTACCCGGGCCAAAAGGCTAACAGCGGCAACTTTGGCATGGGCATCGGCGGCGGGTCGGGCGAGATTGAGATGGGCGCGTGTGCCGAGTTCTCCGTGTACCACCTGATGGACCTGGCCCGGGGCGAGGAGGGCGCCCGGGAGGTCGGCACGGAGGGGGCTGCGTTGTTCCGCTGGGCGGTGGCCTGGGCGGGGCCGGCGGGGGGGACGAGGGTGGCGGTGCCCGCGGCCGTTGTGAAGACGGAGGTCAAGGCAGTGAATGGCCACACCAATGGGGCGTCGACAGCAACCTCGTCGACGACCTCGTCAACGACCTCGTCGGCATCGACCTCGTCAAAGGCGACGACGACGACGACCGCCACCACCACCACCGTCGGCGACCTCGCCAAGCTGCTGCGCTCCAAAAACGCCGGGCCTTACGAAATCACCCTCGACGTCCTCTTTGACGACCGCGCCGTCTACGACAAGGTCAAGGCGTCGGGGGTCCTGACCCCGGACAAGGTGGCCGCCCTCTATGGGTTGACCGCCGACCAGCTCGTCTACTGCGCCTTCTTTGACCCGGCGCTCGCCTTCAAGGCCACGCTGCCGCGCATGCGCAAGGGCCAGCCGGCCGCCTCGGGCGGCTTCATGGAAAACGACGTCCACGGCTCGCAAAAGTACAAGCCGCTGATGAATGTGGCGATTGCGCTGTAGGGTGGGGGATGGTCGATTCGTTTCGTTTTTCGTGTGTCGTGTCGTCATGTCGTTGCGTCGTCGTTTGAATGTAAATACGTCGTGTATTTTTGAGTCGTGTATTTGAGTGCATGAATTGAATTCAGCTTCAAGGCAAAAGGCACCGTCTTCTCGCAGTTGATGTCTTTTCGTGCCAATGTAGCCTCTGTGCGGCTTCGAGGACCATCGCGCCTCTTCCCTTCTGTCCCCCCCTCCACTCAGGGCACCACCTCTCTGTCGACATTGATGACGAGGAAGTAGATGTGATGCCGATGTCCGCCGTTAGGCGCTAAAAGTTAGCGTGTTCGGGGTCTTTTAGCGCCCGGCAGGTCCCAGTGACGCAACGTCTTGACAGCTGCTGTCTCTGAACGGACAACATCCCGACATGTTACTCGCTGTTCGTCTCCTGCATCGGCGTGCGACCACGCCGTGTCCTGAAGCAAATGGTTGGCAAACTCGTTGAACAGGCGTTCCAGTTGAGGGCCTGTTTCTGGGAATCCTTGGCTTGCGCCTGCACAGGCAAATGATGCTCGCGGCCCCCAACATCGCGAGATGGCATCACACGCAACGGGACGCCGACCAGAATGGGTGCAGAGCAGCGCGACGTGCGCTGGAAAAGGCGGGATAAGACGCCGACGGGTGCAGACCAGCTGCATGTGCATCATGCGTGGTATCCTGCACGGCGCCCCTCTTTGAGCCTCGACCCAGGCGTCTTCCCTCTTGTGCTCTCTGCTGCCTGTCGCCTTGCAGCGTCTGGCGGCCTCTGCCCATTCGCCGGCATTCCTTATTGGCCACGATAGTCTCTCCTGCTCTTCGCTTCCACCCGCATTCTTGCTTGCTCCTACTTGTCAAGCTCCAGGTCGCGACTTTGTCTTCCCCCCATTGCCGTCGCGCCAACGGCCGGCTTTTTCGCGTTGCCTTTCCGCTGTCGTTCTGCGCAGTGCAGCTTCCCCCCACGACGGCCTACTGCAGGCGCACCGTAATCCTCCTTCATAGTACTGCGGAATAAATAGATGCAGCATCCTTCTCCGTGTCGCATTTCGGAGGGCATATCTCGTTTGTATCGTAGACTTTGGACTTGCACTGTGCATACATGTTCTCGTCCTCACATTCTTCGATCACATTCACCCCTGTCCCCTTGTGCTTACAGCGACTACAGCAACTACGACTACAGCGATTACAGCGACTACAGCGACTACAGCGATTACAGCGTACAACGATTACAGGCCACCCCGCCCGTCCACTAACAAAATGGCCCCACAATTGGCAGCCGCTGCAACCACTCCTGCACCCGCGCCGGCCGACGGCTCCGACGGCGGCGGCCTCTCCCAGGGCCAGATCGGCGGCATTCTGGTCGGCGTCGTTGCCTTTGTCGTCCTTCTGTTCCTCTTCTGGTACTGGCTCACCCACTCCGAGGGCTACGTGGCCTACCGCGACGAGCGCCGCTACCGCCAGCGCCTGGAGCGGCTGCGCCAGCGCGACCAGTGGGAGCGCCGGCGTCGTCGGCCGCGGTCCTATTACGAGACCGAGGTCAGCTACGAGAGCGACTCGGAGACGACAGAGGTGTCGCGGCGGCAGCGGCCCGCGGCGTCCATGGCCGCCGCCGCCCGGATGCAGCACATGATGGCCGCAGCGGCCGCGGCGGAGCACCAGCAGCAGCTCGAGGCAGAACGGCGGCGACGGGCGGCCGGCGTAGCCACAGCCCCCAAGTACGTCCTCAACCCGCCGCCGCTCCGGTTTCCCCCGACGGCGCGGCGGACGAGCTATGTGCACACTCGCCATCCGCAGATTCCCGGCATCCGGCGGTTTCCTTGAGGGCCCGGGGCAGGAACGAGCGTCCGGCTCAAACACAGGATCAACTCGGCTTGCTCTTTCCCGGATGGGACAGTCCCCAGCATGCCCTTTTCGGAAACAGCGTCTTCCCCTTGGAAACAAGACGCACCTTCCCCTGGTGGACCTACATACAACAACAAAGCAACCACTTTAAACAACCCTTTGTCGTTCACTTCCAGCCCTCTCTGCAAAACCTCTTCCCATTGCAAGTTTCCTTACAGCATTTTTACTTTCCTTCGCCTCTCGGTCCACAGCGCCCTCCGGCATCTGCTCGGCCACGCCATGACGTATTCCCCGCTGCTGGTCCCCGTCTCGCTGCTGCTCCCCATCTGCCTCTTTGTTTTCGTTGCTGCCGGCGCCCTCGAGTCTCCGTCCGTCCGCGCGTTTCCCTACGTCGTGCTCATGACCATTGTCTTGATGCAGTTTCGTCTCGTTGCCTACTACTTTTACGTCACCAGGAACCCGGGGCTGCAGCTGTTGGCGGCGTAACCGCAACAAGCCAGTGACCAAACGCGCAGATACGATGGTATGCCCTTTCGTCCCGCGTCGTGGCTCAGGCTGTGACTCTTCCTCGCTGCTCACTCTCTACGCAGAACCGGCGGCTCGCACTTGTGATGGTCGCGGCATCGGTCGTCGTGCCCTTCCGCCGGCGCTACCCCTCGCCCACGCCCGCCTGGCCCGCCATGTCGGCAGCGCAGCTCCCCTCATTGCTGTACCCAACGAGACGGGTCACCGCTGCCGACGAGGACAAAACTGGCAGCAACACTGTATAGCACCTTGGGACGGTCCTGGCTGCTCCTGTGATGACAAGAATGGCTCAGGCAGTGCACCAAGCGCGAGACCAAAGGAGAGCGCGCGGTACTGGACTCGAACTCCATGGACGAGCAGGACAGACGGTTTTGAATAGACGTTGCCCGTGGCGCGGAGCAGTATCCTTGAAATGAAATCAATTAACGCCTGGTGGTCCCCGAAACAAGCGACAAAACCTTCACAATATTAAAGAAGTAATAAAAATACAAAATATATCCACTCGCTATGCAAATATCCAACGTCGGTTTTTGTCCGTTTCATGTAGCATCCCCTTCCACTCGGTCCCGGCGACACGCTCAATCACTTCCGCTCGTGCTGGCGCCCTCAAACAGCCGCACACACAGCACGGCCGCAATCGCCGCAATGCCGCCCAGAATGACCATCTGCACGCCCTCGAACGTGCTCTTCCACAGCCGGCGCCATGGAATACGGCGGCGCCCGGCCGGGAGGGGCCGTTCTGAAGACGAGGAAGATGGCGTGTCCAGGGCAAAGTCCCGGATGAAGCCAAACAGGAAGAGGGCCACAATGCAAACGGCAAAGCTGTACCGCAGACCGTCGCCGACGTGCGTGACGAAAAAGTACGGCCACAGCGGGAGCAGGCCGCCCACCAGATACCCCAGCGCGACGGACGCGCCAGCCGCCACGGGCCAGACAGCATCGTCGTCGCCGTCGTCGCCGTCGTCGCCGCGGCCGTCTTTTGCGGGCGGCGCGTAGTAGTCGGCGCCGTAGCCGTATTCCCCGTCGTCGTCGCCGCCGGCCACACGAGCCGCTGCCGACTGGCTGGCCGCCACGAGGTTCGCGGCCACGTGCGGTTGGGACGCAATGTGGGCCAGCATTTGCCGGTGCAGGTCGGCCGGCAGCGCCAGCGGCGCCAGGTAGCGGTGTGCCGTGGTGAGACTGTCCGCCCCGGGGCTATCCGCCGCCTTGGTCTCCTCCATCTCGGGGCCGGACTCGACGTCGGCCCGGTCGCGGCCCCGCTCCCTGCTGCCCTCGCCCTCACCCTCGTCTTCGCCCGCGGACGACGACGTGGGTCGAGTAGCAGCCTGTCGCGCCGACAGGTAGCCGCCAATGCCCATGCTGATGCACCCTGCGCTGACCTCGGCCAGGCCCGCGTACACCACCGTGTCCGTCTGCCCCAGCGACGACAGCCCCGCCGTCAGCGCAAACGGCACGGTCAGGCCGTCGGCGAAGCCCAGGGTAAAGTCGGCCCAGAAACGGCGGGCGGGCGGCAGGCAGCCGACCCGTTTTTGCACGTGGGCCACGCGCGCCCGTTTCGCCCGTTTCGCCGCCGCGCGCTGCTGCCACGACGCCGATGTCATCTGGATGCTGCCCTCGCTGGCACTGTCGACGCTGGCACTGCCTGGGCTGTAGGCGCCGTCGTGGTCGTCGTCGTTGCCGTGGTCCGCCAGCAGGCGGGCATACTGCTGGCGCGTGCGGGTCGAGTCGGCCATGCCGGCGAGTGTCGATGGATAAAACGAGGCGAACGACGAAGCGGAGTGGGAGGTCGAGGACGGCGATGTAGGGCGGTGGTTGAGTGACTGGTGGTTGGGTGACAGAAACGGTGAAGAGGACATGTGAGGCGTGACAGGCATTCCTGTGGAGGAAGCGGAGGAGCGAGTGGAGGGAAAGAAAAGGATCGACCGAGAGATCAACGGAAAGCCCTCTGCGTTTTTGTCTTCTTTTAAATTGTATGTGTCTTCGATTCTGTTTCAAAGATTATCTTCGCCCGAATGAGCCGTTGGGATTAACGCCCAGGTGAGAAGCGACCATGCTCGCATATTTACACAACCCGCTCTCTAGTTCTTGTCTACAAGGCCATGTTCTCCGTTAACGAACGCGTGGATGTGGGACAGGAGAACACAAGAGTAATGGATGGCGGAGAATGTGGTTGTAGAAGGAGACATGATTGGGCATGGGGTACCCAAAGAACAAAAGAAGGGCAGGGGACATGGTGGGTTTGGGGAGGCTACCCGTGAGCTGGGTTGCAGAAAGGACCTTTCAGGATACCGAGAGAGAAAAGAGATAACAGACAAATCGAGAAGAGACAGTGCCAAAGGACGGGAAAGCGGCGCAAAAGTGCTGTTCGCCTTGTCGTGCATCTCCATTCTGCACATGGCGGACCCCTGTCGAGGCGAGTCGTGTAGTTTAATGGAGCTGCACAGGTAATGCAGGCCGTCTCATTGGATGCGTGTCGAGGCTGGCCTGTCCTGGTTCCTGGTCCTTTGTCGTCGTGCAAAACCAAGAACATCGCCGTCGCCAATGTCAGCGATCCGTGGTGCCCACGTGGGTGCACTATGTGCAGTTTAGTGGGTGGAAAGAGCGTGCTGGGTGCTCCACTCTCCGCAGATCGACCAATAAGTTTAGTGGGCAAACCAGGCTGCATGTCCTGTCCCTCTTACACAGGACACCCACCGATGGCTCGGTCGATCAAAAGGGACAGGCGGGAGGGAGCATGTCGACAGAGGAGAAGACAGAGGACAAGCTGACAAACTGGGTGGCATTCTACAGACTTCAGACCGATGAAAAGAAAGCGGTGGCGGTCGGCAGAATGACGCTGCGAGTCGATCTTGCATGTTGAGCGGCTTGTCGTTCTTTCCGCCTGTCGCGTGCTACCTTCCCATTACGGACATTCTTCTTGCTTATGCACAGTCAACAAATACGTCGTGGAACCAAACACAAAGACAGTCAGCACTAAACGTCTCGGCTGTCTACTTCAACGTCAACACAAACGGTTCTTATCAGGACTGTGATGCATTCATGACTATGGAGTAGTTGCACTGCGGCGAACAGCATCAAAACTGACAGCACCACCACCACCAACACCCACGCTACCAGTTGGCCTTGACAAACTCGGCAAGACTGGTCAGCTTCTGGCCGGCGACGGCTTCAATGTACTTGTCGTGGTCCGCCTGCTTGCCCTTGGCGTCGTTGCCATAGTAGCTGTAGTCGCGAATCAGCTGCATGTTCTCGGCCATCTCGTCCTGGACAAACGCGGGGCCGGGCACGCTCTCCTTCCACGCGTCGTTGGGCACCTCCTTGAAGACCGTCTTCGTCCCGGTGACGTCGGAAATCGTCTGCACCACCTCGGCCGGCGTCACCCACTGCGACACAGCCTGGATGAACTGCCCGTCGGCGGCGGCGCCCAGCGCCAGGGCCCCGGCGACGTACTTTCCCGCGTCCGACACGATGTCGATGGTGGCCACCTGCGTCTCGGTGGCGGACAGCGGCTGGCTCCAGGTGGGCACGCCCGTCGTCGGGTCCGGGCGCACGCTGCCCTTGATGTTCTGCAAGAAGTAGGCGGGCATAACGTGCGTGACCCAGAGGCCCGTCTCCTTTTTGCGCGCCTCGGCGTACGCGGACACCTCGGCCTTGGAGTCGAAGTGGTCGATGTGCGACAGGACGCCCTGGGTCAGCTCGGTGGTAGCCGGCAGCGACGACCACACAAGGTGCTTGACGCCGCCCGCCACGCAGGCGTCGACAATGTTCTTGCCCTGCGTGATCTCGGTCGTCTTGGACAAGGTCTCCCAGTAGTTGGTGACGGCAAAGACGGCGTCGACGCCGTGCACGGCCGCCTGCAGCGACGCCGGGTCGTTGACGTCGGCCTTGATGGGCTGCACACCCTTGGCGACGAGCTTCTGGGCAGCCGGCTTGGTCGGGTCGCGCGTGACGCCGCGGATGGTGTACTGCGACGAGAGGACCGAGCTGGCCAGCAGGGCGCTGATGACGGAGCCGCCCTGGTTGCCGGTCGCGCCGAACACGGTAATGATCTTTTTGGACATGATGTGTGTGAGCGAATGGCAATGGATGAAGAGAAGAGGCGGTTTACAGAGCGAAGAGGGGCAATTGGCAAAGTCAAGAAGAGCTAATGTCAATTGATGAACAGTAGAGAGGCGGTTTACAGAAAGAAAAGGGACATTTGGCAAAGTCAAGAAGACATACTGCCAAGACTTAAATAGCAATTCGCCATCACACACGGAGGACTTGAGCAGCTTCAGTGAAGTCTTGCGGGGTACGTCGAGGAAACCCAAAGCTTGTGACACACGATTTGCAAACCCGATCAAGCTACCGGATCCTCTGTAATTACATTCGTACAATGCACCAGAATCACCAGATACGAGCTTTGCATGACGTACTCAACAGAAACCCCCCCCGAGACATTAGCGCCATTGTCTATTTCCTTAGTCAGTGGTTAGGCAGCATTAGGCTAGACGATCTCGTCTATTCTCCCAGGATCCGTTTACAAATACAAACTTTGCAGCGCCTTTGTCTGTCGCCTCGACCTTTTTCCATTTGTCATGTCAGTGCTCCTACGAGCGTTGCCGACCTGAGCAGTGCGCGGGCTGCATCCACCCTGCCCCATCCACCCTGCTCCATCCACTCTAAAACGACGGCAGCCCCAGAGCCGCACGGCGGCCCGTGCTGGCCGGGTCCAGGTACGGCACGCCGCCAATGCCAGACGCGCGCACGCCGGTCCGCACGCCTTCGACGAGGTGGGTGTCGGGCGTCGCCGCGTGCAAGGTGCACTCGTTGCTCCAGATGGCGCAGGCGCCGCGGGTCCAGTGCATGCGGGCGACGCAGTCGTGGTTGCGCGTGATGAGCCGCAGGGTGTAGTCGCGCAACAGCTGGTCCTCGTACGTGGACACGTCGTTGATGCGCGAGACGTGCAGGCCGACGCCGGCAAAGAGCGACTTCCAGCCGGTCACCGGGTGCGTGCGCACGACGGGGTGGACGGGCGCGAATTCGTAGTCGACGTTCTGCGGGGCGCCGCGCGGGCTCATGACGTCGTAGCCGCCGGCCTCGCAGGCGGACTGGAACACGGGCTGGGCGCAGGTGGCCGTCAGGCTCTCAAACAGGGCGCGGAACGGCGGCGACAGCCGGTCGTACAGCTCGTAGCCCGAGACCCACAGCGTGTCGCCGCCGGCGGGCGGCGTGGACTGCATGCGCAAGAAGGAAAAGTCGGACGGGCAGTTCTCAAAGAGACTGTCGCTGTGCCACTCGCGGCCGAGATCGCGGGGCTCGGTGGCGGCCGGGCGGTTCTTCATGGTGGCGTAGAGCTTCTTCTGGGCTTCCGAGTTGATGACATAACTAAGAGGTCAGCGAAGTGACGACAACGTGGGGAGCGAGCGAAGCGAGGACACAAACAACGGGACACAGCGGCTTACATATTCTTGTCCGTCTGACCGTTGGCCATGGGAATGTTGTTGGGGTCGTTGTACAGCGGGTGGACATGCAGGCCATTCTCGGCGGGCCGTCCCGTCAGCTTGCCCAGCCGGTCGGTAATGTCCTTTTGCTCGTCAATGGACAGGTCGTCCTGGGGCGCGCGGAAGAAGACGACGCCGCGCTCGCAGATGGTAATGGCCAGGTCGCGCAGCTGCTCGTCGGCATTGGGCGCGTCAATCATCTGCTTGAGGCTCGCGGTCGGGTACTCGCGGCCGATGATGGGGGACACGTCGACATAGTCGAGGTGGTCGATTGATGTGCCTTTTTTCAAGGGCTGGACCCGGAGGGCCGGCGTTGTGTCGACGGAGCCCATGTTGGTGGCGATGGGTTGCGGTGCTGCGGTGATGCGGTGATGCGGTGATGCGAACGGACAAGTGATCAGACTGTTCAAGACGTCCAGATGTGCCTGGTTTGCGTCTGTATGCTCGGCCTTGTCGATGCTGAATATAGAGTGCTACGGCAGCATTGATATAGTTGCATGGCTCTCTGTGGCGTGGCCAGCACCAGCCGAGGAAGTGTGCTTCCGCCGATCCACCCTGTCTACGGACGCCGTGCTCTCCAACTGCTCCTGTGGACAAGTGCCGGCCGTTGGCCAGTCGTGTGACTCCGCGCAGGTCTCGGCAGGCCCCGCACGTCGGTTGGACCACAGCGAGCGACGGCCATATAAACTCGAGCGACGAGACGAATGCCGCTCGATCCATGGACGCAGCTGGCAGTGTTCATTGCCCGTTTCTATTCTGTTTCCGGGCAAGGGCAGCAGTAACATGGGATTAGGCCGGGCGTTAGACGACCCCAAAGGGCAGCGGGGGTGCTTGGCAGGTCGCGCGGCAAAAAAAAAACAACGAAACCAAACAAACGGCACTTGCTGCGAGGCTCTCCAACGACAGGGGCGCTCAGGAGGTGTCAGGGTGTCCACGGGAAAGTCAACCGACGGCGTGCGGAGGTGAGACGCGCATCGAGCTAGACGACGGACCCCCGCAACCAGCGAGTCGGTAGTTGTGTATTCCCCCCAAAACCACACAACTGTCAAGCTACCCCAGTTTTTCCCCAGTGTTGCCAGGGCCAGGATGGGAATAGCAGCTGAAATACGGGGAGACAATCACGGCTAACCATCAGCCGGGGAGTCAACACTGCATGACTCTGAAGAATGGAAGCGACGCCAAGCAGCCTTGCAAGCGATCGTGGCGGGACGGCATAACATAAAGGTGACCGTGGTCCTCTGGCGAGAGGATGGATTCTGCAGATGGACGACTCTGCCAGACGCGACCGCGGCAGTCACTGTTCTTGATTCCTGCTTTTGAGCTTCTTGTTTGCCTTGGGCGTTTTTATTTTCCACGTCGTTACATATCCACCGCCACAGCCCCATCCTCTACAACCTCACCTCGTCATGGCTGGTGGCGCTGAACTGGCCAACCCGCTGCGGCTGGACGTCGGAAGCCACAGGAAGTGCCTGGCCATCTGCTGCCTCGTGACACTGGCCAGCTTCCAGTACGGCCTCGACTATGCGCTGGTGGGCGGCTTCATGGCGATGCCGGGCTTCCTCAAGGTGTTTGGCTACTACGACGAGCACACGCAGAAGCTGGCCATCGACACGACGGTGCAGCAGCTCATCTCGTCGCTCATGACCATCGGCACGTTTGTCGGCTCGCTGCTGATCGGGCCGTACAGCGCGCGCTTCGGGCGGCGGCCGGCGCTCTGGATTGCGTCGCTGCTCAACTTTGTGGCGACGGCCATCATGATGGGCTCGACGAGCCTGGCGGCGCTGTACGTGGCGCGGTTCCTGCTGGGCATCTCGGTCGGCTGGTTCCTGACGTTTGGCCAGATCTACGTCAACGAGGCGGCGCCGGCGCACCTGCGCGGCCTCGTGTTTGCCATCTACCAGTGCCAGCTGTCGATGGGCTCGATTGTCGGCGCGGCCGTCGACTACGGCACCAAGACGCTGCTGACCAAGAACGCGTACCGCATCCCGCTGGCCGTCTTCTTCGTGGTGCCGACCATCCAGTGCGTGGCGCTCGCCTTTTTCCCCGAGAGCCCGCGCTGGTTGATGACGCAGGGCCGCGAGGCCGACGCGACGGCGTCGCTGCGGCGGCTGCGCAACGCCGCGATTGACGAGGCCGAGTTCCAGGGCGAGCTCAACGAGATCCGGGCGTCGACGCGCGACCAGCTGCAGAAGACAGAAGGCAAGCGGCTGTGGATCGAGATGTGGCGGGGCGTCAACCGGCGGCGCAGCCTGCTGTCCATTGCCATCATCTGCTTCCACTCGGCCAACGGGTCGTCGTGGATCAACATCTACACGACGTACTTTCTGACCGTCGCCGGCATCAAGAACGCCTTTGCCTACTCCATCATGATGACCTGCTTCGGCCTGCTCGGCGTCCTCGCAAGCATCACCATTGTGCGCCGCGTCGACCGCCGCGCCATCGTCATGGTCGGCGTCGCCGCCTGCGGCCTCTGCCAGCTGGCCTTTGCCATTGCCTGGACCGTCGCCCCCGGCTCCGCCGCCACCGGCCGCGTCATGGTCGCCTTCATCACGCTCTTCACCTTCTTCTACGTCGCCTACGCGCCCTACGCCTGGCTGCTCGGCGGCGAGTACCCCAACAATGCGTTCCGCGCGCACACCTACGGCGTGGCCACGGCCATGAATTTCCTGGGCAACTGGCTCGCCGTCTTCACGGCGCCCTACTTTATCAACCCGGCGTCGCTTGGCTGGAACGCCAAGTACGGCTACATCTGGTTCGGCAGCAACGCCATCCTCTTCGTCTTCACGTGGGTCTTTATCCCCGAGACGCGCGACCGCACGCTCGAGGAGATCCACGAGATGTTTGAGGCCGGCGTGCCCGCGCGCCAGTTCAAGAACTACGTCTGCTCCGACACGCAGGCCATGGCGCGTGCGCGCGAAAAGGACGTCGACGGCGACCTGCCGCAGGTGCAGCACGTCAACGATGCGTGAGAGAGGGGGGGAAAGGAGGGCGGCGGTGGTGAGGGTGAGGGGTGGTGAGGCGCTGTTCTGCTGTTGTTGTGTCCCAATCTAGCCCACGATGTGTATAATTGTCTCGAATTTATTCTTTGAGAATTATAAGAATAATCGAAATCATAAATCTCGGACGATAAATATCTCCCATATTACATTCCCCCTCAAGAAATAACCCATTCTTTACGTACATGACTCTCGTCACACTTCGTCCGTCCGACGTCCATTTCGGCCGATTTCTGTGACAGTCGCGGCCGTGCGTACAACTTTGGCCGACCCGATATCCGTCAGCAGATGTTTCAGTGGACCGTCCCAGCATTCGCCCGCACACTTGCTTACGCATTGCCTACTAATACGCCTGTGTCCCAGGGCCACAACCCCCAGTGGAGACTCTGCTAGCGCCCGCATGCTACAGCGGGTCTAGCACGGCCACTGGAGCTCTTACTTCCGAGCGCATCGGAGGGGATATATATACGTCCTCCCGGCTCTATACGTCATACGCTGCCTTGCGTTCTTTCAACGTTACCACGTCGCAACAACTGCTCTCTGTCGTCCACCGTCGTCCACGATTACGCGCCCGCTCCTCCGTCCGCTGGCCGCGCCGCCCATGCGGCTCTCTGCGCGCGTCCCGGCCATTCTCCTGACCGCCGCCGGCGCCACGTTCCTCGCCTACAAAGCCAAGACGCAACCTCTCTTTTCGTCTTTCTCGTCGTCGTCCTCTTCTCCCACGTTGTCTCCCACGTCGTCTCCCCCCAACATGCCCCGCGCTGCAGTCGTCGCCCTGTCGCACGGCGGCGGGCCCATGCCTGTGCTCGGCGACCCCAGCCACGCCGACATCAGCCGGAGCCTGCGCGAGCGCGTGCCGTCGATCCTGGGCCTCAACAGCACCGAGCGGCGGCCCAAGGCCATTGTCGTCGTGACGGCCCACTGGTCCGAGCGCGTGCCCCACATCTCGTCCGGCGCCCAGCCGAAGCTGCTCTACGACTTTGGCGGCTTCCCGGCCGCCGCGTACCGCCTCAAATACGACGCGCCCGGGTCGCCCGCGGTGGCGCAGCGCGTGGCCGAGCTGCTGGCCCAGGCGGGCGGCTTCGCGCCCGCCCTCGACGACGCGCGCGGCTGGGACCACGGCGTGTTCGTGCCGCTGCTGCTCGCGCACCCGGCGGCCGACATCCCCGTCGTGCAGGTCAGCGTGCTCGCCAGCGAGGACCCGGCGGCGCACTTCCGCATGGGCCAGGCGCTGGCGCCGCTGCGCGACGAGAACGTCGCCCTCGTCGGCTCCGGCTTCGCCAGCTTCCACAACCTGAGGCTCATGTTCTCGGGCATCACGCGCGACCCCCAGACCGCGGCCCAGCTCAAGGACTGGAACGCCGCGGTCACGGCGGCCGCCACCGAACCCGACGCGGCCCGCCGCGCGGCCCTGTTCGAGAAGTGGCGCGACTTCCCTATGGCCTATGTGACGCACCCGCGCGGCGGCGCCGAGCACTTTTTGCCGCTGATTGTGTGCGCGGGCGCCGCGGGCAACGAGGCCGGCAAGCTGTTCACAGACGACTTTATGGGGCTGGACATTCTGTCCTACTACTGGGAGTAGAGTGAGAGGCGTGGGCCAGACAATATGCTTGGCCAGAATAGTTGTCAATGCAACCTTTTTTTGTAGTCATTTTACTTCTGTTATGGTTCCCCATTGCTTTATTATGGGTCGTATTATGTGGAGGATGTACAAACTCAGCCGCATAAATGATCGCCAGGAGGAACGGCTGATGGGCGGCTGCTCGTGGCTTCCCCAACGGACCCGTCCGGGTACTGATTTGTGCATTGACCGGGACGATCTGGTCGATCCCCAGGGGCAGTGCACTTTTCTCCGTTTGCCAACACCTCTGCGTCGCCATTCGCCCATGTGCAATCTAATCTCAATGGACAACAGTGCACAGTGCACAGTTGCTGCATAAACTTGTGCATTGGCAGGCACACGGGCGGGCACTGCCATGCCGTGTCTTTTGTCTTTTGCTGGCGGTGGTAAGTGAGAAGGTATAGCCGTGAACTGCCATGGGCGTGGAGATGGTGGAGATGGTGGAAGTATAGTCCAAAATAGAGCAAAATCAAGAGCGACTAAATCACGCAACAAAGACGATCGACACGGAACAGCAACCGAGAGTGAAGATGTGGTGGCTGAAGAAAGCCGAGTCGATCATCGAATCGCCAAAGGCACGACAACAGAGACCGTCAATAGTTTGTTCTAAATGGGGAAATGGAAGACGACAAGTCGGCAGACAACACGTCGGCCAGCAACCGTCAACATGCGCCATTTCTTTTTCTTGCTGTCTTTTGTTGACTCTGTCTTGTCTCTCGTTCACGATCCGATAGATGCACGGCAAGTCGAACGTACTTGTATAAAGACCGCCATGATGCCCTGACAAGTCCAGCCAGGCATCAGGACATGTGCAGTCCGTATTCCTGGCCTCTTCCCCATTATCCTTATTGCCATATAGTAATAACTACTACGCTAAGGCACACCCACCCCGTTGGGACACTCCGCAATTTCTGGGCTGTTCCTCTATTTGTCCAATATAATCCTCCCTCTCCTGCTCCCGTTTTCCTTGATGGCAATCTCACGTTTTGGAGGCTTTCCTGTCCTCACAAAAATGGCGGCTGTCGCAGTGCCATCTGTGGTGCGGGCGACCCTCAGTGGCCGCGTCGACGAGACGATGCGAGACAGCGGGATCGACATGGACGTCAAGAACGGCGTCGACGCGGCCGACTTGTGCGGCATCCTCGAGCACGCGACGGTGGACATGGAAGACACTACATGGGAGTCGGACAGCTCGGACGACATGTCCAGCCTGGACGAAAAGGCGCTGAGCCCGTTTGACACCATCAGCGATGACGTCGCCGATGCTTCGCTGACAGAAAGTCTTCTTCCGTCGCCGACATGCCTGGACGACCGGGTCTGTGTCGAGGCCAACGACGGCCGACCGGACAGGGGTTCGTACATGTCGCTCAACGCATCGACGTGCTCTCTCGCGTCAACCGTGCGAGAGGATGCGGACGCGGGCGCGGACGCGGGCGCAGATGGGCCATCCGGTGCCTCGTCGGTCCCGCCCCGACGCGACGTGTCCTTTGATGCCTACTACGATGCACCCGTCTACAGCTATGCCACGACCCTCCAGCCGGCCTTTCCGACCGTCTTTGACGTGTTCAGCCACGACGATGGCGTCACGTTCTACCTCGGCGGCGGCGGGCGACGCGTCCCACGGCATCACAGCCAGAGGGGCCGCGGCGCGGGTGCGTTCTGGCCCTTTGCGAATCCGCCGCTGTATGCCTGCCGACTGCACCACGACCACCACCACCGCCACGCGTCGACGGGCCGGCCACCGGTGGTGCTCTACGGTGGCCTGGACGCCGACCGCGACGGCGCGTGGGCGGATGTGCAGTTTGGGCGGCTGTCGCCGTCGGTCAAGTCCATCCGATCGTTGGGCAGCATCACCATCGGCCTGCCGCCCGTGGCCCGCCGGCGGACAACAGGGTACCAGCCACTGGAGGACGACGACGACGTTCCTGCGGGCCGTACGGAAGAAACGCTGCACGCCCGCCTTGGCTGGCACACGCGGTACCGGTTCGAAGTCGACGTGGAGACGGAGGCCGACGGGCCGGCCAGTTTCGTGAGCGGCCGCCGTCCGTCGCGCCGGGAGGCCTTTGAGTGGCGATACTGCTCGGGCGCCGAGCTGCGCGCCCTGGACGACGACGACGCGTCGGTGCCTGTCGCTGCGGAGGGCGGTGGCGATCGTGTGGCGACACCGGGCGCACCGTTGCGACGCGCCAGTGTCAAAGCAGGCCAGCTGCTGCGACGGGCCCTGTCGCGGCGGTCGACCGGTGCTGTGCCTGTGCCTGTGGCACAAAAGAAGGCCTACACACACCCAACACCACCCCGCTGGCACGCCGGCTGGCAGCTCGTCCGCCTCGCCGAGTCCACGGATCCCTTGGCCGAGGCCATCCGGGCCGTCCAGGCCGTGCAGTCCTCCACGCGGACCACGTCGACTGCGGCGACGCCCTCGCGGCCCTCGTCCATTGTGTCCGACCTCGTCCTCGATCAGCTGATTGCCGACGAGGCCGGTCGCGCGGCCGCACGACGGCGGACATCCGACGGCCGCGAGATTGTGGCCCTGTGGGCGACACAGCGCCAAGAGGACGGGGATGGCGACGACGACGACGACCCGAGCGACGTGTCGTCCACCCAGACCGTGGCCCGCTTTACCTTTCTCGGGAGCGGCGCGTCGGGCCAGCTGGGCGAGCGCTGGGCATTGATGGCCGTCATGTCCGGACTGGCCGTGTGGGAGCGGGCGCGACGGGCACGCCGACGACGGCAGAGCACGGTGGTGCAGGCCTGTGGTGGTCTAGCCAACATTGGGGCGTAGACAGAGACAGCCGTGGAGCGTGATGTACATAAGAAAGGCCGACAACTTGTAGATGCTATGTTGCATGCAGTTTATACTCTATAGTAGTAGTCTGTTTGACACGTTCCTAGATCCCACTACGTTCCTCGCCCTCCTCAATCCTCGTGCATAAATGTTTGCAGAAACTGGTTGTTGGCAATGTAGAAGCGCGCCCGCTTGCCAAACACCCACAGCGGAATGGTGGTGAGAATCACGGCCACGTAGATGCTGCCAAGCACCAGAAACACGTTGAGCGCGCCCGACTGGCGCAGCCAGTGGTTGACAAAGTAGGTCAGGCCGAACGTCAGGAAATTGCGCGCATTGATAGCCACAAACGCCTCTTCGCTGAGCTCGTTGTGCGCGTCCAGAATGTACGGAAATACCGACGCGTTCAAACAGGCCACAGCCATGTTGGCCAGACCAAAGCACAACACAGGGCCGCTCCAGTGCGTCTGGTAGTGGATCGTGATGCCAAACCCGTAGAAGCCGACGGCGCCAATGACGAGCGGCATCACGACGAGGGGAAGCCGGAACTCGGGCTCGTAGATGCCG